TTCCTCTTCAGCATGCTGCTGGCGCTGGTCCTTCGCCGTGTCCGCTTTCAGGTTCCGGAAGAGCTGCGCTTGGCTATCTTGAGCCTGACCTGCATGAGGGCGCACCGCTGTAGGGTTTTCTTCTTTTGAGACTTTGCGCATGATGCCGCAGCTGAGGACTGGCATGTCAGCCATCGTGGCCGGCAAAGGCTATGACTTGCACTGCGAACTCATGTCCCACGTGCGCAACTTCAAGGAGTGGATGGACCCTATGTGTGTGCACCCGCATAACTGCTGGAGAGCACGGCAGGGGATAGAGAGCCCTCATTCCTTTACCTTCAAGCTACGCATGGACTTGACGCAAGCAGAGTTCTCTTGGCTGCAGCAGAGTCCAACAGATAGGGGGTGGCCCGCGCATGAGCTGGACGTTTTCGTTGTTGTCAAGCACTACATGGCAAGCGAGTCTCCGAATGGCCCACCCGTCCTTCTGATTCCAAACTCGCGCTACCTTCGCATGCAGCAGGCTGCCCCTCAAGGCAGCTGCTACGCCACGCACCCCATGAATGAAAAGCGCCGGAAGGAGCTGCGGAAACTGGCAGAGGCTTTGGAAACCTTGTCTAACGAGTGGGCCGCCGAACATTCCTACTTCCGAGCAGCCAGAGAGCTGCGCCTGCTCGCAAATGGGAGGGACGCACTTCGCTCCACTGATGGGTTCCTGGAGGCAGCCTCTGCTGACAGGCGTGCGGCGCTGGAGCCTTCTGCCGCAGCCTCAGTAGCGTGCTTTGACAAATTTACATGTTGTGATTGCATGGCACTTTGCCAAGGACAACCCCTACTTTCGAAATCTGCCGGGGGTGTCGTGGCAAATGCTTGTCAAGTTCAACTGAGAGCTGACTGCCAGAGTGCTGACACGCCCAGGAGTGAAAACGGTAATTGGTGCATTTTGCGGGAAGGTTTTGCAGGGCATTGGTTTGAGCCACCGTTTCTTGTGCACTTCAGGCTGAGCGTTAGGAAATAGTTTCAGAGTCCCAGAGGCTCTGAGGCCCAGGTCCCGTGACGCCATGGCCGCCTTGTTTGGCTTGACTGCCCTTTGCATCCTGCAGAGCACGGACTTTGCCGGGATTCCACGCAACCTAGATGTGGCAGAAGTGTTTTGCGGAGTGGGCAGCATTGCACTTGCTGCCGAACGCGCCGGCTTCGCTGCTGGAAGGTTTGACAAGCATCGCGTTGGCGGTTGCACAGATCAGGACCTAGGGATGTCTGAAGACATGACAACCAAAGACGGCTTCTTCCGGGCAGTGCGCCTGGTCATGCGCCTGCGTGAAGGGGGGCTTCTTTGGCTGGCTCCTGTTTGCTCTTCATGGGTTGGACTGAACATTTCACGGACCAAGCGCAGCTCTGCAAACCAGTTCAGGGGCAACCCAATCTATGCTCCAGTCGCACTTGGCAACATCATGGCGCTGGCCTGTGCCATCCTCATGGAAGTGGCTCACCGAAGAGGCGTGCAAGTTGTGATTGAAAACCCTCCATCAAGCACCTTGTTCAGATTTCCGGCTTTGGAGCAGGCCTTGGGCCGGCTAACGGCCTTTGTGTGCACCACCTGCCGCTGTGCCTTCGACAAGTCCAAAGACGGCACCAGGCTCTGGAAGCAGTACAAGCTTGTGGCATCAGCTGGCTGGATCAGACAATTGGCAAGGCAATGCCCATGCAAGAGCCAGAAGCACCAGGCTTTGACTGTGACATGGACAAACTCTGCAGGAAAGAGGTGCTTCAAGGGCGTGAAGAACTTGCTTCAGAAGTCAGCTGAATATCCGCCTGCATTTGGAACTCAGGTTGTGGCAAAGTGGCAGAGCCAGCCAGAAAGCACACCGCCATCAACGCCATCAAGCGCTTCAAGAAAACCTTCACGGCAAAAAAGAAAGCTCGCCTGGACAGAGCCTGCCCTTGAGCCTCAGAGTACCAGAGCTCTGAGTATCCGAGCCCCTGCAAAAGCCAGCCGGCCAAGTGCAAACACGAGCTGGTGCCAACCAGCTTTGGACAGGTAAAAGCCTGCTGCCCGGGCAGTGAGCTGAGATGAGGTGGAAAAAGCTAGCTGCGATGCTGTCTGGCAAACTTAAGATTTCCAGACGCACCATGTGTTTCCCAGACAGGGGCATTGGTTTCCAGACACTTGTAGTTGCATTGCCTGCCAGGTGCCCCGGCTTTGTCCTCTGGCATCAGGGACTCCGTGTCGGGTTCCGGCCTCAGCAGCACACACAAGGTTAGAAACGTACATCATTTTTTGAACTCGTTGCAGCGCTGGAAAACTGTTCGGTTTTGGATGAAAAAGCAATGGTTTGGTCTAGCACCTAAGCGGTGACTGAACTTCGGGCATGCCCACAGTGCTAAAGCTAAAGATGAAAAAATCAACCCCATCCAAAACCGATAACTTTTCAGATTTCAACTTTTTTCCTCACAAGTGCATGGTAACATCAAACGTGACCTGGACGATTGGAGGCAGGACCCCTTTCCTAGGAACAACCACTTGCGACTCAAGCAAATAGATTGGACATAACCTTGGCCCTTTGGGAAGCACTTGGCGTAAGCTCCGAAAAGCCGAGCAAACTTACAACTTTCAAGTGTATTAGGCCACGCGACATAAAACGAGTACTGTGGCTTCAGGATTTTCAACAAGGGCCCTGGACCTGCCCAATTGCCCCTGGTCGAAGCGGGCCTAGGGCCTCAAAAAAAGAACGAAGCAAAATGAAGTGCTTCACAATGTTTTCCAACTGAATGGCCAACACGGTTGAGTTCATCAGGGCAACCGCCTCTGGGCTAAAGGGGTTGAGGAGTTGAGGGGTGAGCTTACAATGCTGAGGTGGGCATTAGTCCTGGCAGCTACTCCAAAACCAACCAACGCAAGCTGGCGCCGCAACCCGCTCAAAAGGGATTGAACAAACTGGCCCAACAGCAACGCGCACGGCCACATGAGGGTATTCAATGCTTGTTTCGCCTTAGCTAGAGATGAATTGCGCTGTGTCTGTGTGGCATGCCGGTTTAGGGCGAGTTTTCCCGGGCGCGTGTAGTGGGGTCACCGGCCATATCTAGACAAATCATGCGCGCGTAGCTCTCAGACTCGAGCAACAGTGCGACAGAGGATTTGCGCGGGGTGTGATGGGGTGTGAGCCCAAAGCTGTGGGTTTCTGTGAAGCACAGGCCATTGCCAGCGATGATTTATGCGCGTGGGCCTCAGGCACTTGCCCGCAGTCTCGCAGCAGCGCATCCCACTTTGAAATGCTCCGCAATTGAAGTTTGGCTCTTTCGCTTTGCCTGCAGTCCCAAGAGTCCCTGAGAGACTGAGAGCAGAACCATGGCTGCTGCGCTGTTTTGCCAGGATGACTTTTGGAATTTCAGCGTGGGCTTGAAAGCAATGGTGTACTTCGCAGTCCTTGATTCCCATCGAAGATGCGAAGAAATCGCACGCACCAAGCAGACTTTGCTGAAGTACACCCAGGTCTTCGACAAGCTGGCCCAGAGCATTGACTGCGCCGCGTTTGACCTGCTCCTTGACTCGTGGCTTGCGGTTCTAGCCGCAGTGGTTGGGCTGACGCGCTCTGCGGAGGTGCGTGGCGCTGACATCACTGATGGTATGCTCAGCGCTCACTTTGGAAACCCTAGCTGCGAGGCTCCAAGTCAAGTGCTGAACTGGGTAGCTTTGCTGGTCCCTGCTTTGGTTGGCTGGGCGCTTGAGGTTGACTCAGGAGCTTACTTCCAATCCCTCCAGCGCTTGGCTGATGCGTGCCGGGAGGCGGCCCAAGAGCTTGCAGATGTCTCTGATCATAGCTGCTTGCTAGAGTACATACTTGCAGTTCGAGCCATGCTCACCCAAGCTCAGGAAGATTGCATCACGCTAGGGCGTGTGTGCGCGCCAGCCTCTCCGTAGAGTGCGTGTCAAGTATATGGAAAAAGGGCATTAATTGCAATGCACCCTCGACTCGTTCCCCCCTCCCTCCCACCCAGCTCAGGCCGTGGCTGGGCTGCTGTCTTCGCCGGGGTGGTCCAGGGATCCCAGCTGCCCCACCCAACCCAGCCAGGTCACAACACCTAACTTCTATGAAGCTGTTATTTTTATTTTCCATGCAAACCTGCCGCGTGGGCTCATATGACAAACAGCAGGGGCTGAGCAATTTCAAGTCAGATATGGTGTGAGGCTCTTGTGAAAATACAAAAGTAGCAAGTAATCGCTTTGATGGCCAAAGAGTCTCACACTTCTGATTTGAACTTGCCCAGCCCAAAACAAGGACGATAATGAGCCCAACCGTCAAGTTTGCATGAAATTAAGGCTGTTGACATGAACTTAATTAGACTACCGGAATCAAAAACCAGACTACCACAATCAATGATCACCGGTTTAGACCCATGAGGCTACCCTTCCCACCCCCCCCAAGAACCAGTCACGGCAAACGGCTTCCTAAGCTTTGATAGAGCAAACTCATTAGGGGCTTTGCGGTTGGGGGATGTTTCTGGTTCTTTGGCAGCGATTAGGATGCCCCTTTCGACGTGCTCCAACTGACAGCGTCCAGTGAAGGATACAGTTTGGCCAAATTGAAAACCATGTTTGTATACCTTTGCCACTTGTTTCTTTCAACCGTGTTCTTTGTTTGCAAGGTGACTTTCATGCGTATCCTGACTGATTGGCTTTCTGAGCCCCAGCCCGTTGAGCCAACTTTCAGGATCCTCCCAAAGACCCACCCCCGGAGCCAAAGAAAGGCACCCCTTTTTTGGGATTCCCATTTTAACATGCTCCAACTGATAGGCGTGCGGGAAATGGGGTTCATCGGGCCGTTTTTCCGTGATACCAAGCTGAACCCTGTGATCATTTCCCACCAACCATGCCTTGGAGCGAGAAGTCCTAAATTCCAGGTCTAAGTTCCAAGTCTGGCCAAATTTTTTCCTCCCCCAACTCATCGGCTTGATGCTCCCCCCTCCCAAGCCCCCACCCCCCGCACCCCTCCCCTTCCCCCCAGCCCAGATCAGCCCAGGATCCACAGCTTTGGGCCAGTTCCATGCCTCTCCTTCCTGGCGGGCCTGGCGCAGCTCAAGGCGCTGTGTCCCAAGCTGACGGTGATGGTGGGCTTTGAGGAGCTCAACGCGGGGGGCTTCGGGGCCTCGGGGCTTCGGCTGGGGGGCTTGGACCCGCTTCCAGACGGAGCTGGCGCTCGTCTTGCTTTGAGGTACTTGGGTTTGGCCCCTGGGGTTGTCTCCAAATGGGGGGTGCCGTGTTTGTTGAGGCTATCTTTTTGTTTGTGGTTTGAAAGGGAGACAAAAAGGACAACCACACAAATGTGTGGTCCCCGAAAAGAAAGACGCCCCACAGTTGACCAGGGGTTTTCCCAGGATTCTTCAGAAAGTTGGCAGAGTCGAAAAAAGGCGGGAGTCGTTGTTGGACGGTTTTTGAAGTGACTCGAGGGTCATTTAATGAAGGGACATGGGGCTCGTCCTTTTTGGGGAAATTTACTTTTGGAACATGTTGGCAGGCGCCCTTACTGGCAGCTGGCACGCAGGAACAACTGAATGAAGGAACTTGGGTTGCAGCAATTCTCTTCAGCATCGAACTAAGTGAACCATAGTGTGCCTTTGGGTCAATCGGTCTTTCCCACAGGAGTGCCTTACTTGAGAGCTTTGCTGAAGTTGAGGTAATCATTCACGTAATTCTGCTCGCAACCGCAGTTGACATGTTTGAGTCCCAGCCCGTAAATTGGTTTTTTGGTTCGAACATTGCAGCGCTTTTCAAAGTCCGCCGAGGTAGTGCCGAGCTTGTGTTCCTCAAGAAAGGCTCCTTTTGAGAAGAGTATGTTCCAGCCAGACGAGGTCTGTTGCACTGGGGATGGGCCAAATGCAATCATATGCAATCCATACTCGGCCATCCCTTGTTTCCCTTGTGTGTTTCTTGCATAGGGTGTTCACGGAATTTGGATCTGTGTCCAAATTGTTGGCCAAGTCTTCTTCGGGGTTGGCGTCACTCGGAGGACCCCACCCGGCCCAGAGCTGCGACCGAGCGGGAAGAAAGAAGCACGGGGGAGCTTCGCGGAGACAGTGCTCAGGTGTCACCAAACCGGTGGTCTGGTCAGTGGCATTGCTTTTAGCTGGCATTTGGCCAAAGCTTTTCGGCCTTTTTCTCCTTGGTTTCAATATTCACGATCCCGACAATCATATCATGCATGGAAACAACTAAAGCCCCTGAAAGTTAGTTTGCACTATGCTCCCTTGAAACCCCCCAAGCGCCATCCCTGAATAAACAACCCTGGGTTTGATTGGGCACGCGCAGGATCATGACGCTCCTCCTGACCCTTCCTATGCAGGCGCGCCTCGTTGGCTCGATGTGGAGAGGTTCCAGCTTTCCGGTGCCCAACAGCCCAAGCTGGCGCAGTCCGGGTCGCGCTCTGGTCAGAAGCTGTATATTCTTGGACTCTCAAGCCGCCCTTAAATGGAGCACTATCAAATGTTGATAGTTTGAGGCTCCAGGTAAATTGGGTTATCATACTCCAGGGCTCCTGCGTTTCCCTCTCAAAACATCAACAAGCTCATCCAAAACTGGCTGCCAGAAGAAAGATATTGTTCAAACCGGACATTTGTGATTCATTGGGTGGTTTTAAAGGAGTGTTGGACCTAGATTCATTTAACACCCATATGCCCAGGTTTATTCGGGCGTGGTTCATGGTGGTGGGACCTGTTCCAAAAACCGACCCCTGAAGGGCAGCCACAAGGAAAGGCCAACCCTGTAACAAGAGTCAGAATAATACTGTTTGCAAACGGTACTTCGGTGAGTCTATGGACGGCACCGGTGTCCGGTGCTGCCAGGGTCTAATCCCCGTGCCTGGCATAGGCCGCAGGTCCATGGCAAGGTCCCATACCAAGTTCAGGCAAGGAGCAAAGAGACACAAGCAGGTTATTCGGGCTCCCCTGGGTTTACCCATGTGTTTTTCTTCTGAGGCGGTGAGTTGGCACCCTTGAGGGAAAAGCCTAGTCCCGCCCTCGCCCCCACCCCTTCAGAAGGCTCTAAAAAAACTGAGAACCCTTTCTTAGGTTCTAAGCACCTTTCCTGGGTGCAGGGCATTGGTTCTGTCCTGGAGCCAAAGAAGAGCCGCCGTCATCTGCCCCAGGTGTAAAAAGCCTAAAACGCCTCTAACTCGCAGGTCTCACTTCTGCCTGCCTGAGAAAGTCCATGTCCTCCAACAGCCTGGCTGGCCTGTTTCAAGCGCTGACTTGGAGCAGGCGGTTTTGAATGAATCCTCAAAATCAAATTGAATCGCTTGAGCAGGATCAGCATTCGGATATTGCGATGGAAACCTGTCCGCACCTCGAAGTGTTCAACGTCTCAATGTGTCCATGGGAAACCTGGCATTCGGCCTTTGGGTGACCAAATCGCCCCGCAAAGATCTTTTGCACACAATTTTGTTTTTGTTCGTCCGCAAAGGGGGAAAAAAAAAAAAAAACAATCTTTAACTGCTCGGGCGGAGAGATGCTGGAAGAAACATCACCTTTTTGGTGCGCGTGTTGGTTTGAAAAGCCAGACTTCCTTTAACATGAGGGCGGTTTTCCGTTAAAAACAAGTAGCGAAAAAGGCGGGGTCTGGAGGCCTAGGAGCATTTAGCATAGATTCTCGAGCCGGGCCTCTCGACGACCTTACCGTTGCCAAGAATCCACCTCCACAGCCCACAGTTGGAGTGGGTGTGTTGTGTTTCGGTCTACGTTTTTTTGGGTGATGGGTGGGTGGTCAAGAAAGGAAACCAGAAGGAAACCATTTTGTGGGGTTCCCCCATTGAAAGACAAACCCAAACAGATCCAAAGCCAATATTATGCGCGTGGCTCAGCTTCTCGGATCCCGCACTTGCCATGCCAGGCATCACGGAAGGCGCGCCTTTTGGGCGAGCCCTGGATCTTGGCCACCCCTTTTCTGGTCTCCAAAACGATTTTATACTTTAGAACTAACTACCCATGAAGCGAAATCTGAATTGATTGTTTGTGTACCCCAGATGTGGGCCAAGAACAACCCCTTCGTCAAAGCGCAGCTTCCAGTGATTTACACTCCTGCAGCGCATCATGGGACCACACAACCCATGCGTTTTAGAGCAATCTCCTTTTGTGCCCCCGAACCCCAAACAAAAAAACTAGCAAGTACGTTTGGAGCACTTCCCATTTGGGGAGCTTTTGGGGTTCCTTCCCTGCACCTGCAGAGTGGCTACGCAGAGCGTCCAAGCCATGCTGTGTCATTGCGCGAGGCAAATCCTTCCGTGAGAAGCTCGTCAACAGCAGCTGCCTCAGGACAGCCTTGAGCCATGAACGACTTGGCATCCGCCCTCGCAAACAGCGCCCAAACCTTTGCAATTTTTGTGGATCGGTTCTATCTGGTTGAATGGGGGTTGTAGTGAGGTGTATGATGGTGTATGCAAACCCGCATGCGCTCTGGTCTCAGGCCAGCAGTTCCCGCGCGAGACTCAGACAGGTCGGCGTCAGGGATCTCAATGCTTGTAAAATGGGTTCGTCCCACATTGGCGGGATGTTTTCCTCTTAGCAGCTTTCCCTTTGAAGCTTCTGTGCTCATAGGTGCCACGGAGCAACGTCGTTGAGAAACGCATGCGGCAAGAGAAGCCGTGCAACCACTCAGCGGACTCAAAAGGCTCACTTTCCCAAGGCCGAGCCTTTGACCTTTTCGTAATTTGACGTCCCATGTGTGGCCCACTTTTTGTGTCATGGCCAAGAAAAACTGAGTTGTGGGACCAGCGGAATGTTGCAGGACCCACTTTTTTGTGTCAAAGAAAAGCTGAGCTGTGGGTCATTTCCAGCGGGATGTTGGACTCCAGGACCCAGGCATCAGGGTCGCGTGTCACTGCGCGGCACCATTCTTCGAGGGTGCCTGAGTATCTTCCAAGGATGTGCTCAAGGGGCAAGAGGGTCAAGGTACATGTTTAGAAGTTTAGAAGCTACTTGGACCCCTAGGGATTGTTCATGAGGATTTCGCAGCATTCCAATCCAGGCAGCTCACTGCAGACCTGCAAAGGTGAGCTTTGCATTGCTCATCGAAGGGTGCACCGCGCAATGGCGTAAAAATCCATGGGTCAGGTTGCAAGGCTTTTCTGGGCCAGGTGATGGCTTGGATGCATTTGGCATTTGCATGCTTGTTGCTCTCAGGCTCTCAGGGGTAAAGAGCCGAGTCAACTTAGAGTCTCTTGGATTGGTTCTGAAAGGTCTGAGGCACTGACAAGCAACCCCGGTTCCGATCGTTTCCACCGGTTCAAGACCTGCCTGACCCTTCTGTTCTGAGACCCTGCTTGAAGGCCACGAAAACTCACATCACTTCGGTGTCCACAATCAGTTTTGGCTTTGCCCTGCGCTTGGCGGGCAACACAAATTATAATGCCATGGTACACGACGGATGGATGTCTTTGGCTGGCACTCTGCTGAGTGGCTTGGGGACCACATTGAATGGCATCAGCACGCTCTATGGGCTATCTTCCCAGGCGCGCCATCCAAACTGGGGCAAGCGTTCCTTTTCAGGCGGTTGAACCCTAGGGCTCTTTTGTTAATGCCAGGCGTTGTTCTGAGCTGGGATCTCTTTAATATGATGTGGCTCAAAAAGTTCACTCAATATTCGCCAGAAACTAAAATACGTATACATATACATATATATATACAGGTGTTTTTATTTGAACAGCTGAGGGTGCTAAGGGCAACCACAAGGACATCACATTTGTATGGGGGTTCCCCTTTTTTGAGACCTACCTTTGTGAAAGCAGCTGGCATTCTTCATTCACAGCAGGGTCCGGTTGGACCTAAACGTTTTCAACATCTGGGCTATGGATCAACTTATTCGGCTAGCTTTTCACAACAGTTTGCTTGCGGTTTGTTTTGGGAAACTCTTTTCGGACTGTTTTTTATTCGAGCCGAAAGCAGCCAATGCCGCTGGAACATTTGACGGCTTCTATTCATATGTACTCTTTCCGATGTGCTTTGATGGTGCGGGATTTGCAACTTCATGCAATGCCTTTGTGACCCCAGCAAAGCTCTGGCCTTACCGACTGGGCGGAGGAGACATACAACTTGCAGAAACACATTGTTGGAGTACCTGTTACTGCGTGATCGCCTCGGCATGTGACAGTCTTACTCGAGATGGCGATGGAGCGAAGAGAGAAAGAGAGAGGGAGAGAGAAAGAGAGAGATAGAGAGAGAAAAAACAAAAACAAAGAAAGAAAGAAAGAAATAAAGAAAGAAAGACAGAAAAAAGAAAGAAAGCAATCAATAAAGAAAGAACGACAGAGGAAGAGAGAGAGAGAGAGAGACAGTGTCACAGAGAGGGAGAGAGAAGTGCCCTTGAACCATGCAGTTGCGTCTTTGCATCACACCCAGTACCCCCAACCCGCCTCAACCCGAAGGTTCCGGTTCACCTGGCCTCGGACGCCTCAGCAGTCGCCACGGGTATGGCGGGCACCGCGGTGTCTGCGTGGTGGGCGGCCAAGGCCGGCGCCAGCCGGGGCCCAAGCTGAGCTTTGGGCTGCTTGGGGCCCGGAGGATGCGCGTTTTTTTGTTTGTTTTTTTGAAATGCATGTCTTAGGGGAGCCAAAATGAAAGTGCTGCCAGTTGGGGTCACCAAATTTTGAGGCAAACATATATTGAACTTACGACTTAAAACATGAAGTAGCGGTGACTAAGAGAGGATTTCGAACCACGGTAGTGTTACCCCCGATTTGGTTTAAGCAAGGTTCCCTGTAATCCGAGACCCCTAATAGTGCCATCTCCTTGTCCTTTTGTTTGGGAGGGGATTTCCCTTTAGGTTAAGTAGCAGTCCGGATGACTTTTGTGGATGCCACCCCCTATTAGTAGGATGGGTTGATTAATCCGGGGTTCCCTATACTTCTCTGCTGGATCCTTTTTGGTCACCTTTTGAGCCGCTGTAAGGTAAGTTTCCTTCAAGTGGGATGATGCTTAAGCGGAAACATAGGGAACCCTGTTGAGCCTTGTTTAAGCCACTTGAACAAAAGGCGGGTTGAAACAATTTGGCCCAACCCCGCTTCGCGACGAGCAGGGCGGTGACGGCGCACGCTGATCCCCCCTTTCAACCAGCATTTCTGTTGTAGCACTGCTGTGCAGATGCCATGACAAATAGCCAGCCCCAGAAATTCACGCAGAATTGCAGGGTTTTCCAGTGCTTGAAATACACCCTTTTGCCGTGTCCGATCCGGTGTCCAGACCTTATTTCAATCCAGACGCGTATCAGGGCACCCTAAACGGGCTCTAATAAACGGATTTCAGCGTGCGCCATGTGTGTAGCATCCTTACACCCATCTGTTAAGCCAGTTTACGGTCATCCCGCGGTCTAGGTCGGGCCCTGTTCACATGTTCAAGTCCCCGAGTTTGTTGAACTTATGCTCCCGGAGAATCTCACGATTAGTGGTAAAAGACATAAGCACCGGAGTTCCTGGAATGAACAACCGATTTTACCCTAAGGAGCGCGTCATTCTGGTTCCGTTTGAAGAGGCTTCCAAAGGATGGCGACGACAGAATCCGAGCGCCTGAGGCGTCATGCTGGGCGGCAACGCTGCATTCAGCACTGTGGGGTTCGGAGCGAGCTCCTTGGAGTTACCTTTTGCCTTGCACCACTGCCAATCCCTGGTCCAAAGCAGTCGTTCTGTAGAGTTGACTGCTGGGACTTCAGTCATAAGCTTTGAACCCTCTTACAAGAGGCATGTCTCACACACATACACAAAGCAAGTTTTGAGCAGAGCATGTTGAAGGGGCTGCAGGGGTCCTATGCTTCCTTTTTTTTGAATATCAGCTTGTTTGGCCATTTTTAGCTGCTTCTGTCCCGGTGATGATTGAACGGAGCAATGTTACGAGGCGGTCCCAGAAAAGGCCCGAGGCCGTTGCAGATACTGCATGTGCGGCATGATGACGACCGCGAAAGTGATGTAACCCGTAGGCCATCAGAACATTCAGCCATTGAACATGATGTTTGAACTTGTCATGCATGCAATGTGCTGTGACGTTTGCATCTTTAAAGGTCACACTCACATTAGTGTCTTCACGTCGTTTGGGCGTCACAAAGTGCTTGTTGGATACACATAGCAGCAAACAGATTGTTCTAAATGGCAACCATGTTATATTGTCCTTCCCCCCATACGCACTTTCGAAATAGTTGGCGTTCTTGCAGTTTGATGCACGGCTTCCATGGTTTTGACGCATGCCCGTCCGGCAGAGGTTGGATGCATCATGGTACGATTCGATTGGCTAAGGTCAGAAGGTACAAGGACTTTTGGTGTAACATGATGTTCAGGCATGCCCTTTCCAGTTTTTTGCGGCCACAACTGGCTTTAAGATGGTTTAATTGATGGGGCTTCTGTTGAGAAGGGCCCTTCAAAAACCCAAGGAACCCTTGCAAGAAGTTCCTTTTGCACCTCAGTCTTCTGTTTTTGTTTGTCATTGTGGGCTTCTAAAAGCCCTTCTATGAACCCTTTTCTAAGCAGATGTCTGTTCGTTTTTTCACGTCCGCTACTAAAACAAGGGGCATTCAACAAACACATGAAATCGTGATGAGGGTTGACCACTGACGCCTCAGCATGCTTCTAAGAAGCTTCCTTCCGAGCCTCGTCGGTTGGTCTTTGCATTGCCGCGATTTCTACTGTTCCTTCAGAACCGCTGGGCATGCGTCGAACACCCTGCTGGTTGAGGGTTGTCCGAACCGGATGATCTTGGGTCTAACCTGGGGTCTGCTCCAAACGATGTTGTGTTTTGTGAACTAAATATGAACCAGTCTCCCTCAAAGCTTCTTTACATATTAGGGCAGACAGACGTAAACCCGAATCTGACATGATGTTCTGTGTTTTTGTTCCGGAGTTTTGGGCCGAGGCTGCGTCTACGTGTCCTGGGGCCTATGGCACTTCCTGCGGACCGTGGCGAAGCTGAGCACGGACATCCCCCCCAAGCACGCGCCGGTCACGGACGGCCGCTTCCCAGCGCCGGCCTGGCTCAACCGCCGGGCGCCCTCAGCTGAAGTGGATGGCGTTGCGGGCGAAGGGGGGGGAGGGGGGAAGGGGGTGGCTTTCTGGAGCCCGTTGACCGCTGGACACCGTTCAAGGAAGTGGGGGGGGAGGGGTGTGTTGCCGGTTTTTCCAGTCGAAAGCCTTGGGGTCGTTGCTCGGGTAGGTTTTAGAGAGGGCGGCTCTAGGGTGCAGGGTTCCGGGGATGACTAGGGTACCTAGGTATGTTCTCTCTTGTTTTTGTTGGAGTTGGTACTTTGAAGGCAAATCAAAAGAGAAGCTCATGAAAAAGGGAACTGGATGGGTGTAATATTCTAGAGTTGGTACCCGCTTTTTGGCTCGGTTGAAAGGCAAATCAAAAGGAGCACCGCCAGCACACATATATCAGCACACACATTTACACATTCATATGCATATATATTTTTGTAATATATATATATATACATATATATATATATGTATGTATACATATGTGTGGGTGGCGTGCCAGTGTATGTTTTGGAGGACAACCTGTTAGTGTGGTTTTGAAGTTTAACAATGTGGACAGCACGCGTTTGGGTGGTCTCCCTAATTTGAGCTGGAAGGATGCATCTAAGCCGTTCTCCAGTAGCACCAAAACACTCAACCCCATCCGACAATTGGATAGTTGACCACTTAATGTACCCATGGTATGCGGGTTATTCCCACATTTTCCTTTTGGGTTGGGGTCGGAGGTGGAACCGTCTTAGAGATGCCCCAAGCCCTGGTTTCGTCGGCGCCAAGGTGCTGAATTGGGCGGTGGTGGGCCGCGTAGGGGTGGGCAAGTCCACGCTGATCAATACACTGCGAGGAGTGGGAGTCCGGAGCCGGGGTTGGCCAAAAGTTGGTCAAACAAGCAGATGTTGCTAACTCACGTTTAACCTGTTGATTTCTTTAGGGGAACCTATCTATCACTCTGGAAACGGTCTTGTTCCAGGGGCTTAAGCAAGTTGCAGTTAACACAAACGGCGAAACATGTTGAAGCTGGGTGCGGCCAAACTCCTGGAAATGTTAACAGGTTGATTTGGTCAGGGAATGGTTTTTGCGACATGAAGACCCCTGGACAGTACTCCATTGGCTGAACCCCAAATTAAGGAATGGACAACGGGCAAATGCGCCCCAAAGGAAGCTACAGTGTCACGTCTTCGCTGTGAGGTTTAACTCCTGCGCTTTGTGGAAGTCTATTGATGTTGTTAGTTCGGTTTTTGTTTATCTTGATGGGTATCCAAGTGAGGCTGGCGAGCCTTGCTGATTCAGAGCCCTAGCAAGGGGAACCAAAGGCTCGTGTGTCATTTTTGAGGGACCCCCCCCCCAAATGGTGGTTTTCCTTTTGGTGTTGCTTTACAACCCACCGAAACGAGGACGGTTCCCCGCAAAAAAAGACACCCAAATGAGTTAGGCCCCGAGACCGGAGTGGTGCGGGACAATTCGGCTTGCAGCGTCCGGCACTGCACAGGCGTGGGCCCTCGGGAGAACGGCGCAGCGCCAGTTGGGGTGGGCCACACCACCAAGCGCCCCAAGCCGTACCTGGGCCAACGTTTGGTACCATCTTTAGAATATGTTTTTGCCCTTGACAGTTCCGATAGAACATACAGAAATCCATGGAGTGTTGTTTTTTCAGCATCAAGCTTTTTTTTTTAAAGTACCACAACGTGCCTTGAACAAGTGCAAACAAACATGAGCAGATTCCGATCGCAGGTTAAGCGTGTTTCGCGTTGACCAAGGTACAGCTTCTCCGGAGACCTGGCGCAGCTCACGCGGAACATGGCGCGGGTTTGGGATGTGCCTGGCGCAGGCACCAAGGCGGGGGACAGAGAGGCGGTTTGTGTTTGAAGGGTTCCCTTCTGAGACCTCCAGTGCCGCGTTTGCTTGTCTAAATATATTTTTTTGGAGTTAGTTTTTCAAGATCAAATGCTTGTTGTTTTCCCGGAGTTTATCTTTTGAAGATCAACTGCCAAGCAAAAGGGTGCCCTTTTTTTTCCCATGGCCACTGAGGATTTGGCCCCTTGTTTCACCTTGGTCTGAAGGGAAACCAAACAGAGACATGCTTTTGGAGGTCGCACAAAAAAAACACCCCGCATCTTGCCCTACCCCTCTTGTTAAAGGTGATTGAAAGGCACTAAAAGGAAACCACTGAATTTCGGGCATGCTCCCATCAGGTTTGAGTTGAGGGGTCCACATCCTTTGGGAGGGGGTCCGTTCATTATACAGATCCCATGGTTGCCTTGGTTCGTAGTGGGAAACAATGCATCACGGCTGTTGCATGTTGGGTTTTGAAAATGCCACTTTCCCTGATATGGGAACCCGCCCTAGTCGAATGCGGATCCCACTTTGTCACAGGATTCGGTGATTTCCCACCGTGGCATCATAATTTGGAACTCTCCCAGTGGACTCTTGAATCACTTGGGTTTGGAAAGTGGTGACAACCACATGGGAAGTGGGTTTCTTGGCTTCAGGACTGGCCGGCCGCAACCTACGTGCGGGATGCCGGGCTCAGGCTGGTACAATGGGGCCTGAGGGCATGGCGTGGAAGCTGGGGGAGGGGGGGTGGGAGACACCGGCCGTTTGGGGAAGTTGTTTGTCCACTTCCATGGTTGTTGGAAAGAGGGTATCCCACTTTTGGTGGATTCTGTGCCTTCTACTTTCATGTGAAGCAGTGGGAACCCGGGATCAAAGTGGGGCAGATGGGTTGGCTCCAATGCCTCAACATGGAGCCTCACGGGGCGTTCGCCCAGGACATGCTTCATTCGGATCGGGGATCTTGCGACTCTGCAAAGGGTAGATTTTGCGAAGGTCCAGGTGCCCCGAAGAGAAGACGTACAACCTTCAGAAATCTCTGGGTCTTTGAGTTCGGAGCGGCTCCGGGGGTTCTGGAAGGCTTGCCATTTCATTTGGAAATCCAGATTGAACTATACTGCCTGCGACGTGGCTTTCCGCAAGGAGACCTGAGTTGCCAGAGGTCCGCAGGCCTAGGTCCGCTTCGAACGCACAAGACATACGACTTGGTCCTGTCAGTTCCCAGCAGCAAGATGGTTTCGCAATGGCTACGGCTACAAAGGCACGTGCAATCATGGCCCAAATCATTGAAACGATGCGAACCACAGCAGGCGTTGGCCCTGTTTGCAAAGCACTGCACCTTGCAAAAATGCAACGGACACTCCTCCCCCCTTAAGTACGGGGGGATATGGCCCCTCGACGCATCGAGCCAGCTATCGAGAGGCACTTCGATGGAGTACTCCTGGTCACTGCGGGCGCTTTCTCTGAAACAGAGGACCTGCTCCGAACCTCAAAGGGGCAGTTGGGCGCCCAACGCCCCAAAAGGGCACTCTATATATATATATATATATATTTATTATTATATACTTCTTATGTAGATATAGACTGTCCTGCCTGGTTTCACAGGTACAACGATTAAAACCACGTTGCCCATAGTCAATTGGACTACACTTGTTTCTTGAGGGTCTTTGGAGCACCTGACCTTAGCCGTGACCTTTTGGACCTGAGGATCCGGCTTTTGGGAGGCGGATCTAGCCAAGCAACTCCCAATCCCTTCCACTGAGCCCAAATCAGCCTGGAACCCATGTGGGGGCGGCGGGGGGGCTACAAACATCCTTAGTTCAAGTTTTTTCTCATCCAGGTTGCGATTTGACATGGATGCGCTGGACAAATTCCTGGGTTGTTTCCCCAAGGTTTGGATAAGAAGGGGGCAAATAGGTCCATGCTGTTTATTCAATGAATTTCGTCTTGTTTTGAGCACTTAAAGTCGAAGCCTTGACAAGCCACGCCCTTAGAACTTTTATGTGTCTAGAGTTTGCAACGGGCTTTTGACATACCTCACTCACAGTCAAGCTGTGTCAAGCTTTTAGGGCACCAACGATCTGAGAAATGCGCAAGCCAAGCACGAGGCTTGCCCTTCTCTCAGGAGGACCTCCTGAAGCAGCTGGAGGAGTACAAGGTGCCCTGCTACATCGTCCGCAACAAGGTGGACCAGGCGGCCGGAACTCCCAAGGCGGTTCCAAGGGATGTGGGTATGGGGCAAAGTAAACCACCGGGGGGACCGCAGGTTTTAGTCCATGTTTCCATTTGCCAGGATTCGATTTTGGGTGCATATTCTTGACCCACAGCCATGTGGTGCATTTGAACAATCCTCTAGTAGAGGTTTGTTGGAGAGGGTCCCAACTCAAACCGGATCCTAACATGGAGCTTGACTAGAGGTTCTCCTAAAAGGGGCCCCTTTGGTAAGTTTCATGTTGGTGGAAGGGTAGCCGGATCAGGCTTTGATTTACGAAATGATTCCTTGCAGAGTCTTGTTTCTATGTGAAGCTGGGGAGTCGCAGGAGCGTGTTCGATTGTGACCCTCTTGGGTACGATTCACAAATGGCGGACTTTTGAGGCATACCTGGAGTGATGTGCCTCAACCCGCTTTTGACTTTCTTTGCGAACGTTCTACCGGCCACCAACATGTTTTTCTTTTTGTCTCAGAAAGTCCACCAGCCACCAACATGTTTGGTTTGGGAAATTTCACCAGCCACCGACGATTTTGATTTTATGCACCGCCCGCAGGACGCCATCAACAACGCCCAGGACAACGACATGGACGCCGAGGATACCTTGGCAGAGATTCGCCAGGAACTGCTCCCACGCAACTCGCCAACCAGAAAGAGAGGCGTGAGGCTTGTGGGTTGCGTTGGTTTGTTCAAGCAGGCCTCTTTTTGGCCTTCCTATAGTCCGAATTCACGGTGGCAGATGTTTGTTTGCTTTTGCTTTGGCGAGGGTTTATATAAAGCAGGTACCTAGAAGAAAGAGCCTTTTGGGTATGTGATATGCCTTTTTCGTGATTTTGAGATGCCCTCCTTCTAATCATGGAAGTGGATGGGGCATCTGTCGAAGACTATATGCCTTTCGTCTTTGCCCCATGATTGTTGGCAAGGTATGTCGCTTCAACTGCTAAAATGTTGTATCATGACATTTTTCGAGGGTACGACACCCCAAACAGAACCCATTTGGAAGGGTCCCTCATGTTAAGACACCCATTTCCCTGCCTGAAGTGTGACTGAGGCATCCCGACACATTCCGAGTCCCTCCAAATGGGCGTGGCTTGCGCGTAGAGACAAACCCGTCAGAGCCCTTGGTGCGAACCCTGGTGACCAAAGAACTGGTCCAGTTGACTGCCAGAAGCTATTTGTTTGTGCGGACACCCGAAAGATGAGGTCTACCCTGCCTGTTCCTCATGAATCTCATCGAACACTGGCTTGATCAATGTGTGATTTAGTGAATGTAGTGGGATGCCAGTCAGATAGTGTTTCCCGCACCAGGCAGGCCTGCCTGCCAGCCTCATATGAGGCTGCGATCCCAAGCGCATCTTCCTTGTCTCTGCCAAGCACCCGGAATGCTCCAAGTTCGACTTCCAGGCGTCAAGATGGCACTGCCCTTATCACACCAACACACCGTCACGGTGTTTCGGGGGGGAGGCGGTCCCGCAAAGGGTGTCACAAGATGCTGGGCTTCACAGTAGTGCCCTTTTGCCCTTTTTTGGGTGGAGGGTTCCACTAAAATAGACTAAAGAAAAAGGGTACCCTTATTCATCCTTATTCTAACCTCTCTACTGGAGGACCTAGCCCAAAAGGGATCGCTCTGAATGGTTAGTTTCTGCTAGGTTTCCATTTTGGGGCACCAACCAATGTTCGGGCACTGCATGCAATACTTCTGCCCTTTTGGCTACGCAGACTGTGCGCTCTTGGCACCCAAGCAAAGAGCAAGTCAAAACAGTTGGCACCAACCGCAACCTGTATATTCAAACACGTTACATAGTACAGCCACCACAAGTTTTGTCAACACGATCAAGCAGCCAACCCAACAACCAAGCAAGTAAGGCACGCAAACCAACCAGCCCACTCAACCCACAGTCCTGCCCCGTAGCTTTCGGAGCCAGTGCGCAGACGTGGGTGCAGCAGCCTTCCTGCAGGCGCTGCTGCATCGCATGGCGGAAGACGTGGCGGCGCAGCGCGCCGAGCTCCCCGAGTTTTCCGAGGCATCGCCGGGCATCGCCAGCCGCCGTGTTCTTCGGGCGCGCCGTTTGGAGAGCCTTGGGGTTGTCTTTGGGGGGCCCCTGACAAAGCCATATGTCCCGTTTTGGTGGTTGTAAACAGCATCTTTTGCGCCCATTGATGCCTTGGTAGAGGTGACGTTTTAAAAGACATATAAGGAACCTTGCTTTTGCCTTCTGGGGGTTCTTCACTTCCCCGTTTGCCAGGAAAGACACAGAGTTCACTTGTGAGCCTAAGTCTGGCCAAGGAACTTGGACAATTGGTGAAAGCAACATGTGTAGAGGCCTTTCTTCTATATCTTCCTTTTGTAAGTACAGGGATAACACATGTAATTGCGGAGGGGCTGAACCCCGCGGCAGTTTTCAATTTCGGGTAGAGCCTTGCGGTTGGCAAATGCATTTTCCCAAAATAAACCCGCTGCGAATGATTCTGTTGATGTTCTCCAGGCCTATTGAACACCAGTCTTGTCACAGAGCACGGGCCAGCAAATGGCACGTTTGTCCCATTTTCTCACCTCCTTCCCTGCTTCCTTGAGACTTGGCCATGGGTGCATCATGCAGAATTTGTTGCCCCAAAGCCCCTTGGGTATTGAGTCCGTTTGCTCGATCAGCGCGCTTTTTCCCAGATGAACGGTGGCACCGCTAATGTTGAGAATGAGCTATGCACCCAGGTGCATATTGGTATGTAATTAAGGGGGTGGTTCTCCTAAACCAATCGCACTTGTGATTTGATTATTTTTTGCCCCTGCGCATACCCCAATGTGTTCCTCTATACTCCTGGAGTCAGAATCAGCCCCAGGAGCTCCTGCCAAGGGAGCTTCAAGCCAAGTGCACGACCCTTAGAGAGAGAGGAGCAGGTTTGAATGCTACTCTTGCTGGTGCGATAAGTAGGGAATGACCGTTCCGAGTTTTGGGAATGAACCGGAGGGGAAACTATAGGGGGGTCATTCATTCCCTTATTCCCTGCTGAGAATCAGCGCGTATTGGGTTGGATCTGTACCCTTTCAATTTAAAGGGAGTGAGTATGTCCCCACCAACCTGCGAACAGTGAATCTATTTGGGCAAGGGGTACTGGCCATCAAGCTGGCATTTTGTTTTTGGCATGATGTTGAATGCAAGGTTCGCGAACTATGAACCGCAATCAATCATGGCATGTTTGGTTGGAGGCCCAAAGCTTAGGCTAGTACACACTCGATGCAGACTGAAGTACTTTGACTATTCTACCCATCCAGCAGGGTGAATTCAGGGTGCCACATGCCAGGTTGATAAAGTACTCATTCCCTGAGTTCCTGGACTCCTTTTCAGTGCGAAATAAGAGTATGATTCGATAGGGGTGAAACGTGGGCCATGTGCGCAAGCGCTTGGTTTCCGCGGAAGTAAGCTGGCGGCAGCCAAGGTATAGCCACTTTGGATGGGGATGGCGTGACTTGCCGCAAGTGGGGCAGACAGAGCGGGGTAGGTGAGAGCGTAGGTGGGTGTGTCTTTCGGAAAGCCCTTTTTGGCAGGTTTTAAAGGGAAGCCAAAAGCAAACCAACCATCTTAGGGGATGCCATTTTTCGATCCCAGGCATGTGCTGTCAAATGTTTTTTCGTTGGCGCACTACGCTCCGCACGTCAAGGGGATGTCGACGAGGCATTCTTCATATTGGCTGGCGCAACTGCATTGGGAGCTCTTTAGAGTCTCTAGACGTTGCCTGGCTCTTTCGCCACGTGCATCGGTCAGCCAACTGCCCAGGTGCCGTCTTGGCCGCGGCCCTGGAGGTTTTCGTGGGTCTGGCCCTGGGTGCCTTGAGACGGGGAATGTTGACTCAGAAGAACCCCGAAAATATGCTTCCCCCTAGGAGAAGCATCCCTGATTGGTACAGCCCTCCTAGTCCGAAGCGACGGCCACTGTGGGTCCAGGCGGTGAGCATAATAAGAGGCTTACCGTGAATGGTCATTTTCAAGCAATTTGTATTTTCTTCTTTCGGCTGCAAGAGGCACAACCTCCCCTAACAGAGTGGCTTTGCTGTTGTTTAGTGTGCTTTCATTCAGAGTCTGAAGGTCAGAGAGCTCCCCCTTTGAAACAGATTTGCCTGTTTGGTGGCTTTCAACATCTGGCTTCCTGGTAGTGGATTCGGATTTGGCATCCTATTTTGAACTTGCCATCTAGCTTGTACCTTGAAGTTGGCCAAATATAGTTCCTTTTGTGTGGTATCCCACTATAGGTTGCGGATTGGAATGACAGTTGTGTGAATTAGTTGGCGCAACTCCCAACTGTTGGCTGACTGATCTCCGGTTTGCTAGTTTACTCCAACAAGGGGCCCCTGTGCCATCCATTTTCACAATGTATAGGGATTAGGGGTTCCGCCGCCCGTTGTGAACGACTCCGAAAGTCCGTGCTCAGGTTGCGGAGTGAGGATGTGCCGGGCTCAACTTTTAGGGGGCCCCGTGCTTGAGACCGCTCCGAAGCCCTCTTTTTCCATGTTCTTTGGGGTGGATAATTAGTGGAAGGACAAAGGAGGCATGCTTTTATCTTGCTTTTCCAGCCCAATTTCTACCCCTGCGACGATGGATGAAAGAGACTTGCGAGCTTCGAAGGCGCCCCCTTTCGCTTCGGGGCGAATCAAGGGATGTTTGCCTTGTGAGCCCCAATGCTTGGGATACCTTGGACTGATGGAAACCAAGTATAAGTCGTCAAGTGCAGTTGTAATTGCGAACCAGAAAGGCCAGCTAGAATTCATCCGCAACGGGCTGACAATTTGTGAGATACGCGCCCTGTCCAAGGATATGCCGATGCCAAGCTTCAGAGGCGCACGCCACATCATGGACCTCTAGTGGGGGCGATTTGGAGCGGGCTATCATTTGGTAAACCCTTGTTGCCTTATCAAGGCCCTTGGCGTGTCCTGGGCTTTTCCAGGGATAGCCCCCCAGCCCTGTAGCCCCGAGTGGAGGTCGATGAACAGTTGCAGGTCCCACGAAACCACTTCTCCGTTCACCCGGTCCTTGCCCAATTAGATGTCCAGTTTGTCTACCCTTCGCGGGTCGCTTGCAGGGAGTTCGTGGCCGGATTGCAAGGCCTCGGTGGTTCCTTGGTATACCTTCTGGAAAAGCGTGGGAGGGTCCTCGAAGACTCAAGTCATTTTCCTCGAGATGAATCTGGTGGGTCCCATGTGAAAAGTTGCTTCGCAGGTTAGAGGTGAGGTGATAGCACCGCACTTGCTTAGACGCACCGGGGAGATGTGCGGAACGCTCAAAGTTGCCAGCGCTCCCTTGAGCAAAAGAGCGGCAGCTGGGGGGGGCCGCATGTGACAGGCCTCATGTGATAAAGGGAGGTTTCAACAGTCCATTGGACTTGACCGTGTTGAATTCAATTTAGCCTTTTTTGCAAATCGGGATGGCTGGCCCTTAGTTACTCTTGATTATTTTGGGGGGTGGGGGCGGTTCCCTCTTGGTTTCGTGAACATTTTTTAAGCACAGAGTTTAGCTGGCACAAGGAATGTTGGCCGTGGCCCATGCTTTGATCCATTCAAAACCTGTTTGGTAGCAGGCAACAAGCGTAGCGTATTCAATGCTTCATGTTCGGTGGACTAGACTATGCATATAGAAGTGGACATTAATAATAACATAGAAAGCACCCAGTTTTGCGTACTTCAACCTTCTCTTAAGTCACGCCTGGTCAGCAGGCTTGGAAAAAATGTCTTGGCCACTCTGCGCTTGAGGCTGAAGTTGGTGTTCGATGCTCTGCCCGAGGGCTGGCAAGTGCGTGGGGAGGCAGCTTGGGGACCGCGGCCTTGGGCCGAACCCATCAGGTTCCACCACATGCACTCGTAGCGAGCACATGCGGTAAGACACGCAATTCCACCCAGGGGTTCCGCAGTTTGGGTTGGAGTATCACAGTAATCATGCAGATTGTTGCGGCAGGGCATGGCCTCTTGCGTTGCTTTGTCCCACCCCTTGAATCATTGAAGCGCTCGTCGGTATCTTGAATGAAAGTTGTAAATTCTTGCCTGCCCAATGGACCAAACAGAGAAAACAACATCGGCTGTGGACAACTGAGTGCTGGATGCTTGGCCAAGGAGGTTCAGAGGCCTCACTTTGCGCCCTTGACTGTAGATTGGAATGGCGTCACTCCATCCACACCTGAACACTTGCGAGATATCACGTTATGTTGCCATCAGCATGGAGGGCCTTGCATCATTGCAGGACACCCCCCTCCCAGGTACATGGATTATGTGTGTGGGTTCTGGAACTCCACTTTTCCGAACCGGCTTTGGGAGCCGGACGCAGATTTTCCTTACGAAACTCGGCGGTCGGAAAAGGGGCTTGGGTCTGCCAGATGGTGAACTCGAACTCCAAAGGCTGCGAGGGCCTGACTTACGCAGAGCTGTTTGCAAGATCGGGCATGAGTTACGCATGATGGCCATTTGCGGGCCAGGAACACTGATCAACCCCATGTTTCAAAATGAGGGGCCCCCCAAAAGTGGGTGACCGCTTGGTAATTGTCATCTTACATCAATCCCCTTGGCTAAAATGATGATGGTAGAAAAAAGATATAGGCTTGAAATGGTTTAACAAGGACCAAGGCTCGGGGAATATTTTCTTCATTATCTTCACCCGACCACCATTTTGTTCGAGGGTTTTAACATTCAGGAGAGAAGGATCCTTGAAGAGAATGCGGCTAGGAATATGGTTGAAGTACCATTTTGCTTGGAACGGTTGGTGGGGTTATTCAACCATACATTCCTAAGTACATTTTAAACAATCGCCCCAAAAACATGTTTCCTTTGTGGAGATTGCTATGTAATTAGATGTTGAGTGTCATTAACAAGTTAGCATAGCTCAAAACAGGACGCTTGTAGCGTCCGGATTCGACGCCATGGACGGTAAAACCGGAAGCTGGCGCAAGAGAGTCTTGGGACCATCAAATGTTGGTTTTCCACTCGGATCAGTTTGACCAGGTTGAAATGGAAGGGTCTGGACACTTACGAGCAACTATAATTCCACTACGAGGTGCTATTTGGTTCAAATCAGTTCGTCAAGACGCCTTTGGCCAAGTGCGAAATGGCATATCTGCAAACCTTGCATCGTGCTCGCCACATGGTTTCACAGTCAGCAAAAACTGGCTTCCAGACAAACAACTCCCTTTTGCGAACTTCACCATGTGGAAAGGCCCGCCAGCTTGTTCGGAAGATTTCGGAAGGCCTTAGGAGTCCATGCTCCTCCAAGCAGACCTTATGGCTCACTGAGGGGGAGGGTCCCTTGAAGTTTTGGTTTCAAGTGAATTTCCTCGCGTTTGTTTTTTTCTTCGAAAGGGACATTCGAAACTCTGACCTCAGCCGAATGAGTCTTGCTGAGGCCGAGTCGAAGGGAGGTCACTGCAACAACTGCAGCCCGGGACTAAATGTGATCGGACTGGCCGTCGCGACAGAGAAGCCTTATCCGGGATCTCTTTGAAATGATCAGCGCCACCAATCAAAGTCAAGAAGTGCTTCTCATTGCGCCAGGCGCGGATGTTATTTGACTGTGCGTGTTTCAGGGTGCCCTTGGGGTGAGACAAGTTGGGGTTTTCAAAATGGGTCTGATTTCCAAGCCATGAAGGACTCCCACACAAATATTATCCATGACGTGAGAAACCCCTGGGTGAGCTCGCTTGCACAGTTTAGAGTCTGGTCCAATTTAGCCAACTTCACTGCAGGTACATGGATTTGTTTCGTACCGAAAACAGCTGCCAGAGTTCTGAAAGGTCCCCTACTAATATTGCCCCACCAAACTTTAGCAGGGAACACACATGTTTTAAATCTGACTACGGCATACCAGAAGCAACCATGTTTAGGCCATGTTGTGTCACACCAAGAGAATACAAGGAGTGTTTTTGTTCTGGCAGTTGGCATCACAGAAACGGTTGTTTCCCATATTCAGATTCATGTCACATGCTGCAGGGGTTCCATTCAAAAAACACGTTACTCAAAAGGGGAGTCTGGCTCCGTGGTTCTGGAAAACAATGCTCTTCTACAAGGTTCTCGCGTGCTCGAGGCAAATGGCTGCGGCTCCTGCGACGCTTAACCTCACACACGTACCCTACGAGGCGGGTTTGGCCAGGTGGATTTGTCTGAGCAGACCGTGGACGGACAAAATCGGCTCCGAACCAATTGGTGGAAGTATGTGGCAGTATTTGTAGAGCTTCATCCATCCCAACCGGTGCAGGATTTGTTCAATCCCTCCCTCCAACAATCACGGAAGCTGACTGGAGGGGTTTGGAAGACTACTTTCCTTTTGGCGGAGCCTGGCCACTTTCATGAAAAACATGAGGCTGGCGCCGCTTCAATTAATCGGTCAAATACCCAAGGTTTCACCGGGCCCCTTAGTTTTTTTTGGTATGTATCCTTCAAGGAAGTCCGGCCATGTCTTTCGGGGCATGGAGCCAGCTAGAATGTCACACCAGATGAATTTTTGGGAGCATGTTTTCAGGCACGAAGCAGGCTTTTGGATGTACCCCTTTCTCATCACGAGAGTTGGGATGTCACCCCGCGGGTTGAAACATGACCCCTGTTTCCAGGAACCCTGGAAACCACACGCTCCATAGTTTGTGGGCCATCATTTTTTGCTCCAGTGATTCAGGTGGTCTCCCGGAAGAACTTCAAGTTGCGGCCAGGGCCCCGGGAAAGATTTGCGCGACTGCGAGAAATGTATGCGTGTCTTTCTTTGCCCCTTTTGGGAGAGGGGGTTCGATGGAAACCAAAAGGAAACCAACCAACTTTTGGGAGTTCCTTTGTTTCGAGACAACCCCAAATACTGGGCTGCGGAAGCATCTGTTACTAATTATTTGAAGCATGATTTCAGTGTTAGAATGTTTTGGTGTCGGTTCACTTTGAAAGTTTCATGATGTTCATGTTGCACCAGTACCCCAAAAACGCAGGAAGCACATGCAAGCTTCCAAGGGAGTGGGCAGTTTTGGCCACCAGTGAGGTGATGAGCGTCACGTGCCATTTGGGCCAAAGCAGCCTCCGCAAAGAAATGTGGTGCCAAGATGTGTCCGAGGGAGGCCGCGCAACCCACTCTCATCATTTTGCTTCGCAGTCTTGTAAATTGCCTGGCTTGGCCTGAAAAGGAAGAAGCAGACCCCCCCCCAGAAACAACAAGGCTGGTTGCTTTTGGGCATTCTTTCAAGCCAACCAAAAGGCGGTTCCCCCGGGTTGTTTGGTAGCTTCTGGGCTCCTGAAAGTCTATCTTTCCTCGGGTTCAATTGGTTTGGTCCCCGAGAATGGCCCAATACTGTTCCACTTCCTGTTCTAGCTGTCGGGTCGACTTGTTTCGGTTTACTCCATGATTTGGAGCCATCGTTGCGCAGTGATCCAGGATGTGACGCGCCACTGGGCTGTCAGGCTAGAAGCCATGAGCTTCCTTCAACCAGGCCCCCCTTTTCCATGCCTTGAAACTCGAGTTTTTTCACTGTTCTTGTTTGATTTCTGTGCTTTCTGATCGAACTCTGCCAAGATTCGTGAGGATGCAGCGAAGCAATCACGTTTCGCCTGCAAACCGGGGGTGGGAATCTCGGGGGGTCGTGCAAGATCGAAGCGAGGCATGAGCACGTGTGGGAGCGGCATCTGGAGAGCGGCCGGCTTCTCAACGTTTCTGCTCAAAATCGGGGTTTGGACCCGGACCCATAATTTACTGGATTTCGTGGGTTTCCTTTCGGCTTCCCTTCAAAAACCCTAACCAACCTCCCCAAGCTAGCCCCAAACCCAAGCCAACCCGCAAACCCGCAAACCCGCAAACCTGCCAACCCGCCTCGATCGCTTGGCAAGGCCAGATGGATATCCAGGACAAGCGCAGGGAAGATGCCCAGCTTCTCATTGACTGGTGCCTGCGATCCAGGCTGTGGCCGATGACATTGGGTTGGTGGGGGTTGGGGGGTTTGGGGGTCTTGGGGAGTTTGAGGGGTTGTAATTTTAGGGGGGCTTGGTGGGGAGAGGGGAGGGAGGGGGGCAGGGATGGGGGGAGGGAAGGTGCGGAGTGGGGTCAGGGGGTTTGGTGGAGAGAAACGAGGAGAAGGAAGAGAGTTGATGCAATTCGTGTGGGCAAGGGTGAAGCATTTGCCCAACGAACAGGCCCTTCCCGTTTATTGTCCCTTTGTACGGGGGGGGCACTAGTGTATGGATGGGGAGGCCTGAAATTTACTGGTTAAGAGTTGCGGATCGTGTGCTTCAATGATTGCTGCATGTGGGTATCAAATAGGGATGCCTCCCAGTTTGAGTCACAAGTTATTTGTTTGCCTCGGGATTGCTGCTTCAGCAATTGGTCTAAAGCTTGATAGCTGGAGCCCTTTGGACATTTCCTACGGGGTGCCACACCAAGGGATCCAGTTTCACGGTTGGTCTTTGGTGTGACCACTTGCCCCTACGAGACAAATTGTTTTTCTACAGTCGGTTCGACCTTTTCAGGGGGGAAGAGCGACCCAGATAGACGTAGATGAATTGCAAAATGATATTCCCCTTGGAGGTCTACACAATCTCATCCCCCCTGAAAGGTGACCACGCTTGTGCAAGTCCTCCCTGGACGAGGGACCAGCAGGGGTTCCTCTTTTGCCGGTTTAGAGTGTCAGGCTTTCGCCGGCGCAGCTGTGCTTTACCTTCAAGGAGTGGGGCGCTTGGGCGGACGGACTTGATGGAATTTCGATATTAAAGCGGCATATAAACTTGATGAGCAATAAGGGCCTTTGCTAAATGTTCAGGGCTTGATTCAGGTATGTGTGCTGGAGGTACGGAGGTTTGGCACGTGGTGCAAGCCTGTGCTAAATCGCTGGTGATCCACTTGCGTGGGGACGGAGTGGCGGATGTTTGCCGCGATCGGGCCGAGAGAATTTGGGTGCTTGCTCGCTTCAAGCAATGCCCTCGAAGGGCTATGCTGAAGCTGGTGTTTGCGGCATGTATATGTTGCGAGTGTTCGGGCTTCTTTTTCGCTGTGGGTGGCATCTGACGGATTCCACTGGAGAGTGTGTCACTTTCTTCATCCTGCTCAGCTTTTGCATGCCTTATAGTTAGGGTAGTGTGTGAGCATGTAGATACACGTTTGTATGGTGTACTATTTTGTGTAGTCTATATGTGCCATGATCAAATTCTACTTTACTGGGACTTGGTAGGGGCACCAAAAGCCTCTCAAACGGCTAGGGGAGCCGTGACCAGGGCCTTCAAAAAAAGCTGAGGTTGCAGCGGCGGCTCACGGTGGAGCTACAGACTTTCGAGGTGCGGGTGGAGTGATGCCGGTTTCGCTTCCGGGGCTCCATTTGCCACATCAAGATGTTTGGGTGACTGTACCCAGTTGCCCGGTGGGGCCCTTTTTGCCTTTTTTGGGAAGATTTCCCCTTTAAACCCAACCAACAAAAAATATGGCCCTTCTTTCCCCATGGCCACTGGGCATTTGAGTGCAAGAGGCCCCCAAGAATTTGTTTATTGGGGTTATTCCAATGGTTTGGATTGGCGTTTTGGATTTGAATGGGAAGCGACCCCTTCACCAATTAGAGGGAAGCTGAAGTATCAGGGGCGAATAAGCTTTACCAATATTACTCCTATTCTCCGAACTGAAATCGGCGAATCCAGAAATTTATTCTGCCACACAACGGAACACGTTGGCACCACATTTCTCTGAGCTTTCTGGCATCAAAACCTGACGAGAGCCATGGCCAGCTGACCTGGGAGTGTTGGCGAGGAAGAGAGGACCAAGTACGAGGAGGTGTTGTCAGTGGCTGAGATTGGCCTAAGACGGGACTAGCGGCTGTACGCCAGTGAAGTAGGTCAAGGCTTGCGGTCTTTGACGTGTAGGGCCAACCTGCAAAAGCAGAGTGGTCCGGCCACTACATCTGGACATATTATCACGATCTTACCTGGGAGTAAAACAAGTTCTTATGAAACTCCTTTTGCGCAGTCTGTTTTCTCGTACTTGATGATGGCTATGTTGCGGCTCGGGCGCATCCCCCGTTGCCAAGGCTATTGAAAGCCTGGGGCTGAGAGCGCGCTGCTTTGTTCAGAGCGATGACGTCGTTTGAGGGTGTTTGACCCCCAGCACAGGTTTATTGCGGATGATCCCAACCCAAACCTTATGCAAAATTGGCGGCAACCACACCAGCTCTTGTGTTTGTTTGCATATATGGCGGGTTAGGGTTTTAGATCTTGTATGTGCGATGGTCGGTCCAGGTACCATACAGATGGAATTGAGTCACACACTGTCATAGTTACTTGCTAATTAGTGTCTAAAGAAACAGCTCACTTGTTCCTTTGTGATCGCTGAGTTCCCCAGCAAGCATGGCCTATCCCAAGGGTGAACTAAGAGGGTCACGGGTTGCATCAGTAAGGTTCGGCGCCTCCTGAGCCTCGAGCAGAGATCGTCGGGGCCTTTGTTTTGAAGCAATCGCCTTCTCACTTCCCGAGTTCCTGGACTAATTTTAAACTTTTTGAGAAGACCATGTGGTGGTAAATAAACAGTTTTTTTTTTTTTGTTGCCACTCCACTCAGAGAACGTGAGCCTTTCGGGGGAAGCCAAAACGAGTTTCCGTTGGGCGCGCGGTTCCCTCCGTGGCCGGTGTGGTTTCAAACCAAAACTTGTTGGACGAGTTCTCTTTTGGTGGCGATGTGTAAAGGGCAAATAGGGAACCTCTGCGAGGCCATCAAATCGGTGGTAGTACTAGGTTCAAAGGGAAACCCAATGGACACCACCACAATGGGGGCTCCCCTAAACGAAGACACCCATTTTTTGGTTCCAGCCACTCAGCCTTGCGCATGCCACGGGGTGCGTTTGGCGTCATGTTGCGCTTTCCCTTTTGCTGCTAGGTTTCACTTTAGCCTTGGGCTCTATGGCAACATGTGGTTTTTCCCTAGTATGCGGCAAATAAGATGAAACAAGTCTAAGTGCTGGACATGTTATGTCCTGGTGGGGGAAAAAGCGGGTGTCCAACTGGTAGGTTGCCCCTTGACGACTCCGGGTGGATGACAAAGTGCCAATGCTCAGGAACGACACAAACGCGAAGCGTGACGTCGGACAAGGTTCGGGGCGAGACTCTTGAAGAGAGGTTTCTTTTGGGACTTGTCTTGTGACGCGCTTGATTGACCCAGACCTCCAGCGATGCCCTTTTTCCATTTGGTTGGGAGGGGCCAAAGAAAGGTGTCCTTCTTTTCATGGCCACTGGGTTTGGACAACGGAAACATTGTTACAACAGAGCTCCCGTCTCAATCTTTCAGCTTGGGGCTTCTGGGATGGTGCTCGCCTTCTACCAGGGTCCCTGGCTGCAACCACATGACTGGCTTCAACAACATTCTTCTCGAGCCTAAGAACTAAGTCAATCCTCTATCCTGATGCCAGAGTGTAAGTGGGTTCCTTGTTGTAGCGGTGCCCCGCTACAGACGGCGAATGATTAGGGACCCCCCCAATTTCATTTGGACCAATTGAGCTTGGCCAATTTTCACTCTTCGGGGCACGCAAACTGGACTGTGCCGGATGGTCGAGTTTGGAGGTTCCGAAGACTTGCTCAAGGAGATGCGCTCCCTTTTCCAGCAGGAGGGGTTGACGGCTGCGGCGAAAGCATGGGCGGCTTGTCTCTAGGGGAACCTTCAAATTGAGTGATGCCCCAATTGACCCAGTTGCATCACACACGGCAAACTTGTCGTGCATGGTTGGTAGATTCATGCAGCTTGCATTTGCACATACGATTCTTCCTGATGAACGGGGGATTCAACGATTTCCCCACCGACTCCCTAGACGGGACCCGCATGGACCCGCGAAGACGAACTATGACGCACAAGCCTTATTGAGGCTGATTCCACCCGATTTGCCCTTGTTCACTCCCTTGAGTTACCCTTACGGGGTCAGGTGCACGGATTTTGATAGTGATACTTGTCACGTTCCCTGCTTGCATTGGGCATTGCGCATGGCCTAGACACACGCGATGCTATGTCCTCGCCGCTTCCGGGTCCCCGGAGGTGCCACTTCAGTTCCTCCTGGAGCTGTCAAGCGCATGTAGCCCGGTGGCCCGTAAAGCCAGACGGACAGCGCGTCAGCCGTTTTTGCGTGTCATCAACTTCCAGGTCACACTGGAGGTCTGCGAAATTCAAGTGAGTGTGTGAGCTGTTTGGTCAAGTTCTGTTGAGCCATGGGCAGTGTGCAATTTGCAACTTGCATGCGAGGGGTTCATGAGATATAAGAAGGTGGTTGCGCAAAGATCAACTCACGTCGTGCTTTCTGAAGTCCGCGAACTGGCGCTCAAAATGACCTCCATTCAGCCTGTCTAGTCCGAATACTGTTTGCCAAGTGTTTTGACCAAATTCGGCCTAACTTTAGCTAATTTTGCCAGGAATGTCGCCTGCCAAGTTGAATCTGCGGCCCCGTGTTCCAAGAAATGGGGTTTCCGGCAACATAAATCCAATTGCATTCAGCCCTTTTGGCTGCAGAGAACAAGCTACAAGTAACCACCCGTTTGCGTTCGCCTTATAGGTCGATGAGCGTGCTTGGTCTGGAAAGTGCATCTAGAAATGATCCACGATCCCGGGTGAAGCTTGAACAGTGGGATCGGGCAATACGTTGCTTTGGCAGGCACCCCCTCCCCAATAACAGAGGAATTACTAGCCTGCACCCAGCTGGCCACAGCCTTCCCCACATATCCTCATGTCCACTGAAGCTTCCCCAATTTAGATGCATGCCCTTGGGACTGCGGGAGCAGCTGGCACGGCATTCGGGACGCATTCCGGCGAGAAGCATCTCGGCTCAAGTCGTTCACCCCGCTTTTCCGAAGAATGTCCGAGCTTTCAGAATCTGAGGAGCCTGTCATTATTTTGACCATCGGGGTTGTGAAAGTCAGAACGTCGGATTGCTCCAGGCGGGGGGTAGCCTTGTGCTGTCCATCGGATGCCACAAGGTCTCTTCTTCACATTGCATGGTTGCCTTCCGATTTCTTGGCGAAACCCTTGCAGTGGACATCCAAGGGGGCTATGAGAAGGGAGCGCGATACACGACAAACGCCCCAATCATTGTAAGCAGGGAGCCAGGGAATCGCGCACCGCAATTCACCGGCTTTGGGGTCGAGGATGGTTGGTTTACCTTCATCACCCCCGAGCAACACTCTTGGATGGGGCTATGCAAGTGGCTTCCCCATTCTTTTCAACCATCGTTCTTTTCGAACACCAGCTGTTTCCCCTTGGATTCTGCTGGTTTTCTGAGAAGAAGGATCCCTGGAAAGAATGGGGAAGTGTCCCCTAGACTTTTGGAACCTTGACAACATTTGGACCAAATTATCATGGGCGACGCCAGGGAGAAGCTGGTGCTCAGGGAATCAACCGGGTCTTTGGCGGGAGGGGATCTGAAGGGAATTGGAGGAACCCGATGGTTGGGTCATTTCAAGCGCTTGGTGGGTGCGGAACCCACTAAGATTTGTCCTTGCCCCAAACAGGGTTCCATGTGTTTCGGACCCTTCGGGTTGCATCACCTTGTATTTCCAGGTCCATTGGGCAAGTGAAGCTTCGCAGGAGCTCCTGACCCAGCGCCCACAGAGGTCCGTGAGCCGCTGGACCGTGGCGCTGGGGCTCGGGCTGCTGGGCACGTTGGCCCTCGGCCTGGTGGCGCCACGGATGGGATTTGCCGAGGGCAAAGCGGGCGAACGCGTCGGTCCCAAAAACTCGGGGATCCAATTCTGATTTCAGGTTTGGGCATTTGAGCTTAAAATTGCAAACAGATGGCAGGCGCTCTGTCGGGCCTCAAGAAATCAGCAAGCCGAAAAAGGTTCAGTGGATTCCGTGCCCTCTAAATCGCTTCGTAAGCTAAGCTGGGTCCCGGGTGTGGTCCCAGAATTCGAGCCAAAACTAAAACAGTCAAACCCACAGCTTACCAGCACCCTCCAACGACTCTTTTTCTCGCCTTTCAACCTCTCAAGTCCAAAAAGCAGTTAGATGGATTAGAGATTTGGTCTTGGGTCAATTGGGTCCTTGTGCGTTCCTGCAAAGCTCTAGGGTTCTTCATTCGTCCCGGGTCCATGAATGCTTTCCTGCCAAATGCCTAGTCTTGTGACATGGTCTTGGGCTGGGAAGGCTGGGCTGTGGGTCCGCAAGGTTTCAAGTTTTGAGAAAAGGATGGCTTCATTGGGATGGAGAATCGGGTTGGCTCTGAGATCTGGCATTGAATCACCGAAAATTGAGGTCGGGAGGAAAACCTGGGTGCTTTTGCATTCGACTTGGAGTTGAACTGTTTGACAATTTGGAAACTGGGGTTTCCTCCAAAAGTTTGTTTTTTAGAATGGGTGAAAATAGGCAGCCTCCCCCCTTTAAAGTAGCACTTTTCCCGTTGGTGTTCCTTTACCCGCCCAACACAGAAGCATTAACAAATGACATGCCCGTTGGCCTTCCAATCTGAATGCAAGGCATTGGGCAGCCGTCGGCAAGGGCTCCGAAGTGGGCAAAGCTTTGTGGGACTCGAGGAGGCAATGGCAAAGACAGACAGACAGCTGATGTATGCCGATGTGCTTCCTTGGTTTCCTTTGGCTTCCTTTGTTGTCTTTGGTTTCCCTTGTCAACGGCCCCAATGTTTGTCCAGGTCGGATGCCAGCCTGTGCTTTCTTCCAAGTTTTGAAATGACTTGCATGTCCCAGTCGGACCTAGAGGAGGGGTCCTTACAGCCAAGCTTTGAGAGAGGCAGCTTGGCATTATGAGCGCAGACTGCCTCTCAAACGCCGAGTGGCACAGGGGCACTGCACTAGCGCCCAGCTTGATCCTTGTCAGGCGGCGGTTTACTTCGATGGCAAGGAATTCTCACATGCGGCTCAGCCGCCATCAGGGTATATTTGCAATCATTGGTCGACTTATCCAGGCTAAGCCGTGCGTACACCTGAGTGATGAGTTGCGCAAAATGTCCCTTGGTCAGCCAAACACGTGACCATTGCAATCATTCTGACAGTCCCGCGCGCTTCTTCTGGAGGTGGTACGTGTGATTGTTGCGTTCCCCGCCCCCTAAGTAACGGGTGGAGGCGGAGGGGAGCTGCGCACCCAAATCTCCCAATACAGGATTTGTTTAATATATGTTTGGTTTGCGTGTGCAAGAGAAATAATGTGCATGTGTACAAGAACTGGTTTCAAGACAAGCATGCTTTTGAACGGTGCTGCGTGTTGCAGGGGCTCGGCTTGAGGCATTCATAAGCCCCCCCGCCCATTTTGTGTCACACATTTGGGCCGCGTCTCCCTCCGAACCAAGAAAGACGCCCGTCACATTGTTTTTACCGGGGCCACTGGCCCTGGGGGTGGGGATAGGTTTCCCTTTCAGAAATGTTCAACCTGCCCCCAACAAAAAAAAAGAAAAAAAGAAAGAGAAACAAAACACACACACACACACACACACCAACGAAGCAACAAAGAAAAGAGACCAACGTGGCCCCCCCCTCTTACTGGGGATCACAGGTATGCACAGCTTCCACATGGGGATTTCCTCGCGCATCCGAGGAGTGCTTCAGCAAGGGGGTCTTCTACGCGGACCCCACGCGACTGGAATCCGCCGCAAAGAGTGTTGAGCTGACTGCCGAGAACTGCCAGAACCGCTGCCAAGGCTGGGTTGTAGAGTGGTTTCGGAATCTGGGATTGGGGTGAGTGGGAAGACTAGAAAGGAATTGGCTGGGGATGCGGAGGTTCGAATTTCGTCAAGGCAAGGCCTCGGTGGACACACAAATAGGTGTGTCTTTTTAAGGTTGGACCTGCCAAAATGGCTTTGGTTTGCCTTTCGGTTTTCCCACACCACAAAAAGGGGTACCCTAAAAAAAGACGCACTGATGGCTTTTTCATTGAACCTACAGGTGATCGATCGACCTGGAGCAGCTTTCTGGCAGGTGAGCAAAAGGAAGGGCAGGATGATACCAAACCCCTGAATAAAGACAGACCTGACCCCAAAATCCCCAAAGCAGAATGGCACTTCAGCCGCAGGGTTTATTTGCCCCCATGATTCCGCTTGTTGCTCTTTTGGTTGTACCTTGGAGTATGCCGGGGTGCGTGCAGCCTCATTTCGTCTTCATGAGGTCGGGCCCTTTTGTACGGTCCGCTTGACAAAGTTTGGTTTGGAATTCTCGCGGCCGGTTGCATGAGGCACGGATGGCTGCGCCTACTTCACCTTTTGGCTGGACGGGGGCTGCATGCTGGCGCCCTGGAAGTCGACTCCCGAGGCTGCACCTGTGAAGTGCCCTGGGAGTTGCTTACTCCGCAGATACTTGTAGCGTGGAGCCAAGAAAGCCCATATTTGTGGAGGGAAAGGGGCCTTTTGCAGCGTCCAGTTTGGGGGTTGTGAATTTAAGGGGAAGATGTGTGCGGCCATGGTCTGAACGATGCACATGGTTTCAACCATTGTTTCAATAATGCAAAGTACGGTGTTTGAATGATGGCATCAATGATGGAACAGGTGAACCATTCATCAGTTGCTTGAACGTTCCTATGTGATTGACTTGGGCCATTCATATAAGGCCAAGGTTCTACGCTGATCGAATGGGAGGCACGCTGTACTGCTTTTGACCAGCGCCAACTTGGGTATCCTCCCAAAAACCTGAATTGACACATGTGGAGCTTGAAAGAAAGTCCCCGGAAGAGAACTTCCCAAGGAGGGGTTCCTTGCATTTCGTGGTGCCACATGGCCCATGTCCTTTATCTTACCGAAAGGGAAACCGAATGGGGATGGATATTTGTGCGCAGACCTTTTCTCAGCTCCCCGTCTAAGTCTGGCCAGAGGTACTCCAACATCATTAGCGGGCCCAAGTATTGCGAGAAGAACATCAAGGCCGCTGTGGAGACCATCGCAGCTGCTAAGGCCTGCGAATGGGGGGAGGGGAAGGGGGGTCACGTCTGCAGGCACACTGTACGAGCATTTGTGTTTCAACAATGGTTGGGTCAGACAACCCTTAGTTGGTGGTTTGGATTGCTGGCTTGGGGAATTTGAAACCCTGGTTCTTGCGGGTAAATTGTTTCCAGCCTCCAAACCACTGCTCCAAACCGCCCTGATTTCGTAGGTTGTTTTTTAGCTTGAAGCCAAACAGGGTTGTCCCACAACTCCCTTCCCACACCTCACCCGGTTCAGCGGCACGAAGCTTCCACCCGGCAGGAGATTTGTTTGGATTTCTTTGGTGGGGCAAAGTTGGTTTAAACGCCGCCCTGGCCCGGTTGAAGGGGAACCAAAAGGAGGCTAACTAAAACAAGGATTATGTAAACATGTTTCATCGAGGGCCTGGCACTCTGCACCCTCTAAATCCCTTAGCACAAGACAACGTATAGAACAATATGGCAAGACTACATGATGACTACGAGACAATAAAAACACTGCGAGAAAGTTATGGGAAGACTCGAGAATACCACGCAGTGCTCGCAGTGCTTGCGCAACAAGCCAGGTAGAGCTACGACGGCAGCTGAACAACATGCAACCCGATAAGGGGGAACGGCAAGGGAGAGCATAGTTTAATGTCAGGTAACATAAGGCAACCATGCGTTGTGTTGATTGCAGCAGCGTTAGGCAATGTTACGACCCCCGCCAAGGAAGCTGCCGTGAGTTGATGTTTTAAGTTTGAACAGCAGTTTCAAGCAGATGGTTGAGCCAACATGCCCAACCACTGAAACAATAGTTTGGCGCAGCGACCTGACCCCCGCTCCCCCTCAAGGCCTCAAGGCGGGAGGATTGGGTTTTGGCGCGTCTTGCCGAGGCCGAGCCGGCCCGTACTGCTGTCACCTGGGGAGCAGGAGGACGTCCAGTTTGGGAGGTTTGGATCACCTCTCCTGTTCTTTCCTGCAGGTTAACATGAATCCCGACCAGGGCTCGTGCAACAGGAGATTCTTCTTCGATGAAGGTTCTTGGGTTGAATTTCAATCTGCAGGGTGCCTGACGTATGTATTGTTGGCCGTTTTGGTTATCTTCAATTTTTGCAAGCAGCAACAAGTTAACACCGTGCAGTGTGCGGGATCCCGCTGGACCGTTTGGGGCACGGACGCCTCCTTTGGACGGAGATGGCACTAACCAAACATTTGGGCAGCCTGTGGACGAAGATAGGAACCCAACTCTTTAACGGCGCTGTTTTTCCTTTTGTTTGGAGGGGGCGTTCCTTTAAAGTTAACTCCCCAAAAATATGTGCATGGTGTTTTTCCCCATGGCCACTGGGGAGTGCGGGGGAAACAAATCCTTTGGGCGGTCCCGTGATGCTAAGGAGGATAACTTTGACTCTCAACAGCGCATTCAATGACGGAAGTGTCCTCTTCTAAGCAGCCCCTACCGCCCCCCCCGATGACTCGTTTGTTTTCCCATGTTGATATACCTCAAATGTCCGAAAGTAGTCGTGTGGGGGGGTCCCTTTTTGTACCAGTTCAACATGCTTCAGGGTTATGCAAGAGATGCGTATTTGCTGATCCCGAATGAAAACTCAAAAGTTGGGTCTTCTAAGTTTCTGTTGACTTGTATTTTGCCCAGCAGGGTAAATACCGAGCTCATTTGAGAAGGAATTCGACCGCTGTGGCTCAAGGAATGGAACCCGAAATGGCCCCTTGGCACGTGGAACCAGGGGCCAACGCCTACCTAACATATTGAGCCACACCGAGATAGGTGTCCTTTTCGGTTAGTTCGGTTCAAGGTACATGGATTTCATTGATTCACGTTGGTCCGATTGTTGTTTAACAGTGCCATCATCTATTTCTAAAGAGCCCCTGGATACTGAGCTTTGAAGATGGTCTGAATTACTGGCTGGGGCTTTAACCACTGTTCAGGAGTCGAGGCGGCAGAGGCCGGGCTGCAGGCGGTGACGGACGACTCCACCAAGGCGGCAGAAGCCGTCAAGGACTGCAAGTTCAGTGGTTCCCAGCCATCCCCTTTGGTTTTTAGAGCTGTTTCTAACCAACTAAAGAGGGAATCTGGGAACAGCCCAGTTTTGGCTGGGGTTGGTTTGGTTTCTTTTGGGGTCGGGCAAGCAATTGGCATGTGTCAAAATAGAGGAACCTCCTGAGAGACAAAAGTGGGCCAACCATGTGTTTTTTCCCCAACCATGTTAGGAGACCCTGATTTTGCGAATCGGCACGGGGTGGTGGGAATGAGGGCGCGGTTGCCAGGATACCAGGAAACTTTCCTTCAAATGGATATGTTTTTATTTGGAGGCAAATTCCAGAACCACGGTTTGGTTTGGTTTCACCGCAATTTGGTTTGGCTTCCTGTGGTGGGCTTGGGTAAAAGACGTGTGAATGGTTTCTTTTGGCTTCTCGCTTGTTTCGAGGACATGGTGGCGCCAGCGCCGGGGGTCAACGGACGCTTGCCGAAGAATGGGGCATGCCGCGGGACGCCTCCGAACCGGGTGGTGGCTACCCCCCTTGGCTTAGGGGAAAGCCGAAGGAGACCGAGCATTCTTGGTGGTGACCCCAAACCGGGCCCCATTTGATGGCTTCTCAAAATAGCGGACCTTCTTTTGTTTGGGAGTCAAAGGGAGTCTAACAGGGAACCAACCGTTTTTAAGCTTTTTTAACTGGACCACTATTTTGGTGGGGGTCGCTCGGACCCGCAACTCAATGTCCCCCTGGACTAGCTGCATGGAACTGGGCGTTGAACTGGCCCAGGTTGCGGCCAAGCACGTCTTAGGACATAGCACCTTAGGGTGCCCTTTTTCCAGAGACTGTTCAATCAATTTGGGAGGGAAGCGGGCTCTTGCAATTTCCGCATGCCAGGGAACCATTAGATGTTTGCTTATGTACGTGGATACATACCCATTGTTTCCCTGGGGATTGTAGTTTGAGGGTAGTGGAAAACCATCTTAGAAAGGTTCTGCAAGGTCCCCTCAAGCTTGTACGCGCCTGTATGGCAACATGAGGATGCGCTTAGTCCTGAAGATGCTCCCTCGCTTGGAGAAACCACACGCTGCCCAGGTACCCCTTGTATTTCCCTGGCTGGCAATTCGGGCATTCAAAGGCTGATGTGCAAACAACCCATGTATGAAGCTCAATTCATTCAGTACTTATTATTGCTTGAGCGACTAAGCAGCCATGGGTTCACACAAGCAGCCTTTGACATGTACCATCATACACCTTTTTTGGTACACATTTGCACTTGGGCGTCTAGGGTTTGCAGGCACCTTTCTTTTGGCACGTCGCACTTGGGTTTCACACACACACACCCCTAATCATTCCCTTGGGTACGACCTCCAAGGAAAATCTTCAGGAAGCCCAATACCCAGCAAAACCAACAGATTTGACTTACTTCCTGCTTCTTTCCTAGGCGTGTCAGAGTAGCAGACCAGCCCAGGCACCTCTTGTGCCAAGTACCCGGCCTGTGCGGCGGCGGGGCTGGATGGAGAGTGCTGCCCCAACACGGGCAAGGTCAGCTTGGACTGCTGTAACGGCATCGTGCCGGCCACAACCACCGACATCACGGCGCTTTGGGCACCGTTTGTGTACTGGGTTGTTCCTTTGCGCTGTTCAACCAGGGTCACTCAGCAGATGACAAAACGGGCCACTAGACAATCACATTAACTGGCCGGCTTGGAGGATCCCCGTGTAGAGCTGGCGATTTTGGATGTATCCTTTGAGGAACCCTTTCAAAGGCAATGTTTCATCCTTTCCTTGGAATACATAGCTGCCGTTTCCCTGAATGATCGGGATTGGCCAACCTGCCCTTTCCGGTAGGTCGACCTTTTAGATTTAGGCTTGTGCCCGGATTGCAAGCAAGGAAATAGGAATGGCTATCATCATTCGAATGGCGGAACTTGATTATTCCCCTCTGCTCGCCCAAGGTGGACAAGGTTTGGGAGAACCATATTTTTTTGTTGCTCCCTCGGATTAATCCAGATCTGGCCAGTCCTCTTCGGTCCTTTCCTGCTGGATCACCCTGTCTGGCCAGTAAGACTACAATAGCAAAGTAAACGGAAGTTGGATTTTGTTATTTCCAGAGCTGGAGAGGGACTTGATCAATCATTCGGGGGGGCCTAGCCTTGAAAGGGGGTACCCATATACGAGCTTGTCAAGCCTGGAAGCCGTTTCTGGCTAGCCGTTTTTGTGTCTGGAATGGCAACCCTTGAGACTATGAAAGGAGTTTGCATTGGCAGAAGTATTGGCAATAGCTTTGGTAATTTAAGTTTAGTTGCTTAGCATTTTTTGAAATTTGGGCAAGAAATGGGCGTCTTTAATCAGAGGGCGTTTTTAGAAGGTGCCTCCAAGAATTAAGAGGGGTCTGTTGGCCAAACCTTGTGGGTGCCTTTAAAGTAGAATTGGCTGGCAGTCGGCTGGGGAAACCGCACCCCTCCGCCATTTGTCGCTAGAAGCCTGTGCCTGTATTGGTCACAGGCTTCATTTCTTGGACCTTTGCGTGCGGCTGAATGGGAACCCGAATAAACCAACCCATCCAACTTGTAATTGGTTGGGTTGTGTTTCCTGAAGTGATCCGGAACCTCCACCACAATTGGTGCCTCCGATCAACATAAACCCGGGTTATGCCTGCTAGACCAATTTGCCTTTCAAAAAGGTTGACTGTCAGATTTATGTCTTTGCCCTTTGCGTGTGGGTTATTGGAAACGAAACGAACGCCTACCATTTGGAGGAACTGCTCCGTCATTTTGAGAGAAAACACAACAAACATAGCACTCTTTGCCCAGCTCAGTGGCGCCATGTCTTGTTTACCCCGTTTTTAGACGCCGGTTCTTCCGTCAAAAGGGTCATCCACCAAAAGGGTTCCAGCTTTTTCTACCAGGGTCGCTGGGAACTGGGTTTGGCTTTGCATGTGTCACCCAGGCAAGACGCTGAAACGCACAGGCACCTCAGGGGCACAAGAAACTGGCAGCACTCACTTGCTCCAACAGTTGCAGGACAGCGGAATATCAATCCACATGAATGCATAATCAGGCAGGGGTCCCTCATCGTCCCTTTGTTGGACGTCCAACAGTGGCATCTCACTGCCAACCACCAGAAAGCGACAATCTTCACGAGTGAAACCCAGTGGCTCCAGTGACCCTTGACTGATACCTCTGGGATATTCTTCGGATTTCTCTTCCCTGCTTGTGTCTGTTAGGTGCACGTCACAGCCGGGCCAGAGGTGGCGGGCAAGACCGGGTCCGTGCGTCTCTATCTGCACGACAAGGCCGGGAGTTAGATTGGGATTCCCCACCGCCTTAAACAGTTGTTTGTCTCTGCGTTGTTTTGAGGGCACCCTTTCACCGTGTATCAAAGGCAGACCAAGAGAACACCCCTGCTTGTGGGCGACGCTATTTTGGCACATACCCAAATGGACTTGGGTTGGGGAAGGGGGGGGGGATCATTGGAGTTTCATGCTTGGTTCCACTATTATTCCTTTTGTGCGGAAGACCCGCAAGATTGAATTGGGGATCTTCTCATCTCCCCCTTTGCCTCTTCCGATGGCGGGATGAGAGAAGTCGAAGTGACCCCATGAGTTTAGGGTAATTACCTCAATGACGGAGACTCCAAGACTCAAAGGCCACCACCTTCCAACGTCGGTCAAGTGTTTTCTTGGAGGGACTTCCCTTAAAGCCTTAAAGCTAAACCTCCGAAAACCATGGAAGCTGAGCTTCCTTTTTGTAAGTTCCACCCCAAACCTGCACGGCCATAGGCGCTGGCAGACGTGGGCGCAACCTTGGTCTCGGAGACACCTCTCAGCATGGAGGACACCCAGCTGGTTGGAAGGGAGCTGCTCTAGATCTGGGTAACCAAACTCGCATTCGGAGTCCTGGTTAGGCTTCAGAAGGTGGTTGATGCGAGCTCGTTGGGGCCATTGTGTAGTCGCCGCATGTGGTCAATGGCTGGGATTGCTGTCGCCAGAGCCATCTGCTGTTGCTGGCAGCTTGCGGGCGCAGTGGCCATTTGCTTGGAGCTGCTTGGACCATTTGTGTTGGCATACCCTCGGCAGAAGCTTGTAGGGTCACGACTCTCCATCCAGCTGGGGTTCCAGAGACAAAAACACGCGGCCAAGTCCTGCGCATGTTGCTTGTCACGTTTGGCCATGTTCAGGTATGGCCTTGGGAGGTGAGGCTATATACAACTTATATGGGGTATAAGCTTGCGAAGCCTTTATTGGTGGTAGACCTGCATCCTCATCTTCAGACTCCATGCCTGAACATTCTCCTTTACAGTTTGGGCCGTTGCTCGCACGTGATGCTTCAGCATAGGGCCGTGTCTTCTTGAGGGTGCCCTTTTTGGATGTGTTTTGAGGGCAGATGGTGCGGGTGTCCCTCTGCTAAATTTCGTGTATGGCATGCAGAGCCAATCCTCTTGAGATAATCGATTGGGTGGTATCCTCACTGCCCGCAGCAAAGTTTTCGCAGAGGGGGGGGGCATAAGCTCTTGTCGGGGGAAAAAGCCACGCAGCTTGCTGCAAAGCTCATGGCAAGACACTTGAGTCGGGGCCATTTCCTGCGATACCTTTCTAACACAACGAATTTGTTGCAGCGATTGCCCACTTTGGAATCGCAAAGTGTTCCCCCTACTCCAATTGTTTTTTCCTTTTCTATTTAAGGGTATGATGTCGACCCTCTACTAGAAAAGGAGGTATTTACCATGGAAACCCAGGCTTTCCAAAAAATACCCTGAAAAAATAGTGGGTGTTTGGAGTAGGGGCTTTGTTTCTTTTGCCGTCATGCACTTGAGCAAATCGAGCGTGGCAGGACCAAACGGTCACGCTGAAGCCGGACTCTGGGGAGGCCATCCTGCCGCCTTGTTGCTGTGGAGTGGCAGGTGACAGGTAAACTGGGCACCTTCGCTGCCCTTAATTGGGTTCCTGCAAGGATACATTCAAAAACACCTGCTTTACAAAAGGGGGTTCTCTAGGTGAGCTTGTATTTGGATGACTTTTTGCATCTTTTTGCCTAGGCTTAGCTGAGGTTTGAGGGTGCACTTTGCCCTGGGCCCATTTTGCAATCACCTGAGTTCCGTGGCAGCCCAGTTTTCCAACCCCATGCTGGTCCATTTTTTTACCACCATTTTACCTTTTTATGGAGCCGTTGGGTTGGTATCCCCTTTGCTATTCATGGCGTGCGCTATTCAGCCCGACTGGCTCCCCTTACTACTAAGAATTTGCAAAATGACTCTGATTCTGTCAATCCCCGGGCTCCGGTGCAAAGATCGGCTTGTGTTTGTCCACGTGTTTTTTCCGAGTGCACCTCCTTCTCAGGGAAGCCAAGCCAACAGGAATGCCGATTTGGGGTCCAACTCCCTAGTTTGTTTCTGATTCACCGTGCAGGTTGCGGCGACCGGCATGGTGGAGCCCTCATACTACATCTCGGTGTCTGGCGAGGTCGTCGCGCCCCCTATCTTCGACGTCAAGCCGGGCCAGACCGTGGAGGTGGAGCTCAAGCCCAGGGAAGAGTGAGCCAGCTCGGCATCTGCCGGAGGAACCCACATCCCGAGCTTTTGAAGTTTCGGGGGCTTTCTAGAACCAGCGAAACACCCGGGCTTAACGAGCAGATCACATGGCATTGGTTGTGTAGCTTGGGTTTTGGGTTACAAGAACCGGCGACACCATAAAGATCATAGAGCACCTGCGCTTCGGAAGGACTTTGGTGCACAAAGCTGCTGTTTAGCGGTACAGGAACAAACTTGTTCTTTTTTGGCCAACCCACTGAGAAACTGAGTTGTCGCCATTATGCTGGCCCTGTCTTGCTGCAATGCCAGCAAAGAGGACCAAGGCGCGCCGCGGCAAACTGAAGCGCGGGAGAATTTACCGCAATGAGACTGAATTGTGCTGTGTCTCTTCTCAGGCGGTGGAGGCATCGCTTGGCGTTGCACCCATCTTTGTTGCCTGTGTGGAGAATTTCACGGCACAGATAAATGCTGAGAACCAGAGAATACATTGAATCCACCTGAACTGAGCTGAAGGAGCACCTATGGCTCGCCAACAAACTCCATGGCGGCCATAGCTGCTCATATTAGGGCTTCCCCATGCTTTATATATCTGTTCTCCCCCAGCTTTAGTTGACAACCATGGCCATGCTGCCGTAAAGAAAGACGCCGTGCCACGTCTCTTGGCTCGAGATTCGGAGCTGCGCCCGCCAGCCTGCCTCATGATGTGTCATGAGGTGGGGCTGGGCATGGGCTGGGCTGGTACCCGGAGTCTCCAAAACTATCTCTTAGGGGAACCCCCCAAACCAGTGCTTGAAACAACCCAAAAGGGGCAACGCGTGAAACAGAATCAGAGCATATACAAACATATTGTTTTTGGAGTACGGGCTTGACTTCGCCCGCAACGCTGCGGCGTGCTACGAGTTTGAGAATGCCATCCCCTTGCCAAGCCGCGTTCTCTCAAGGGTTTCCATGAAGTGGTACCCTTCAAGTCGTACTCTTACTTTTGTGCCATTTGTGTAAGACTAGCTCCTCCTGACCCTCGTTTTTTGGAGGACGACCTCACGGCGATGATCCTATTTCTGAAATAATCCAGTTGCTTGCGCTCAGTTCATTCCTCACTAGGTTCACTGCCTGCCAAGTGTCTGTGTGAGAGTCATATCTGTAGGCTTGCCGTGTTCTTTTGGCAACAGCCAGGGGTCCGTGACTTCTCCTTCACCAGGATTGCCGGACTTAACTCACCGTTTTGGCACTTTGCCCGTATGCCCGTGTGGTCTCCCTTCATTTTCCCGTTGAACCACCAAAGCATTAACTTTTTGCGGGGGTTCTAACTCTGGCCAAGGAAATCATGCCAATATATAACGGCATATTCGTCGGAACACACCGGCATGTTGCAACTTGTTGTTTGGCGGGTTCGGGACCCGCCAAGATGTGGTTGCCCTAACCAGGGTTCCAAATCTTGTTCCTACCCTTCGGCTCACATGTTGCAACAGGAGACGAGGGTTTCCACTACCAAAGGATCGGCACACCGCAAGTGGCTACATACTAGATTAATGCCCCTTTTGCTAGCGGGCTGGGCCTAGTAAAGTGAACATCCAGAGGAATTCTTTGGGGTGGTAAGCCTCTTGAAACCACAACTCTGTTCTTGTAATTCTGAGGACGTCATGAATATGCCCAGTTGAGGCTTGCTATGAGCTTGTTCTTGCCAGGCAGTACTGGGGCCCCCAGTACGTGCAGGCGGCCCAGCGGAGATCTAGAGAAATTATTACTGCCCTGCCGGCGCGGGCCCCAACACTTTTCAGCCGCTTCAGCCCACGGGGGCGCGCGGGAGCGCACGAGGGGGATCACCTGTGGGCCTCTACTTGGCTTATCCCAGGCTTATGCAATGTGTATCCAAGGGCAGCCCCGTCCCACAGCCCAGGTTGGAGGTCCATGATTTGTGTTGTTCCTGCCCCTAAGACAATGCCTGAAATGGACTGACTTGGAAGGCTGGACAGGTTGAATTGGGAAAGCCTGCGTTCCATTCCTCCCTCCCCACCCCTACATATAATGATGGCAGCGGGGTCGCAACACATTTCCCCGCTGTAACTAGGAACAATGTAAACCTTCTCCCAGTTGGGGTGAGGACGTTATTCCGCAAGGGTCCGGAGTTCGTGAGAGAGGGAACTTCATGAGACAAAGGTTTCCTTTCAGACCAAAGGGTTGCTTTGGGATTCCAAGAAGTCGCCACCAGGAATTTCTACTGGAAATTCGCCCAACCCCTTGGTTTTGGACGGTTTCGCTAGCTTGCAGATTTTCCTGGCGCTGGTTTCTGCAGCCAACTCTCGAACTTTGGGGATGCCCTTGAAGGAAACCCAAGGAGATGGTTCAGGGCTCACGTTTCCACGGCGCCCTTTTGGAGCGACTGGCGCACTCAGCGGCATATCGCAATCCTGAGTACAACAACATCCACTCCCTAAATGTTGCATAGAATGATGTAGACGCTACCCACAATGAAATGAGCCTTCCCCAGTTGCATTGTCCATTGTGTCGGTACAGGAGAGGTAATCTGTGAAGGCAGGCCCTTCAAAGTGACAAAGTACACAGGGGTATTAAAACGTCATTCACATCCATGCAACACCGCCCTTAAAGGGTGCATGTGGCCCAGTTGCAAGAATCACTTTCCCCAGGTTTAGAGGATCCAAATCCTTGTGATGCAGGTGGTTCTCGGATGCATCCTGGAAGGATGCCTGTGCAACGCCCTCTTGCGCTCGATTTGCGTTCACGAGGTTGTCCGCGATGGGTCTGCCAAGCCACAGCCCCTTGGTGGATGCGTTTGCTTTGGCGACTTCACACGTAGGGTGTTTCTCAAGGTTGGGTGGGGACCCCTTCAGGCGGGTTTATTCGTGGTTTCCCTGAACAACCATGCACAAAGCGACAAACACCCGAGCTCCTACCGGCTTATACTTTGTTTGGCCAATCCTCAGGAAGTGAGATGCACAGTGGATGCATTTGAACTAGTCACTAGCGAGTTCACCGATATGGAAGGTTTGTTACGAGCGATTCCAGCGATAAAGGCTCTTAGGAATTCCTAAGTTTAGCGGTGCAGATGCATCAAACTGGGCAAGTTGTAACGACGCGCTGCCGGAGGGTGCGACGTCATGAAGGTTTCTTTCGTTTGGGTTGCAATACTTTACCCAGATGAAACCATCGCTCGTGTTCAAAGATATTGAGGTCAACCACCGTTTCGATCTCCGATCTGTGAAATGCGCTCCCGGCAAACGAAAAACGTGAGGCTCCCTTTCCAAGAGGACAGTAATTTTGCAGCACAGGTTGGTGCACTTCCAGGTTTGTTGGAGGGTATGTCACCATTTGCCGAGATTGCCTCGTGACATGGAAGCTGGTGCGAGATGTGATCTCGGTCTCTTAGGCCCAATGTGTACAGATCCGTATTGTGGTTGGACCTAGCAATAGTGTTTGAGAGTGTGTTTGTTCGGGTTACCCGTTTTCAGGTTCGTTCGAGGCCAGAAGGAGCATTGCCATTGGGGGATCCCAATCTCTGTCCCACTCTCTCTACTGGGTTGACTCTCTTGGCCTTTGTGTTGGTGCCCAGCCGGTCGAGCCAAGGATCATCAGAGAGACATGCACCAAAGTTTGGCCGGAGAAATGGGGTGCCCTGGCAAGGAACGACACACCTCCAACTTTTGGGCAGGAGGGTTCGGAACCCGTTTAAAGGCCTGGGTGTTGAGTTTAGTCTTGAGCAAGGCACGAACTACGCAAACACAGAGCGCCGACTCTTTTTTTGTTTTTTGCCCAAGAGGGTGCGGCAATGTCCCAATGGCGTCTCTAAGCCAGCATGCTGTTCGCAGATCGCAATTTCCCTTCAATTCGTGGCCTTGGAGGCGGTCAATTCTAGGTGTTCATTCGACAGAAGGTTCTCCAAGTGGCAGATGTTTCGTGGACATTGCTCCAAAGACTTATTTTCGGCACATGTTCAGTGCATAGTGATGTTTTGTTAAAGAAGATTTGCAAGGGGTGACACCCGGTGTTGGCACTATGATAGGCAGAGAAGCGGTTGCTGCGCACACAACAGGGCAATCAGGCTAAACGCAAGTCACAAGATGAAAAGCCAGAAGATGATGGTCGCACACGAGGGATACATGAAGCCGTTTTTGCCACAGGTGGGCCCCTACGCAATACAAATAAGCAAGCCGCAACTTGTGATGACAGAGTCATCCTATGGTTGCCAGGAGGCCAGCAAGGCCCCGAAGGTCAATATGGCCTGATAGCGCTTGCCTAATCGGGCCCAATGCAGTCTATAGGACCCTTAACATAAGAAGTTTCTCATTTGACACTTGGCTCCATGTTTTTTTGTACTTTTTGTTTGCCGGGCTTGGTTTAAAGGGAAACTAAAGGGACACCACCCATTTGTATGGCCTCCTACTTTGGCACATGCTCACTTCTAGCCCCGCTACATACTGCAAGTAAACCAGCCACCTATGGAAGTTCGCACAGTCCGTTTGGCTTACGGCTTGCCCCAGTTTTCCCGACTGCCGGTATGCAAGAGGGGGCGCCTGTTTCATGTCGATTAATCCAGACCCAAGAAAACATTAGAGGAATGCCCCTGAAACGAATAATAAAGCTCGCTACAACGGAGGAACCGCACCTGGTTAGCGTGGTCCTCTGGACAAATTCGACGTATGCCCAGAGAAACATGCTATGCAGATCAGGGTGTTTGCTCCATTTTCGCTAGCGGCTTGGGGTAGTGGAAACAATCTGACCTATCAACCGAGCGTGATGAAGGTCCTTAGCAAGGTCTTCCCAATCCTTCTTCGGTCGAGGCATGACAGTGACACAGTTCGCGAGGCCCTGTGGGGCGCGTGCTGGGTGGGCACCAAAAAGACGGGTGGTTTTTGGCCACCGGGCAAATTATAACGAGCTCACAAGATAAAATGAGCTCACCTATGATGCGCCTTTGAGTTGACTTGGGGATTCCTTATTTTTTGCTGCACATTTCAGTAATTTGCCCCGATCATTTCCTTACGCTTGTCAGGTGGGTCCAGAATGTTCGCCCAGGATTAATTAACCCCAGATTGAGGAAAATGGGGTGGTGTCCCTTGTCCTATTCCCTTTTTTTGGTTCCCTACATAAGGCGGAAAAGGAATCCTGATGTGTCGGGTCTGTAGCAGGGAGCCGAAAGCAAACCCAAATTGAATCCCTGCGGGTAAGCCGAGCGCACCAAGTCCCAGTCCTTTCCATGGACTTGGCAACTTGGGGATTCCTTGTTTCCCATTTTGCGTTGCCCAGCTCATTGTAGGGACAAATGTCGTTGCACGCCGTGGTCTCAGAGCCTCGTGACGCTGCGAAGTGGAATCAATGCAGTTTGAACCGAAAGGGCCGCCTCTGCAAAACCCTGGAAAGGTTCAACCTGACGGAATAGTCCGAACGAGAACTAGGTTCGGCAAGAACCACTCTTGAATGAGCTACTGTACATTGTTTTTTTAGCATCACGGTTCTGGACTATTGAACTTCAGCCACACTTTCTGTGATACAAAGGGGACCTCTTTCAAAGTGACAAAGCAGTCACAAGAATCAACAACTTTGGCATCACAAAAAGGATGATTTCCCACAACCATGCCTTGGATGCCGGGCTTTGACTCTCACTTGAGCTCACCGCAATGTGTGCTGTTTGGAAGGTGGCAGGCTGGGCCAACGCGACACAAACTCGGGCCCCTTGGTTGGATACGAATCCAAGACTCTGCAAGACGGGAAACAGGTTCTACCTGAACCGGAAAAGGGCAGCTTTCCTGAGCCAGGGTTCCACTTCCCGAGCTTCAGCTTTTCAGAACTAGGGGGGCTGACGGAAGCCAAACGGAAGGCGCTAGCAAAATCAGGCGAACAAATTGGAAGCTCGATTGAATTTACGAGAAGTGTGGGGGCCATATTCAAACAGTTCACGTTTGGTTGGCGGGAAAGCATGTGGAAGCATCGCTGTGCGTGGTTTGATCTCTTTGCCCTGCAGCCTGCTGGAGAAGTGTCAGCAAGACTCGGACTGGGATGATGACTACACCATCTCGGATTTGGTGAGAAGGTATGTGGCTTGGGCTGGACGAGGTTTGCATCCCTAGCCCTATATAATAACTATTAGAAAGGGGGCGCTTACATCGATCCCCAATCACTGAAAACATGGGCAGGGATGGGGGGGCCGTTGTCCCTCCCCATGTTTTGAAAGTTGTGTGTGTGGGGGGGGGGGGGGGGTTAGGAGTGGGGATATTCGTGCATGCGGTACATTGTGTGTGCCATTGGTAGTCTTAAGGGCGTACTGATGGAAAACGCCACGAAGCGGTTCAGTCACAGGATTGCATAGCATTGCACGGCCTTGTCGGAATTGAATTCCCCGTGGTACCCGTTTGCGCATAGTACATGGATTGTTTGCCCAAGCACCAGGTTTCTTTTCGGTTGCCGGTCAAAGCCAGACAGGCTTGAAATGACGGGTCTTTCCCTAATTTTTGTGATACCAGAGAGAACCCCCCCTTTAAAGTAACCATTTAGTCCTTGCTGAGGACCAAAGGCCATCACCTTCCTTTACTGGCAGAAACCGTTGTTGAAACCGATTCCCTACCATCCGCGAACATGGAACCTGACTGGGGTGGAAGGCAGATGTCCTCCAAAAAATAATAATTAAACAAAAAAATATATCCTTCGATGGGTTCTCTGTTAGGAGCGTAATATCCCTGATTTGGTGGTTTGGATTTGAGCCCCTGGTTCTTGTAGAGAGTTAGGTTGGGAACCCCCCTTTCTTCCTCTTCCCCACCCCCCAGCCTCCAATTTCAATTGGAAGGAAGCTGACACTTTTGGTGGTGAGGTGTTTTGGATCGCAGTGTTCCTATTTAGTTCCTATGTACTCACATTTGACTCATCAGTTCTCATCAAAAACTAAGCCGCCACTCCTATCGCCTCAAAGGAAGGAAGCGCCCACGGGCCCAGGTCATCCCCATGACTCGCGGCACTGGCATGGGCTACGCCTTGCTGGTGAACGTGGACAGGCCGAAGGAGCGGAAGACTGGGGCGGAAGGGCCCCTCCGGGGATACAGACTTAGGCAAGCGAATAAACGCACAGAAGTGGACACTGGTTTGGCTTTTTGGGGTTTTGTTGGTTTCCTTTGGTGTTTTTTTTTTGGGCTTTACAGGTAGTTTGTGAAAGGTAAAGTGATATCACCTGGGGGACCCACAGTTAGCCGTGTTTGCCCGCAACGCTTATTAAGCCCTACCCCGGACAAGGCCAAGCCGGCCAAGCCACTCAGGAAATGACAAAAGGGACTCTCCTGGCAGACGACACTCGTTGCGGACAAGGTTTGGTGTCAGTTTGGCCTGCCAAGTGGCTCTGTTAAAGGCCTCAAGCCATGATCTGTTGCAACTCCTTGTTGGAGACCCACTTGGGGGGTCCACAATTTGTATATGGGGCACCAGATGACCGTTTTGAGAGGAACATGATTTTCCCACCACCCCCCCCTAGGTTTTACTTTAGGAGTGCACCAACGCAGGCACAGAAAACCGCTTAGGGAGAAGGCCATCATGGAGGGCGCCTCAGACAAAAATGGGCCGTTTTCAGAAAATGCCAAAGTGGTGAATTCCAAGCCCTATGACCACAAGTGGTCCTTTTGAAGCGGGGTTCCCAAACAATGGTACCCCACCCCCTCTCCCATGTTCAACAAGCGCGCCCCAAGCGCCGGATCACGTAGCTTGAAAGCCAGGGCAGTGAACTTTGTTTGTTGTGTTGATGAGGGGCTATTTTCCGTAACCATCTTGAAAGCAGGCTTTCCTGAATCCTGCATGGATCATGGCATGACCGCGCCAGAAAGGACTATAGCCTTCTCTAAGCAAACGGTCACCACAACCCGCTGGACTTGCATTGGGTGTCCTTGCTAGTTGGGTCAACCTGGCAAAACAAGAGATGGCCCTGGTTTCAGTTTTGGCCTGTGATTGTTTACCAGCCCCTTTTAGCAGTTTAAGGGTCGAGGTAGGAAGATATGGGCAAGCGGTGCAGCTGGCGCTTGCATGCAGCTGGCATGCGGTGCTGAGGACATCACCGTGATGATCTCTCACGTGACCTAAGCGGCAATTCTCCGTATGTTGTATTTTTTTGGGCGGGGGGTCGTGCCCGTCAAAATCTGAGGAACCCTCAGAATGGCTGGTGTTTCTTTGGGTTTCCCTCAGCCCAGAAAGGGTACCCTCAGTGTTTCTTGCTACATCGAAGGCTGCGTAATCATTTTTTGCCGAACCACCCCGCTGAGAAGAATAAGGCATAATTCTGAGTTTGGGTTTCAAGCTCAGCGACTCGGGGTGTAAAACGCGCTTACTTCAGGTCTTAGAGCCTAGCTTGAAGTCGCAGTTGAGCGGCTGTCGTGATGCACTTCACTCGCTCACTGTGTTCCTGCCTTGACAACCATTGGGCCATAAGGCGAGTTTCCTCTGAGCAAGCCAAGCCTTGAGTGATGAGCCTCCCCTGGACCCTCGGTAAGGGCCCCCAAATCCCAATAGGGGCTAGGGGCAACAACCGTTGATGTGGGGTTGTTTACTTGAATCAGACCCAAGCATTGTCAGAGGCCGATTGATGTATGGTCTGGCAGGAGCCGTGCGAAAGAAGTCAGCTCTTTACAGCTCAGCTGAAGTTTGAAACTTGTGTATACCTCGGATTTGCTGATAGGGTGGGTGAAGACGAGAGTTACATGGAACAGCCTTGATTTTCAAGCATTGAGGGTCGCCTCGTACAAAGCTTGATGTATCAGTCCTTTCCTCTAAGTCCGGAAGCGCGGTCCCTTTTTCTGGGTGGGCCCTCGCGTGCCCATGTGCTGTTGCATACGTGTTGTGATGTGCTGTGTCGTCCTGTGATTTGAGGTGCGGTGCGGTGAGTGAGGTGAGGTCAGGTGGGGTGATGTTGTGCTGCCATGAAACCCTGTAGCTCGCTGCAATTTCCGTGGTTTTGTGTTGAGTATGGATGGTTTGTGGGTGAGTACTTAACTGGATGGCTTGGGGAGTTTCACCAGAGATTGAAGACCAGGAGTTGTCAGCCATCTTCCCGAATTTCCAGCTGGCGTTCAGAGACCCCCTAGGCCTGGGCCGAGAATGCCTTGGAGTTCTGCCGCTCTCTGGAGCGCTCCGTGGAACCAGAAGAGCCCCTTGCACAAAAAGCGGCTGTAAGGCAAGACAATGCCAGAACTCGCTGTATACAAGCATAATAGTTTTTAGTTATTATAAATTATAATTATGAAGTTGCATGACATCAGGTGTATACATATATATAATATAGACACATATGGATATATGCTCACCCCCCCCCCAAGTTCCACATTTTCCATGGTTGCAAATCGGCTCATCTGCTACCATTAATAGCTCTCCTCAGTTGCTCATTTGCATGTTTTGCCTTTGCAAATCTGCTCCGGTTCTCATCAGCTACTATCCACTACCTTTCCACATGCCTTCAAGACGCAATTAACTTGATTAAATTCTTGTTTGGAAAGGACTTGTTACTCAGACATTCGAATGCAATTGTTCCCTTTTTGAATTCTATCACAGTTCTAGTTAAATGATTATTTAACTCCTATTAAACAGGTGTTACAATTAGATTCTAATTGACATAGTAACTATATGTGATAGCTTCTCTTGTTGAGTTCTGTTCATGGACAGGGTGGTTTTTGTTTGAATGTTAATCGAAGAACTCTTTCCTTATTAAACCCCACAGATATACTAAACATAATGTAAAGGCATCAAACCTTGCGGCTTTGCATTCTTCAAAGAGGCAAAGTAAAGGCACATTATTGGGACATGACCATATATATATATGTATATATATATGTATATATAAATATATATATATATATATGTATATACACATTCTCCACTTGGTGGATGGACAAGTCACCTTTTAGGCCCACTTGCAGTGAGGTTCCTGCAAGTGGGGTGATGCTTGGTGCATTCCTGGACTTTCATAGTAGGCAGCTGACGGTTCACACCACTGTCAGTACCCCACTGAATCAGTGGCCACTGTTTGCTGCTTTGTTTGGTGGGTTCCCCACAAATAGTCTTTGTCCTAAAAGCCAAAGGGGTTTCTTTTGTTTGCCCGACTGGGCAACTGGGCTGAGGTCACTGTTCATTTGCGCCTTCTCGCTGTACCAGTGCGAAGACCACTACGGTCCGACCATTGCTGAGCAGCTGGGGTCGCTGCCGCAGGCGTCTCCTTCCCAGTTGCCCAGTGACCATGGTAGAAAATGACTTGGAGCCCTTGGGCTGGCTCCAGCTTAGCGGGCTCCGAACCCACCAAGGAAAAAGCCAAACTTTAGCCCGGACATCCACAGAACAACTTCCAGAACAACTTGTCCGGATTTGTCCGACTCTAAGGCGGTGGAATTCACACCACAACAGGGCAAGGATGGCCCACTTCACATGGTGCGCAAAGTGCACACCATGTGGCAGAAGAAAAAACTATTGTCGTGCTGTTGCGGGCACTGGCATCGCCAGGGCGCCACAAGCAGTGCGTCCCAGTCCATGAGTTCCGCCGTGAACACACCAGATGCTAAGAATGCCGGAAGCCCAGTGAGTCCTTAGCACCAGCAGGCAGTTCAGGCATTGAAGACGAAACCCACAAGCACGAGCTCCTTGACCAATCCCGCACCAAGCAACACGGGTTTCCGTCAGACAGCTGTACGTAGGGAAAAGTGAAGACGCCCACACCTTGGAAAGCACTGAAAGGACAACACCGCGGTGTTCGAAGCACCTGACGCTTCCCAGTGTAAGAAAAACAATCACCATGATCTTCCCAGCGACTCTCCTGCAAGTGAGAGGACCTGCATCTCCACCCCGAAGTTCGAACTCCATGCATGAGCTAGCCTTCGTGTCGTCAAAACCCGTGTCCATGGTGCCCTGAGCGATTTGCCCGCACGACCCAACCCCGAATTGGCTAGCTCGGGGCAGGGCTTCCACTGAAACTTGGGCAACTTCCTCGCTTCGGTTTGTTTGTATGGCGGGTTTTGAACCAACTCGCAGCGCGCACGCGCTCACTTCGAGAGTCGAATGACTCAGCTACGAGCCCCTTCAAGCCTTTCTGGCCCCATCTGTGAACAATCACTTAACATTTCCCAGTCTCATCTCACGTCACGTTGGTGCAAGGGGGCTGGTGCGATTGATCGACTTAGAAGCTATGTAGACGTATGCCTGACAATGAGCCGCAGTCCGGCTTCCAGATATTTGTGTGCTTCGGTGGGACGAGTTCTGCTGGCAATCTTCTAACCTTCACATTTGCAATTGCTCTGGCTATTTCATGGGCAGCTCACCAGGGTAAAGTGGGCTTGCTATGATGTAGGCCTTTTACTTGGGCGTCCCTAGTTTCTGGTTTGGCATTATTGCAGAACTTGAGAAAAGACATGTAGGTTTCCTGTCAACTTCTTCCCTGCCGTTCGTCAGACGCTGAGTGGAGGGATGTGGCAGGAGAGCCCCTTCTTCCACGTGCTGCAGACAATCCACGACCGAGGCCAGTGCAGCCCAAAGCTCTCTCAAGAACTGGGCCCAGAGTTGTTCATCCTCATAGAAATCGCCATCCCCAGAAGGCCCAAGACCTTCTAAGGAAGTACTTCGACCCCTTTTTTGCCGCACGACCAGCCTCAGGAGGTCATGGACCCTGATTGTTGGCTAGAGCCCCCAAATCGATTTGCAGAACGCAGAGGGCACTCTCAATGAAAGTTATGTTTCGCAATGGAGCAAGCACATTTTAAGCCTGTCTAAGGGTTCCCTTTTTTTCGACTCAGGCCTTTTGCAACCAACAGGGCTTCCCCCCAAAAGGACCGCAGGTAGATGGGCATGCCATTCATTCCCGAAGGGTTTCACTGCGTTGCCCCAACGCTCCAGGATTGACCAAACAAGATTGGACCTAAAACTGGGTCCCTGAAAGTGGTTGCAGTTTAAGGGGCTTCTCAATATTCTTTTTTGGGGGTCCCTTTCAGCCAACATTTCACTTGACTAATTTTGATGATGACTGAAATGGACCTGCTGGAGAACAGAAGGCGACGCATGTGAGCTTTTCCTTGTTGATGCTCATTCACCCTTTTCCGGGTTAGTTTTTGGGGAACCAACAGGGGCCTATTTGACGGCGCCCTCGTTCGGAGTCTCCCCGGATCATGAGATGATTTGGCTTGACAGCCCACAACCACGTTTGATTGTTCAGACCCTTACAGCATTTGGAATGCTGGCGTGTGAAAGCGTTGGTTGGGCCACAGTATTCTGGCTGAGCACGGCGTTGTCCGGTCCGTTTGGTTCTCGCCCATCCCATGAGTTGGCGGATTCAGGCGGGGTGCTGCGGTCAAGGTCCTGGGCCCGGGGTAGAACTAAGGATAGCGATTGTTCCATGTCAGGTTGATGTCAACTGTGCGGATCATTGAACCTTGCTGGTGCAACCAGAAAGCACTGGGATGTTCAAAGTCAATCCCTCATTCTTGCGCCAAATGGAAGTGCCCCGCTACAGGTTCAGGATTGGGATCACGAATAAGCATTCCCCTTAATTCGGAACCCAGGATGAAGTTCCCCCCAAGCAATTTTGATTAGGGGCCTTCAGTTCAGAGGACCCCATGGCTTGGGACAATCGGGATCCCCTTTTTGAACCAGAAGGATTGTAACTTGGGGATTTCTTTGTTCCGTTTTTGCGCTTGGCATGAACCCTCAAAAAAAGATAACGCACAATTGCGGCAGCACCGTCCTTTTGGGGACCTAATTTCGGCCATACGTAGCTGCTTCAGAGGGCTTTCAATGTGCTGGGTGTTTGGGCCAACTGTTGTGGAAAAAACGCACTCTGTTCGATTCAAAAGTAGAATTCATGTCCAATACGTACAGTGACTCTCTATCCTTGGGAACCTTTTAGCTTCGCCTCGCCAGGTCTTGCCGTGGAGCGTCGTGGAGGCCGGGTGCCAAAAGCGGGGGAAACCGTGCGAAACCGCACCTGGCCTGCCAGGATGCGGGGCGGGTTTTTTGCAGGGGTCCCGCTTTGTTTTGTCCAGCTCAGTGGCACCCTCTAGACTCTGAATCCTTTTTGGTTTGGTGGCTTTCCCACTACTGGTCAACCTCAGTTTCTCCTTGGCCTGCGTTCTGGTTGGGAAGTCAGGTTGCTGCGCGTGGCTTGCAACCATTACCTGATTTGCACGAGGCCTTGTGAAAACCTCGGCATTTGAGGTGAACATGTCAAGACGCAAGGCAGGTTGGACGTGAATGTATTGACCTTCACCGCTTTGGCTTGTCTCCCATTCCCAATTTTGACCTTCATACTTTGCAAAAACGTCAATGTGAACAACAACAAAACAACAAACTCAGATTTGCTTGGGTCAAGCCAGTCAGGAAGCAGGTTGTGTGTGGTGTTTCAGGGTTGGCTGCGGAGTTGGCAAGTTTGTCCTTTTTTGTTTCCCATTGTAGGGTCAAACAGTCCTACGGTTGTCAAGGCCCCACCCCCAATGCCACCAGGGCTAGTAGCGGCCAATCAGGCCTTCTAGGTCATTGGGATTGCTATTGAGTGCCTTTTGGAGGATCCCTTGTTTGGGGTCGCCCTGACAACCGTGGGATCATGGACTCAAAAAGCGCCACGCAGGCTTGTGGCGGAATCGGGTCTTCCTTGTACGGCTGCCCTGGGCGCTGATGCTGCTAGCGCTGTCTTGCATTTTCACTCCCGAGCCTTGGCTTTGGGCCTTCTGGCCTTTGGCCTTCGGCTGGCGCACGTTTACTTTAAGCGGATGCAGGCAATTCCCTTTAGAGGCAAGCATGCAAGTAGCAGAACCAGTCGCCTAATTGCAATGTGTCATTGATATTGGGCGCGCGTAGCTGAACTCATGACATCCGTGTTGCTTCGCTGGCATGTTTTTTTTTTGCTTATTTCAGTGGAAATAGCTGTGCAAATGTCCAGTGAGGCTTAGCTGAAGGCTGAAACGCCCCAGCAGTCAGGGAGTCTGAGGTGGTGGTGCGCGGCTGCATTCCAATGCACAGCGTCTGCGCCTTTGGGACCTGCACTCCGATCCTGGCAGCTTAGCGACCTTTTAGCGGTGGTTGGGTGAGCCGCCACAGTGAGTCCAAGTTGGGAAATGGGCCCCGGAATTTGAACGGTTTCGTTGTTTTGGGCTGGGCTTTTCAAGCCTAACGCGCAAAACGGGTTAGGGTGTCCTTTTGGTTATCCAATTCAAGCATTGATACCCTAAAAAAGAAACTGCCAAATGGGGGGTGTGAAGGCTTGTGGCTCGCGGGCGCCATGACCATGGACCATGGGTTAGTCAAGGTTCCAAAAGGTTAAACGGTTGTCCTTTTGTTTCCAGGTCTTGTGCGCAAGTCTGATTTTAGCCGGGTTCATTATCGAGTAGTGATGATCAGGCATTTTCACAGGCATGTGCAGTCAGCATTGGGTGAGTATGGATTCAATCATCACAGCTTAATTGCCAATTTAAATAAGTAGGTTCCCGTTTTCTTGAACAGGTTGGAACGATAGGCAACCCGATGACCCCAGGTTGAGCACCGGGGTGTAACGCAGGGAAACGTGGCCCTGAGGAGTACCTGCCGATCTACACCTGGTCCTGGGAGTTTAAGCCTTTGGAGGGCCAAATGCTCCTGCTGGTGCGCGTGGGCCACGTGCTCGCTGCACCTCGCAGGGAAAAGTGTCAGGAAGTCGGTTTCGTCCAAATCGACGGACGCATTCGGAATGGAGCATTTTGCTTGCTCCAACAACAAAGACTGCTACTCTTTAAGAGTAATTTGAAAGGGGGCCTGGTTTTCCGACAAACTACACTGTTTTTGGGTTCCTTGCTTGTTATAATCAAAGAGTGTTTCGTTTCTGAAAATGGGGCTGTGGATGTGGTACTTGAAACCGCACTGCGCCATCATAGCAACATGAGTGCAGTACCCTCTTTTCAATGGAAGAAGTGGAGGAGCCTTTTCAAAAGGTCGGTCGTCTTTGCAAGCCCTGTGAACTTCCAGTGTCAATTTGTTTCCCGTGGAAATCCGCTGGAAGTTTTGCCAGGGCTGATGGGATGGCAGCTGAGGATGTAAAACCTCGCAGGAGTTGTCGATTTGCTTGGGGTGGGGCAGCCAAATCGCGGGGGTTATGGTGCCGGCCTGTGTTCCATAGGGAAGCCTGACAGGCACTATGCCGGACGTGTCGCAGAAAGACTTGTCCTTCTTTTGATTGTTGTCGCAAGTCGGAACTGCGTGAAAAGGAACTTGCAACCTGCCTTTTGGTCTCACTCTTTCATTCTCAGCCAAGTCTGAAATGCGAACATTACCTTGCCCAGCTAGGCTTATCCTCACATAGGAAAAGACCACCCCACCCGGAAGGCACCCTTGGTGTTCTTTGTTTCGCCAAGGGGCATCTGGCCGCCCTGGAACAAGCGGGCTCTTTAGTATTGAAAGGGGGTCCACATCTAAGGGGTCCCCCATTTATACATGGTTTCGCTTGGTGGGCAATATGGGAGGAAAAAATACGTACTATTGGTTTACTCCCATCATGAGCAAAGTAGCCAGAACAACCCCACTCCAATTGTGTGTGCCTTTGCGTATGGCATGTGCAACTAGGAGACCTCATGATTTCCGGGCGATCGGCCGAGATACTGACCATCTTCTCTTGGATGGCGAAGTTGGTGCTGCTTCAAAGCGGGCACCTCTTCAAAGGCCGTGCCGCGACTGCCAAGTATGCTTTGGCACCCCCAAACCAGCATGAGGGGAGAATGGGATATACAGGCACGATATGGCCAGCCCCTTGGTGGCGGCAGACTGGCGACAGCTGTGATACAAAGGAAACCTTCTTCAGCATAGCAAGGATTACTAAGGATGGCGCACATTAGTATCACTGAAAGGGACATGTTCCCTCCACCTGGCAGATTTCATGTTTGGAGCAACCTGGGAATTTGTTCCGTTGGGGAAGCCAACCCCGGGCATGAGCATGACTCTCATGGCTGGATGATTGTGACATCCTCGATGTTACCCTCCAAATTGTGGCTTAAAGGGAAGCAGAACCCCCCTCAAAACAAAAGCAAAGACAACAAGAGGAGTGACTTTGGAAGCCGCGCATCGCACAAGACCAAGGCATCGAACAAGACCAAGACTTTATGGTTCCTCCTTGGAGAGAAACATGGCAACCAAACTAGGAGCCCCCAGCAATATCTTGAAGCTCCTTCCGTTTGCTGCATCCAGTTCAACTTCATACTGCGGATGGTTAAACAATCCACGCCAGGCACCTGGGATGGATGAGACCCGATGTGAATTCTGAGAAAAACCGTCTACCAACCGGTAGGAAGCAAGTTTTGTCCATCCTTTGCAAGGTATGGTGGCAGTGCCCAACCACAATTGCGCCTCTTGGACGTAAACACCTGCAACTTCGGGCTTGCCTCGCTCCTGGTGGGAGTGTCAGATCATTGCTTTTGTGCAAATTATGTCCAGCAAGCTCACCTGAGGGTAAAATCAGTTCACACATGACAAAGGGTCCCTCGGTACAATTTGCCCAATGCCAAGTGTCTTTGAAGGCAAGCAGAAATCCATGCTAGTTCTTCAGCATTTCGTCATTTCGCCTTTCGTGTTGAGTCCTGGAACCTGTCGGCTTTAAGGAGATGTACACTCGACTGTCCTGGCCTTAGTTGCAGCATAGCCCCACCCTGCTTGACCTTGCGCACGTTTTTTTTGTTGGGGCCATTCTCAGGGGTAGTTTCCCTTTTAGTGAGGGATTGAGTCATTTTAGGGTGCCTCCTCGGATTGCTAGGGTCCCCGGATGAATCCGAAGTCAACATTGCCCCGTGTTGTGGAGTTGGGCTGAAGATTGCGGGTTTTGCCTGCATTCAGGTGGTGCGTCTTTGAGATGTTTGCTCGGGTCTCAGTTTGCAAATTCCAGCGCATAAGGTAGCCTGGCCGGGCAGGTTCGAAGGGAAACCAAACGAAAGCCACCCAGTTGGGTTTGTCTTCGAATCGAGAACCCCAAAACAGGTGATTTTGTTTGGTTTCCCTTTAAACCAACCGCACAATTCGCAATATTGGGTACCCTCCAACAAATGACACACGCACGTCAAGGGATCTATGAGCCAAACCGGTGGTTCACCCATGTGGATCTACTGAGACTCGACGGTTCGAAGCGCCAGGTGGCGCAGACATTACAAGTCCCAGTGAAGCTGGCGAACACTTTGGCCTCAGAGACTTGGCAAATGAGGTTCTAACCGGTGATGGGTCAACCCTTCCTTTGGTTCCCAATTAGAACAGGGACGAGGGCCTAATTGTTTAACCGCATTTTCCCAACCCTGGTTTCAATATAATTTAGTTCGTACACCCTTACCAAGGACTTGTTTAGCCTTAGTAAGGCTTGCTAACCCGTAACCCTTGAGGGTGATTTCTACTGCAAAGGAACCCCCAGAAAGGTTCAATTGAGGTCCCTTCGATCAGAATCTCCAAGCAGGAAAATTATGGGAATCAGATTGACCCCCATTGTTTTGGTTGACGTGTCAGGATCAAGTCATGATTGTGGTGAGTTCACCCCACAACTACCGAATTCATTCCAGTGATTCATGCATGAACCATCCCAGGAATTCTAAGTGTTGACTCCTTTTTTATTTTCTTCACCCTCTCTTTCCTACAGAAACTACACATTTCCTCGGCAGCTCATTTTCGGAAGAAAGGATCTCTGATCAAAATCAGTAGGGACCTTGCTCTGTTCCCGAGTTTTCACATTGAGTAATGAAGTACTGCAATTTACAAACGCTGACCCTGACACATGCAAGAGGACAGAAACTGAGCACCTCTCCTGGCGACAATGCGGGTGTCTCTTTTTGGTGTCATTTCTTTGGGTAGCTCTTGCAAAGAAACACACAAGGGATCCCGCCCATTTAGATGTTTTCTCCTTTTGAGACATACCATGCCGGCTGCCAGTTGTGTCAGCAAATAGGTGCCTCTCACTTTATGGGCTTGAACATCTTGTTCTTTTGAAAAGGGTTCCTTGCGGGATCCATTGCCGGTGAAGCAATCACCACAAGCTAATTTAGAGGGTCTCCTTGCAAAGTTGAACGGAAAAAGAGACACTAACAACTACCTGAGGAACAGCTTTCGTCCTGTTTTTCCTCGCCTGGGCGCATGAGTCCTAGGCCATATGAGGCGCCAGAGACCTCATTCGTGTTTCCAACAATCACGGAAGTGGCCGGAAGGGGCTTGGAAGACTGCCATCAATTGAACAAGACCTTATGTCACTTATGCCCACTTCCATGACTGTAGAGGGTAAGGCGCCCCTCAAATGAACCACCCCGCCTGAAAAGTGCCATACATAAAACTGCTGGTTTCACGTATGTGCCCTGTCGTGTTGTTGTTTGCATGGCCATGGTTAGATCTGTTTGGCTTGCGGCTCCTATTGGTGGGAAGGAGGCAAGCCCAACGTATGTTGTGCTTGCTCGGCTGCAAACACAAATGGATGATCATGGTTTTCCGCCCACCTCCTTTTTGGGCCCCTGTGCCAAAAGGTGAAATGTACAAACAGGTTTGGCGGCTGGACAAGCAGGGTTCCGCTTAGGCCGGCGTCGCTGATTCCGCTCACGCGCAGTGCAGCAATGCAGCAGATGCCGCAAAGATCAATGCTGCTCGGCATGAGGCTTGGCAGGCCAAGGCTCATTTGGCCATGAATCTCAATGGGGAACCCCTCAAGAGTGCTTGTTGGGCACAAATCCCAACCTAAATGATGTCCACCAAAGGGTCACCCAGTAAAGTTCATATCAATCTGCCTATTGTAGTGGGGCTCAGCAAAGAATTGACTGCTGGGGTGGGGGGTGATCAAAGTCAGCCACTGGGGTTGTTTCCCTTCAACCTACCACCAGATGGCAAGCTCACTGATCCGGGGGTAAAACGGGCAACGCTACCCATGATGACCTCTTTCTTGAGACCTAGACAGCCCTTGCAAGGGTTCCTCTTACGGGGGCCTTGCGGCCTTGCCAATGACCCAGTGGCGCGCTCTCAGAAGCGGGTGGTTCTACTACCTTGTGTACATGAGGCCGTTGTAAACCTTTGCATGTTGGTAGAACTAAGTGCCAACATATCAGGACCCAAAACAAGTGCTTTTGTCCTATTGGTTTCTGAACATTAGACTCACCCATGCAGTGCGCAGCCAGGCGGGCCGGGGCTCATGTGCTGAGAAACTGGATTTTGCTGCAGGGTGTGGTTTGTGCACGCAACATGGGAACGCAGGCGGGGCTGGTAAGACCTACATGAGATCAGAAATTACTGTTTAACCCAATTGTCCTCAAGCTGTCGATGAAATGTCGTCCAATTTGCCAATGTGCGAAAACCATTGCTTGTAGATTGTCGGCCTTCCATGGTTGAGATTCTGAATGTTTGTGTGCCTTCATACTTTCGGCAGAGTTTCTTGGCCACTTCTCCGGAGGCGTGAGTCAACCGCACTTGAAGGACATCTTCTTAGGAGGGACGGTGAGTTCTCCTTAAACGGGGTGGGAATCATTTTGGGCTTGCATCAGCGACTAGAAGGAAATCAACAGGCAAGGGGTCTCAGTTTTCAATAGGTCACGTCAAGGTCCCAAAAAGTTGTTTTAGGTTTCAAAAGGTCCCAAGGCCCCAAAAGGTCTCAAAAGTTCCAGGTTTGGTTAACTTGTTATTTCCAGGTCCAAATTGGAAACCGAAATGGTCGGACCTTGTTGTCCAATCTGGGCAAGTGATTCCATGGCCTTTTTTACCGAAGCGGTCTGATAGGCTGAGATCCAAGCCTTCACCGGATTCGAGGAGGAGGACAGACACTGCTCTTCCAGTTGCGTTTCAGGATATGGGCGTGGTTCTCCCTTTGTTTTGGGGGACCACCCCTTTTTGGGGCGCGTTTCAAGGGAAACTAGACCCCACAATTTTGACAAATACCCATTGTGTTTTATGCTTCGGGTTGGGTTTAAAGGGAATCTGCCTCTACTGGAAATATGTTCTTGTTTTTTCCAGGGGACGAGAAAGCTAGTGGAAGGCTCAAGTCTTTGGCATTTTGCGCCCTGGGACGTTGGCTTGTCGATTGGCATGTGATGTTTTGCTCAAAACGATTTTGTAAGTTGGGTAGACTGAATATGAAACGGAATCAAGACACATGGCATGTGTGGGCTGTTGCACTGGGGATATCTCCTCGGAGGAGGGCCTGCCTCTCTGATAGCGTCTCCAATCCAACTACACATGATTTTCTGTATGCCGCAGATGTTGGCCAAGAGGGAGGCTTTCTGGCAGCGACGACTATCTCAAGTGTGCTTTGACTCTCGGCCAGTGGCATAGCCAACCCTGTTGTTCCATGGTTGCCCCCCTCGAAATCTGTTTGAAACGTCAAGCGCATGTTGTTTAAGCAGCAACCTGGTGCTGGCATGATCCCCCGCTCCTTAATGGCCCCGAATATCTCCATTTACGGCTAGTTTTCTAAAGGCAGGTGGTTCTGGCAGGTTTGCGGACGTTAGCAAAGATGGACCCCCCTAAATGGCTGGTGTCCTTTGGGTCGCACTCGAAAGCCCGAATTGGCTTGGCGCAGAGACCCCCTTTTGGCAATTGCCGGTTTAAGAACCCTGCAAACCCAACATGACTCGGCACTTAGACAAGCGACAAAGGGGTTTGAGGCCTTCTAAATGGTTGGTTTAAAGGAAAACCACAAGTTTTAAGGTTGCCCTATTCTTGACACATACCAACACACACACATATACATACACATATTTACATACAATACACACACACACATACATATATATATATATATATACACACACCAGATGCATGCATTTGCACCATATGCACAAAGCCTCGTGTTTATGTTCAAGCTCCGCATTTCTCGGCCACCGGCGTCCAGGAGGGCCTGGAGGTCCTCGGCAAGCGCGTGGCGCAGTTCCGAGACCAGCTGAACATGGGGCTGGAGGCTCATGAAGAGGTCAAGGCGCGGATGGAGGAGGGTCCCAGGCCTGTGGCTGCGGAAAGAACAGAGCAACAACTGGGTGTGGTGTTCCTTCTTTTGTGTTTTGACGTTTCACCAAGAAATTAAACGAGTACCTTTCTTTTTCCAGCGGCCAGTCTGAGCAGGTGCTATTGGGTTAGATCTTCGACTTCGAACTTGTTGGGACAATGGGTAGTTTCCCGCTTACCGACTAAAAACGCAGCACTGTTTTGGCAATTTGGGCGGAGGGGCAAGAGCCATCAAGCCCAGAACCATGGTGATAAGACATGTGGGTGTGTCATTTTTCGAGGGTGCGTTCATTGTGATTTCAAAGGAAAGCCAACAGGAACACCGAAGCCATGTTGCTGGTCCCCCAAAATATGACACCCGTGTTAAGCTCATGGCGGGGGTTGTTTTGGAGCTCATGGTGTCTTGGATGCCTTTCAGGACGCCGGCTATGCAATGCTAGATGCGGCGATTCGCCATGTCAGCAACAAGGCCCGAGGAGGGCGAATTGGGTGTCTTTTTGTTGGGGGAAACCCCAAGCTAGGTGAGCGACGGTTGGTAGCAGGGAGCTGGCGGAGGGGCGCGAACCCCTGCAGGCCCAACAAGCACGCTGCTTCGATAAAAAGTGGGGCAGATTTCGCGTAGGCATTTCGCTTGCATGACGTCCAAGATCCAACCCGGGGTGCTCGGCCTTTCTTTGTGCGCTTTCCGCAGCTGGAGCTGCCAAAGTGAATGACGAGCGCTTCACTTGTACGGGAAAGCTGCGATGTTTGATCTGGGGCTACCAAGGTACCGAACAGTTTCGCTGGAGCTGCTAAGTTGCGCTGCACCTCGCGCACTTCACTTGTACTCACAAGCTGCGATGTTGCACAGGCATTGAGACGCGTGCTGCAGCGTAGGTCAGCTTGGTCTCGCGTAGGCGTTTTTGCGGCCGGGGTCGCATCTTGGCGTAGGCAAATTAAGTGAAAATAAGAAGGCCCACATACAAGCAAAAAGCGCATTGTCCATGTGGGGAGCCCACACTCATGGGCGTTTTCTTTAGGATTTTCCCCAACTTCACACACCTCACCTGACTCTCACCTGCTAAAATGGTCCCGGAACAAACCAAGCTGGCAACACAATAGCGTTCCACCGCAAGCCAACAAAATCCTGCCCCTCAACCACCACCCCAAAACGGGCCAAAAACCACCCGGAGAAAAACACACGACCTTTCAAGACTGCTTTCCCTCAAATGTCCCACCACCCAAAAGCGGGCTTCCCAGTCACAAAGTCCGTAAGGTGACTTCCGAACTGTCCCTCCAGCTGGGGCTGGTGTCAGGCCTGGTCCCGAGCACTGCTCATCGAGATTCTGCAGGCATTCCCCCTGGCCCTGTGCCTGATGTGCGGCTTGGATCAAGCCAAGCCCAGGGGCCATCAGCTGAAAGTTGGCAAACTGACAAACTGCGATTCTCAGAGCCCAGCGGGGGAGAGGGCTTGGTTCCCCATCATTGGGAAGGCCTTCCATTGGTATCACAGAAGTGCGCACTGCCATTAAGGCGTAACTGGCACCCACGACCCATGTTGTTTGGTGACTGAACATGGTCCTTCATGGTCACTTGGCAGCTGGGTGAATCAAGTAAGATGATGTTTGAGCAATCAAATTTCAAAGGGGAATCCAACATGTCTCCCTTTTCACCATCATCCAATGGATCTCGCTCTCAAAGGCCACTGAACCCTCGGCTCACTGGTTTCGTTTTGTGGCAAGCATTTTGTTTAGGGTTTCGCACTAACGGGCACTTTCCCCTTGGGCACTTGCCCCTTTGAGGCTTAGGCCCTTGGGCTCGCCATCTTTCGGTTCCCAATTTTGACCGCCAGTTTTAGTGGCAACCCACCATCTCGGCCTGCAGTCGGGGAGTTGCTGCCGAACTGCACCATCGCCGATTCTTTAAGGCAATCCTAAACGGCAGAACGCCAGTTTCCTGAGAATCAGCAAGCTGAGGTTTCCAATTCATTGGTACAAAGCGGTTCCCTTTGTTGGTTCCAGTGGCTTCCTCACAAAAAGTGAGCCAAAACGCCGGAGACGTGATTCTGTTTGACCCAGGACCGAATAAACCCCCTGATTCATAGGGGTCCCAACATTTTTTTGAGGGATCCGGACCGCTTTAGGAGAGGGGTTGCTCCCACGAATCCGCTTTTGGTTTCATCCGGGGCAGTCATGTTTCGGCTTTTGATGGTTTTGTTGCCTTTGGGTTGCCAAGTTATTTAGTGCCTGCATCCAGGGTTAGCATCGGACAAGCCTTCCTGACAAGTTCTGCAGTTGCCTCAGCTTCTTTCTCCTGAGGCACCGTCAGGTTGATCAAGTTGCTTGCCTGCAGTCAACCGTGTCCTTTTTGCATTTTCTTTTGGATGAGGGTTGGTCCCTTTACGGTCAAGTACCAAAAAGTGTGGCCCATGGCCGCCCATGGCCACTAGTTGCCGTTGTTGCGCTGGAAGAACATAATGTAAGCGTAAAGATGCCTTCTCAAACTACAAATGTGTGACTGCCACGCCTCCTTGGAGTTTGTACTTGCCAGATTGGCAGGTTGGGCCGAATTTGATAATCCAAATTTCCAGGTGGTTTGCATGAATCAGTCTCCCTCAAACAGTCATGGAAGCATGACTCTGCCTATGTTATGGGATTCGAGCTCAACAATTGAGGGTATGAGATGCTCACCTTGTACGTCCTTTACTTGAGGATCCAATTTTGATTTCATGGGATTGTTTGTAAGATGCGCGGGTCTTTGGATTTGTTGAGAAACCTGCTCACGGTCAGGGATCCCTGGAATGATTTTAAGAATTTCCATGTGAATCGCCACGTGGTAGCATGTACAAGTTGCGCAGGAAGGGCTCCAAGCACTGGTGGGAGGAGCAAGCTAGCCACAAAGGGGACGAGCACTGGCATCTTGGATCATCTTGGCGGCCTTGGGGCGGCTACCCTTTTGAGGAAAGTGTCAAGGAAACCGCCTAAAAGGGGAGCTAGTGCATGCCGCGAGGTGGTGTGCAGGTTGGCCTTGGCTGAAGCCATTTGTTCACCCAGTTTCTTATTCGCACACTGGCTGATGATCGCCGCTTGTTGTATATCCGCCCCTACCTCGCGAGGCGACAGTGTCACCGGCTGTCGGTTGTGGCTGTTTGGGTCGATCAACGGCTTGGCGAGTAGAGGCGGTGTCTTTCTAAGAAGGCTCCTGGCAGACATAAGAGAAACTAAGAAGATAGCCAAGATGGTTCCCTCCTAGTACCTACCATATAATTTTACAGCAAGATAACGAAGATCCAAGAAAGTAAAACTGTATTAAAAAGAAGAAAATAAAACAAAATAAACAACAAGATAAACAAAATATAAACAAGAACAACACAAAGAAAGATAAGAGCCAAAGTGATGCAAAGAGCTGGCCCTTCAGCAGAATAAAGCGTTGCGGCCGGGTGAATCAATAGGTGCAACTTTCGAGCCGGAATTGCGGAAGTGTCAAGCACTGTTCTCTTGTCACAGACTAGCGAGAGCCCCTGCTACATACCTCCGTACCGAGATTCGCGTTACGTGCCCATAACAACAGCCACGAATACATTTATTTCCGAATACATCATCATGGTGCAAAAAAAACACCTGGTGCAATAAGGTATTCGTCTGAGCATCCACAACCGTAATAAACAAAGCCTGGCTTTGCAAAGAAGTGGAGAGGTTTGCCCATTTTCTTGGGGTTATCAAAGGCAGCAACTTGGGGGTGTTTCCCTTTAACCTACCACTTTAAGCTACCACTTAGGGGTGACAACAATAGGTCCCCCACAGCCTATGGTGGACCCGCCTCTTTGGTTGGTCTTGAAAGGAAGCCAAAAGGAATCCGTTGCCATTTCAGGAGATGGACAAATTCCTTTTTGGGACGCCCCTCCCCATTCCGCCTCTCCCTTTTTTGGACGGGTTATCCCATGAAACTTTCGATCAAGCCGTTGCCGAATCGAATTCTCCGGTGAGGTATCACCATGTGATGTACTTAGCCTCCCACGGGCGCTTGGGCTACGACCTCTTTTGCGGCCAGGTTTTTGAGGCGTCTCCCCAGGCAAGCAACGGGAGGGGGGCTTGTTCTGGGCTTACGCTTTTCCAGTTTCAAAAAATGAGGTCTCCCAGTTGTGTTTCTATCTTAGGGTAGGGTAGAGGTTGAAAGGACGCTCACAGCTTTGGCCAGGTTGACAATCACAACCAGATGATTTGGAGGATGCAAATCCGTTGATTCTGGGACTATCGTATTGTCCCTCTCCCTTATTTCTCGGGTTTGGTGTCTTGATTGAGAGCCCAATGGAAGCGAGCCCTTTTTCTCGGCGGGTTCGGCGGCAAGTTAAGGGAAACGAGTTCAGAACCTGAGGCTCGAGGAGGGTCAAATGTGCGTGAGCTTCCCGACACATGTGTTGCGCCACGGCAGTCCTCCATATGGCTATGAATTCAGAGTGGGAGCGTCCTTCCAGGTGGACATGAATCCCATGTAAATGATGCCCACTACAGAGTCCATGAAATGTCATGCCTGTATGTTTCTACAATTAGGCTTGAGTGCACTCGCGAAACATATCGATCGCCGGGAAACCTTACGGAAGGCTCCCTAGGGATGCCTCATGTCCGTCTTGCTGCACAGCCATTTGCGGCTGGAAGTAGAAGATACTGCCCATGCGAAGTGGGACAAGTCTTGGGGTTGGGGATCGCAGGCATGGTGGACTTGGTTCCTCATCTTCGGAGTGCTCTTGGGGTACGCCGTGGTGATTGGCAGCGCCGTCTACTATGCCAAGAAGGCCGCTTATCTCATGCGGGGGGAGCAGTTGGCACCAGCGGTCCTCTTGAGTAGCCTCAGGGGGTTTCCATTGGCCGCACACAGCTCTGAGGAGGTAGATTCCAGCAACCCTTGGGTTGGAAGGTAGCGGAGGCCATTCAAGAGGTGGCCGCTTTTGTGCGCCGTGGCAGAGGGTCAGCCTTTGGCTCCGTTCGGGGGAAGTGCTGAGAGACCAAAGGCTGACACCCCTTGAACCTGTGCCTTTTTTGCGCTCCTTCTTCCTTTTCAACCTTCTGACGGGGAGGGTTTCGGGGGTCGGGTTGGGTTGGAGGTTGAGATGGTCAGATTCGGGAGCACGTCAAGTCGGGAGGGTTCTGAGCCTTTGAACCCTTGAAGGAATCAAGTGCGTTTAACCCCCACAAGATGCGGCCGAGTAAAATCACACCAAATTACCAAGGCAGGTTCTGGCAGGTTCTGCCAGGTTCCCTCAAAAATGCTAGCTGTGGCCACTTGAACAATTCACCCCAATACCAGCCGTAGAGGCACCACCTTTTGTGTTTCAGGCGGTGTTTGGGCTGTATCCTTTGAGGAACCCTGCTGAAGGTATAATTGAGCAAACGCAAGGGGATCGCACGTGTTGCAGCTTGCTCTCTACCCTGAGACCCAGCAGCTGGGAAGAGAGAGAGTCATTTAAGCCATGGCTTGTGGTTGGGTTAGACTCTCTGCTCGATTTGCTGGACTTTAAAACCTTTGCGGAAAACCATTTGAACAAGAGTGGAGGAGTGTGAGCAAGTCTCAGGGCACTCAAGCTCGTTGAGCCCACCGGATCCTCCCTTTTGGTTCCTTTCAAAAGGCCCCATGGCCTTAGGGGTGGGGGAGGTGTTGGACCCTGTGAAGATATCAAGAAAAACCAAACACCAAACAGCACCGGAAAACGGGTTTGTGTTTTTTAGGGTCCCCCCTTTTGGAGTGCATGGTTTAAAGGGCACCCAACAGGAAATGAAACCGAACGGACTGAATGGACCGAATGGACCGAATATTGACCAAGGCACAAGGGCGAATCACGTATCTTGGTCTCGGCATGCTCGCCGGTGGCTTTCTCTTTGGTGAGGCGCCAGGGACGGGCTCGTCGTGTGTGTGTGTGTGTGTTTTTTCCTTTTTGTTCTCGATTTTCAACGAGGGGCCCACGGATGGACATTGAATCTGATGTTCGGGACCTGGTCCCTTTAAATGGAAAATGGTCCAAACCAGGACCTCCCTGTCAGGTTCCATGTTAATAGCTGGGAGGGTACCTTTTTCGCGGTGGTTGAAGCAAAACGGATACCAAAAGGACTGATTTTTCCATGGGGTCAACGGGTGCCTTAAAGTGAACATTTGGATGGATGCTCAACATGACTTTGCGGGGGGTTATTTCCCTTTCCATCTGGAGTGTGTGTGTTTCTTTGAGCTTTCTCTTCATTCTTTCTTTTTTCGGGGGAGGGTAGAGGGATATCAAAAAGACAATCGCGCCATTGGTTGGGCCTCCTGCTTTGACATGGATTTGTGTATTGTAGAGGGGTGCCCCAACAGATCCCTTCATTCCATGGTCGGGTGGCTTTAAATATCACCCATGTGGCCCATGGAAGGAGGGCTTCCCGTGGTAGGGGGTGATGTCTTGAAGGGCAAAGTGCAACGATCTATTGTCACAGCTGGAAATGTGTTGCTTTCACTTGTCCTTTTGTCGGAATTCTAGATTTTCAACTGGGGAACAAAATCCCCCCCCCCCCCCCCTTGAGGCCAGGGCGGTGTCCGCCAATTTCGTTCCAACCTGGGAATCCACGATGTTTGCGTCAGACATGCAGCCACATAGATGTCTTTTTTAGGTTAGCTTGTTGCATGCCATTTGCCAGGGCGATCTATTTTATCAAAAGGGCACCTATGAGCAACCATGGATGGTCGTTCGGCTGAGCAATCAACCTTGACCCCAGTCTGGCCGCCTCCTTGTGTTTACTCCTCGCTGCCACGATTGCCTCAGAGATGTTCTGAAGCATGGAAATATGCTGGTGTCGCTTTGTGTGTGTGTGAGTGTGTTGTGTTTGTGTTTGTGCAGTTCGGTGCATCTAAAATACGGTAATGCTGAAGGATCGCATGATACATACGGATAACACCCGCTATGCGAGCACACAGTGCGCCAGCTTCCAGGCAATCCTTTTCATCGCGATCACGTGCAGCAAGGAGTTCTTTCACCTGCGCCAAAGCTGCACTTTGCCGATCATGTTCTCGCAAAATTGGGTTAAGACTGTGATTGACTCACTTGCCCAAAGGCGACCTTTTGACCTTTTGGTGTCTCCGTGGTGGTTCTTTTTGGTCATGGCTCCAAACGTGAACCCTTTACGTCTGTGTCAAGCCTAGCAACGTCAAATGCACACCTTTGCCCATCAGGCAATTTGTCGGCCTGAGTCAATGTTGGCCTTTCGGAACACAGCTTCTGTTCATCAACCGCGTAAGCCAGGCTTCACTACCCCGAAACCACACCTTCAGGGAAAAAACAAATATTGGCCCTAAATGCACTGGCTGCAGAATGGTTGAGTATCCCGAGAACTCCCTCGGGTACTGGTTGGGGGGTAGTGGAATCATTTTCGAATCCGAGGGCATGGCTGATTTAAGCATCACCTTTTGGACTATTCAGAGTTTCCATTTGAACAGGTGATGGTTCAAGAGTCACCCTTTCACTTTAAGGTGCGTCTCAAACATTCTTGGATGCCCAAAAAAGGGCGTTGTCCTTTAGGCTTTCTCTTAAAGACAACCCCGCGGGCCCACCAGAAGCCACAGCACACGCAGAAGAACTCAGGAGCATGCATTGATAGATGAGACTTAGGTTGTTCGCACTCTCCGGCAGTCTTCCCTTTCTTCAAGACCCGGTTTTGCGGCATTTTGTCTAGGGGGTGCAACCCTTGTGGGGCCCTGGCAGGCAAGAACATACCTTGACCACTTGTTTATGCTATTTGGTTGGACCTCAAGTCGGTTTCCTTGGGCTAAGATGTGTTCTTTCCCCCCGCAAGCCAGGCAGCTTTTTTGTAACTTGCGGGGACCCAAACTTGGCTCCCAGCCTTCGAAAGAGAACCTGGATGGGAGTTGGGTGTCTCACCGTTTCGCGTCGCTCGCACTTTGGCCCGAACGTTTGGAGTTTGGACCAAGGGCTTCTTGGGCTTTGGCTCCAGCAAAAAACCGTGGCCCTTCGACTTGGCCACAAAGCTTTTTGGGAATTGTCCTCAGCTCAAAACGGATCGACCTGCTGACCTTTTGGTTTTAACCCTTTTGGGTCCCATCTGTGTTGTCCTCAAAAGGTGATGACCTGGTGTCGGTTGGTCCTTTGGGCAACTGAGTATCAAGTTTGCACATACATTCAAGCAGTCCCCTCCCCCTGGTTTCCTCCACAAAAAGGCCTTAGTTGCGGGGTGGATTGTATGAGAAACATCACACGGGCTCAGAGATGCTCAATTGAAAATCACCCAACTACTATGCTAACCCCCCTTTTCAATAGAAGTAAGGCCACTGTGCAGGCCTTTACTTTGGTTTTTGACCCTTAAACAACTTTGTGCCACAAGGGGGAAGGCATCGACATGATCGGTCCAGACAACTGCTGTTTGAACCATATAGTTGGCAGACCTTCAGTGGTGGGTGCCCTTTGTTTGTTTCTTTTTTGGAAAGACACACGTGGTTGATGTGTCTTTCAAGGGATGGGTTGCGTTGGTTTGCCTTTCTAGGTCCCCCAGTAGTGCCCTTTTACCCTTTTTTGGGGGAGGGCTCCCGCACCAAAACAGACTACAGAAAAACGGGTACCCTTATTCTAACCTCTCTACTGGAGGACCTAGCCTTTAAGCACCAACCACAATCGGGTCCTCTATTTTGCCTTGCTAGAGGTCTGGGGGTTTCTGCAAGCCTTTGACACACAGCTTTCGGCCTGCCGAACAATGGTTTTTATCCGTTTGAAACTACGTCGGAGGCAGGGACAAGTGAGACAAGTGTGAAACAAGACAAGATGTTTGATTGCGGTGATTGTAAAATATTGCTTGGCAATCCGAGCTTATCTATTATGCAGGTGGGGGGCTGTCTCATCAACCGGGGTGTCCCATGTTAAGAGGCGATCCTTTTGGAATTGGAGGGGTACTTCTTCTCACGATCCACCAGTTGATCATGCCACCATGATCTATTGGTTCCATGTGGAGGTGTCTCTGTATGAAAGCTGCGCGGCCCGGCACGCATCCCTAGGTGTGAGGTGGAACCGTACCGCCTAAACTGGTTCTTGATCGGCTTCTCAGCTGCCATCGCACAAGGAGACACTACGCAATCTTATTGGGGTGTGTGCTTCTTGAAGGTGCAAAGGAAACTGAAACGGAGCTGCCCAATCTGGGACTCCGCCAGATTTGAGACAAAACCATTGAAGCTGGTTCGTTGCCCCTTGTGAGCCTTGATGTCTGTGGGTAGCCTTCAATGCAACGAACAACTTCGGTTGTGTTCACTCGGGACTTGCAACCCGTTTCTAGGGAAGGTCTGTCATGATTTGGCCACATTCTGCGTTGTTTGCAGGGTTTACAAGGGCGGGGCTGAGCATTCTGGAAGCATGCTGAAACCCTTAATGATGCAAATAAGGGGAAAGCAAGCTTAGACTTAGATGTTCTTGTAGTATCAGCCAGCTATGATGGCCCAAACAATTTGGCAACTCGCGGAAAGAAAGCAACGCAAAACCTTCTATCTGCCCCGCTCGAATCCCTGCAGGATCTTTGATCATAGTCTTGCTTCTGATTGTGCCCCGGCCTGCGGCGAATTCCGTGTCGGAGACGGGGCTGGTCGGACAGGCATTGGATATTGCGGAAACTGGGTTTGGGTTCTAAAAATGGAGAAGCCGACGCCAAAATGGTCGGTGTCCTTTTCTTAAAGCCAGCCAAACGGGTTCCCACAAATAAAAGCCCTATTTGAACATGTTTACTTGCCAGCCTTTTGCACTCTACTCAACGCATTTGTCGCGGTCCGATTCGTTGTACTGCGCATGACAAATAAGCAAGGGTTGGAGTAGTACAGATACCGTGCCAGTCACGCAGTCCATGCTTGCTTTGCGACCCAGCAGGTGGTCTCGCTTTGCTCTTCACTCACTTATTATGCTGATATCATGGCCGTCTCAGCAATTGTTAGGGTCACATGCCAGTGTTTCGCCCCCGCGCCCTGCCACTCACAGGGCGCATCCTGCAGTTCCCCTGCTCATGGTTTTCAACATCAGCTCTTGGGCAAAAGTGAAGGGTAGCTGTGGGGAACATGGGGTCACTGGCTTGGCCGGCAGCCTGGCCAATCAGCAAGCGCGGCCGGATCGGCCCAAGCCGTTTCAAAGGCGATCCCCCGGTTTCCTTCCCGGCCAGCCGAGCGTTGGTACCCGCTTTTGGAGCTATAGGGAAACTAAAGGAACCCACCAATCTGGGTCCGCGTTCAAGCCCGCAAGCCAAGGTTGCGGGGCTCAGAGGTTGCTTGGTCGGCAGGCCAAAAGCCTTCGGCAGGTACGCAGACGCTTGGCTCGAGATTCGGCTGGGAGAGGCCTTTGGGCCTTCGGGGCCCTGTCGCCAGAAAGGTTCTAAGAACTGCTGAGGTTCCAAGAACCTCTCCTTGCGGGGCAGGGGGTCATGGGGTGTGCAGGGGCGGCCGGGAAGTACGTTGTGATGTTTTTTGCCCATTGACAAGTCTCCCGTTGTCATTATTCTCGTCGTGGCTGCTTGGCAACGGCCACCGCATAGTGCAACTGGTGCACCGGGTTACCGCCAGTGCAGACGTTAGGTGCCAATACCATAGCCATAAATCAAAGATGACGAGTGCTCGAGCGCCACCAGCACATCAACACTGACCAAAAAAGTCAGCCCTTAGTAAAGGCACCCCCTTCAAGGTCGAAGGCTTTCGACCCGCTGGTGATTCTGGGGCTCATTCACTACCCATCCTTTTACTTTTGGCTCCTTCGCAACCAATTGACCTGAAAACAGGAACCTGCGGAACATGTTCGGTCCTTGCCTTCTTGGCCCGTTTGGGCAAGTTTTGAGCCCAAAAGAGCCCTGATGAGTCTGTTTTCTGTTAATGAGGGGGGGCTGGCCTCCAAGGGGGGTGCTTGAACACCTTGTCCTGTTAAGCAAAGTTGAGTAAAATACTTGTTTAAGGGAAGCCATTTTTTGTGTGGTTGAGTATTGGTGGGTTTAAGCGCAGACTATGCAAATACTAGGCAAGAAGGAAAGCCCGTGCTTTGTGCTGAAGGGGCGTACTAGTTACAGTCCTTCGTTGTGTTGACAGCTCTATGAAAGTACATTTTTGGCTTGGGTGCTGCAGGGGGGTACCTTGAATCGCCGAGGGCCGGGGGGCAGGTGGGGGAGGATTTGGGGAGGCTCCAAGAACTGATTGGGTAGTAGAGTTTCTTGGACAAAACTTGTTTGCCCTTTACTATTTCGTATTGATGGGAATTTGGGAGCAACAGGGAAAACCTTCAATCGAGGGGTTTACTAATCGTGCACTGACATTTTCATCCAACTGCTGTTGCTGCAGCTGCTGCGGTCTACCTCCTGCTTTGCTGCAGATGCTGCGGTCTACCTCCCACTCTGCTAGATTGTTCCCTGTTGATGCCAGTCATTACCTTTTACTCGTTTGAGGCCGTTTTCTTCACTACTTGCATCATTTCAGCCAAGAGGGCAGTGCGGGCTGCTCGGCTGCTCGGCCTAGGAACGGTATGTGAAGGCTGGGCTCCTCTTTGTGGGTCTGTCCGCGCAAGCCTTAGACTTTGGCTAGGCTTCACTGGGCTCCTGAGAGACATGAGGACCTACCCAGAACGGAACCCCAAGAGCGCATGTTGAGGGGGTCTCAAAATGACTGTGAGCTGTTTCTCACCAAACAAAAAATGGGGCCAGATTTATGATGTCACGTCAATAGACCAGTTCATGAGGCCCCTTGCTTCATGATTCCTTGTTTCAGGTTGGTGAAGTATAATTGGTGTAGATCGCATCTTTTCGTTCACTGACTGTTTGGTGGTTCATGGGCAGGCACAAGACCGCGCCTTGCACGGTCTTTTCTGAGCGCTTTGGACCCTTCAGAAGATCTCCACGGCAATTGGTTCCGTCCAACGCACATTTGTACAGGCTGCTCCCCCGATTTGCTGATGGCCCTTGTCCTATCAGTTCTGCAGATTGAGGGGTGTTGTTTTTGTTTGTGGTCCCATGTCTTGTTGTTCTGCGCGAGCATTCGCTAGAGACCCCATCGAGTCGCACGGAAAGCTACTGATTGTGGACTTTCTTCATTCATGGAGGTTCGGGCATTCCTGGTTGGCACCGCGCGGGGTGTGCATGTGGGAGATTCGCACTCTGTCACTTTGCCTCAAACCGAGCCAACGCTCAGGGCACCGGTATGAACTGTTAATTGCTCTCGCTCCTGTCACGTTGCACAAAGATGTGTTTTTGTTCGCGTGTTTGCAACCTGGCAGAGTTCCCTATATGTCCCCTTTGGGGTAGTTTCAAGCACGTTAGGGCCAACAAACTTAGTTCTCATTTCCATTGCTGGACTCAATTCACCTTGTTTTGCATTTTGCGCTTTTGGTTTCCCTTTTACTTCCCCTTTAACCGAACAAGTTTATTTTTTCAGAGGATCCGTAAAAGTATACATCCAAAGAGGGGATGCTCTAAATCCCTTAGTATTTGGGTGATTTTTGAGCTGGGGGCTCCTGTGGGGATCTAAGTCAGGCGTGGTCCTCATAGGTCTTCTTGGTCCTCATGGTGGCTACCAGCCGGGTGCACCGACCGGAGCACTACTTCCCGAGCTTCGCCCCTTGGCGCAGATGGAAGCTGGCGTGGGGAACCCCCCCTGTCCACTTGCATGGCTGTTGGATTGATAGCAAGGGTTATATGGTTCCAAGAGAATCCTCTTTCACCCCTGCTTCCTCCCGGCCTGCATTCCATCTCGCGAAAAGTGTGAAGAATTGAAGCTGGTCTTGGGATAGGGACCGCAACTACCAACCAAACCGAACGCACGAAAGAACGAACCAAGTAACCAGCCAACCAACCCACCGACTGACCGACCAACCAACTTGTTGTTCAATCATGGAACCTGTCTTGCATTCTTGTGGGAACAGGCCTCCAGTTATGTCCATATTTGTTGGAAAGAAGGTATGCCCTCCTAGCACAACATAAAAAGGAAACTCCGTTAACATAGCCCAAGATTTGCGGCACCACGGTCGACCTTAGATTCAACTTTTGGTCCTGAAGTTAAACCGTGTGGCCTTCGTAATTGATTTCAATGTGAGCGATGTGGGCCCTCCATTGGGTCTGAATAAACCGAACGCATGCTCAAAGGCGTCCCAACGGGCAGTGCCCCCACCCAGTTCACTTGTTTGCTATTTGGTTGCGATTTTAGTCTCTAACTTCTGTTGGGAGATTATTCCTCCACTAACCTGTGAAAAGCAGCATTTGGGTCCAAGACTCCCCACGAAACAAACTGCGAAACAAGCATAGGTTTCCAAGCCCGCGTTGGGGTTCTTGTCCTGACCGGGTGCCAAACCAAAGGCTAACCTTGCCCTTTTGTTCTTTTCGGTTTCCTGATTTTCCTTTCCAACCGAAGAGTTGTACCTTGGGAGTACTGAGTAGCAAGGATCATTCGCCTAGCAAGAGGACGCGTTGGGAGACTTCAAGGAACGGAGGGGTCTAGATGAGTACCTACTGCCAGCGTCTCTCAAAAGGGGCGGCAGCAACCCGCAACCCAAGGGGCACCACACCGGGCTTTAATGTGCTCCAGCTGGTTCTTGGGGAGGAATCAAGTAGGTCAACCAACTTGGTAACGCGTGCCATTCCAAGAATCATTTTCGTTCATTTCCAGCCAGTCTCCACTCAGACATAGCCAGCCTCCATGTCTGACTTGTGGTTTGGGAAAACAGCGGTGATTGCCAAAGTTCCAACTTGATTTCCCTTCAAAAAACAAAAAGTGATTTTAACCCCCCCCCTTTCTTGAGCTGTAGGCTATAGAATGAGTAGTTGCAAACTTACCGGAAGGTCATCAACTTCGCCTTGATCTTCGGGTGGCTCATTGGGCCTTTGGCCATCGCATGGACCAACGCTGTGCGCTTCGGGGACCTTCGGCAAGAAATTAGCGACCCATGACGTCCAATCTGTGACTTAGGGCTCCCCAAGAAGACTACCTGAAAGATCTTGAAAGGGGGTCCCAAAGGCATGAGTCTGCTTAATGCTGGGATATGTGGCTCTCCCACATGAAAAGTTGTCTTCAAAAACCATCGAATCCTCAGCGTTCAGGATTGGAGGGAGGACACATGGTCACAACACAACATCCCATAAGCATGGAACCTGACAAGTCCTGGAAGACAGTTTCCCCCATTACAGGGGGCTTGGCAGGGTATGTTGGTTCGTGGGAGGGCTATTCCCCACCATGTTTTGCATGGACCTGGCCACCACGTAACGCGTGTTGCCCTCGGACCTAGCGAGGAACCCGGCCGACGAGTTCTGGAAAACAAATGGCATCCAAACGGGGCCCGGTTCCATGGGAATGTGGGTGGGAGGGTGCCCATGCTTCCTGGTCGCTATTGGGCCTTCCACCGGCTTCAGATGTTTGTTTCAAGTTGTTATGTCCCTTGTTGCACTAACATAGGGAATCTAGCATCACTACTGAAAATATGTGTTTTTCTTTTCCACGGGACTCACTGGTAGAAGGCCATAGCCTCAGAACACCGGCCGAGTCCTCGTTTTGATTTTGATTCTTTCCGCGCGCCTGGCTTTCGTCCGGGCGTCAAAAGGGAGGATGTCAAACAAGGTCACGGCGGCGTTAGCAACCTATGGCAACTACCACTGCTTTCAAGAGTGGCAAATTGAGGCATTGTCTCACGTGCTGTATTTTGCAGCAGGTTTATCTTATTTTCTGCCTTTCCCAATAGAGCGCAGCACACTTGCTGCCACGCTGCCAGCGCAGCCAACCTTTTTTCGGCTGCCGTTCTTTCTTGCCTGTCTGAGCGGCTCTTCTGTCTACACAAGTTGAAGACTACGTCTGTCTGAGCTTCTTGTTCTTCTGTTGAACACGTCTATCGGCTTATGCAAGTTGACACAAGAGTCTGGTGGCTTGAACATGTTTGTCGGCTCGAGCCAATGCAAGTTGACCATAGCAGCCGTTGGGTTCTGATGGCTCTGACAAGGCAACCTGCATATACAACAGACCCGTGGGAGCTTCCGGCACGCACGGCCGGCTTGCGCATGCTGTGTGTCTGTCTGCGTGTGTGTCTGCATTGGCTGACGCAAAGTCAACATGATCGAAAACACCCAACCACCCACCCCAACCCCCCCCCCCTCCCCCCCAACCCCGAGAAGTGGCTTGACAGCTCATGGTCGCTAATCACGCCGTGAGCTCCCAACAATGGCAGTTTCCTGTTTGACTGCCCACGGTGCCGGGCTTTGAAAGGGGATGCCCACGAGAACGCCTAGGTTGACAACACCACCCCCCCAGTGGCTTAAGCATGTTTAAGTCATGTCTAAAGGGGTTGTGTCGAAAGACCCGGTCTTCCAATTCTCAGTTGCTTGAGGTGATGCTCTCGCAGCCGCCAAACAGTCAGGGCCCAAGACCGCCCATGGAATTCGCTCATTCAAAGCTACTATTTCATTTTTTTGGTTGGCTGCGATATTTAAAGTGAGTTTCCTGTTGGGGCAATGTTCAAACTCGAAACATAGAAGGAAAACCTTGTGAACACACCTTGTCTGTTTGGGTTCATTAAAGGTGGCCCTGAGCCACTGGTATTGGGGCATTTCACTTGCGGGCCTGGGTTGCAACCTGTAAGATAGCTCGATGAATGGAGGTTTTGGGGTGCACCAGCCCAGACCTGTTTTGGACATTGCAGCATGTCCGTGTCAGCTGCCACCAAAAAACACTATATCTCCCCTTTGATGGTTTGAACGTCACCTTTTGAGGCCATTTGGTCATTGAAAGTGTGTTTCCTCTTGGTGGCTCTGCGCTTTGTGAGTGGAAACCCCTTGTTTAGCGCCCAGGGGGCACCGCAGCACTCATTTGCCCAGAGCTTTCTGCTTGTGCCAAAAGCGCAGGTTTGGCATCTGTTTGGCGGTCCGTGACGCGATCAAATCCTTGCGTCGAAGTCACAGCTCGCAGTCCTTTCAAGCATGTCACATGTATTATAAACTTCTGCTGTCTTTTCTTGGTTGGTTTGACTTTGGCTCCGGGGCCCTTTGAGTTTCAACTGTCCATTCGTCTGGGGCTGTTTCATATGCCAGGCATCCCGGGCTGCCCTTACAACTACGTCGCGGGCTCAGCTTGTAGCACGTCCTGGGCACTCCAAAGCAAGCAACTCGCCCCGAATCAAAACTCACGCAACAAGATGGTGTCCAATCCCAAACGGGAAAAGGGATCGAGTCCGTTCTGTGCTGAATTGTGTTGACCCCCCTCCTCCTGGTTTCTTCAGAAGATCTTTGTTTTGCCGCGTGGGCCTCGGTCAGTCGAAGACCTCTGCGAATTTGAGGTCTCGGATAGCTCGCATTCTTCAGGACGCTGAGCTGCATGCAGATGATTTGACATTGCAGGGGATCTAGGGGAGAGGTGGGTCTCCAAAATTTGAATGTTCAGGGTAGACCAGTGGGAGCAGAGGTGAATCATTTGTCCGGATCTGAAAATGATGTTTGGACCCCAGGCTTGAGCAAAGACCGAGTTGCATGGAACTCGGAAACCTCAACCCGCCCTGTCACTCCTCGCTCGCGAGAACTTGGCTCGCAGGCTCTGACCCGGAGTCCTGAACCCGACTTTTGGAATGCATCTGCAAGTTTTATATCCTGTCAGGGGCCCCCACAAAGATGGGAAGCCAGGAACCAAAGCCCGGAAGAAGAAGCCGCCTTGACTGGGATTGGGAGGCCCCGATTGGTGGAGCTTATAGCGCACCGGTTTGAACGCCCGACAAAGACGAGGGTGATGGATTTGAGCTGGCTCGCATGGATGGGCAAAACCTTTTGACCGACTTTCGGGGGCCTGGTCGGGTGCTGGCACCCATTGTTGAATGTGATTTGGATTGGGTCTTTATCTCATTGTTTGGGGATATGATTTTCCCCACTGTATAAACAGTTGGGCAGGGGTAATAGCCTTCAAGCATGTGATGTTGGCACCTGATGTACCAAAGGGTTATCTATCAACCTCTGGTGGTGCAGGTGGCAGTGGTTGCTGCAGTGATAGTGGTGGTCGAGCAGAGGTGTTTTGCAGGGCTTGCTGTAGTCAAGCGTGCAGCCGCGGAGGTAGAGCTCGTTCCCAAGCCACTTGAGTGAAACAAGTCATGCTCGTGTCTGCGTAAAGAGCAGCGGTGCCAGTGTCATGCTCGTGTCCCTGCGAGGGGAACAATGGATGAATAGTTGGCATACAGCGGTAGCCACGAGAGTGCTGTTGCCAGAGAAAGACGTATGAGTAATCGCTGCGCTGCTCTTGGTCCATCGCTTTGTGGCTCTTTTCGGGATCTAGCATTGGTGCTGGCCATGCCATTCCTGCTGTCGTTGCTGTTCTCGCGTTTGGATTGGGTGATTGCCGCCTTTCGCCAACGTTTGCACCACTCCCACCTAGAGCTTGCTTTGGGCAGCTTCGGATTTGGAGCGGATGGAGGCGAATGTTTCATGCAAGCAATGCATGAATGGACTTGCGTGCGCTGTTAGAGACCCGATGGCACCAACCCAAACCTTAGTACGTTTTCTTTCACACACAGTATGATGCCCTCGCCTGGATTGCCAGCTTCGCGGCTATGCTCATCATGCTCGGCTTCAATGCCACGGGCAAAAGCTCTTGGGTCGAACATGTGCATAGATTTGGACTGAACGCATTGAAGCACTCATTAAGCCAATGATGTGTTTTGAGCAAAGGGTGCGGTGCTCAACACAAATGGTTTATTCTTGCCCGGTGTCCGTCAAAAGCAGTTGGCCCTCGTGCCACCGCTTTCGTGCCACAGAGGCATTTTTTCTTCAGGGGCCCATTCATTTCCCACTTCTGGACCTCCAAACGTGGCAACTTGCCAGCAACTCACCGGTCCGTGGATGGCTTGCGACCCTGGAAAGCTCGCCCGGCGCAATAAATCACAGGTCCATGCCCTTTTAGCAAATCGGCTCAAGTCTTCCCGACAAGCTTCCAGTTCCAGCAGATTCATTGAGCACTTGTTCGCCAATTTCATGGGTTTCGAGCTTACCGACTTGGCGCCAACACCAGCTCATGATGGTCCAGTACTTGGGGATTCCTTGTTTCAGGTTTTAGAATGATTGCAACAACTGTACATGTAGTTGTATGACCTTGGCGCACGCATGGAAGCAAAAGACCTTTGAACAAGATGGAGCAAGCAACTCCATTCTCCCAACTGCGACCCTGTTTAACAACATGTGGTGCCCAACCTGGGCCCCTTGAACTGCACCTCCAAATTGGCGTTGGGGGTGTTCCTCGAGCCCATTGAGAAAGTGTTAGGATGTCTTACTTGAATGGACCCAGCCAACTGGCCGAACTTTGAACGTAATCCAGAGTTGCTCGGCACTCTCGCAAAGCCGCGCCTGCCGCGCCTGCTTCCCCTATGGAATGCTGCGACACCGCCACTTGCTATTGGCGAACCTTTGGCTGAACAGAGGTGGACAGGGCCTTTGCGTATTCCCCTTTGTGGTTGCTTCATGAACACAGCCTTGGTGGTTGTTGATGGTTTCGGACCACTTTGCTCATTCAACCCAATTCCACCCTTTTGGTGGTTTGACCACACCAATTTTTCCACAAACACGCGCGCGACAAACGTACACGCCGATACACACCTCACGCACGCCACACCAAACCACACCACACAACACCACACCAGACTGGGCAGCAACACGACACCTGGCACACGGCACAAGAGCCAAGACACACGGCAAATGCCAGAAGCCGCCCGGAGCCCGGCATGGCACGCAAAAGACCTGGCACCCGGCGCACGCGAAACCGCAGCAGCTGCCTGACAACGAGCACGAACGCACTACGCATGGACGCACAGAGACAGAGAGAGAGAGAGAGAGAGAGAAAAAAAAAAAAGCAACAACACAAAAGTGTTTTTCCATCTCAGGAGGAAGCTGGGGCGTCGCTTCATCTATGATGTGGGGCCAGACGCTGCTTGGCGGGTGCTTTCACGTGTCGTACGAGTTGGGCGAGTTATAACTTCTCACCTGGGGGTGCAACAACAAGCTCATCCGCACCCTGTGTATCGTTTCCTTGTCGGGTCATAAATGGTTGTGGTACTTTGCCCAGGTGATTGCATGGGCAGATGTGTGGACTGGATGATCATTGTGCTTATGAACTTGACTATGCGGACATAGTTGCACATCTATCATCAGGACTTCAATCACGAGTAGATGACGTGCCGCTGGATGGATACAATTTGGCATGCAAGTTTGATTTGCATGTGTAGCTTTGAGGGTGTGATTATGTGGATAAAATGACGATTGGCAAATGGCAAATGGACAGTAGCGCAAACACAACAATCCAAGATTTTGAAGGGATGACCAGTCGAACTTCCCAAGGGATGATACAAGACCGGATTTACTTTTACGAAAGGATTTCTTAACTTCCACTCTCCAGTGAGAACTTTTACCTGTGGTGGTGGCATTTGCCATTCCAGGCATTGTTTAAACAGCATTCGCTCAATTCCAGGATTGTGTGACCAGTTCCAAAACCCGATTCCAGTCGATCTGACTTCCTTCTATCGAACTTTCTTAAAGCCGGTAGATTGCTGAGTTGACCTTCAGGCACTAAGGTCAGCGAGGCAGAGTCATCCGTCGGTTTCGAGGCAACAGATCAGCTCCGAGTGGTGCAACAGGAGGTGGCCCGCCATGCGGCAGCGCGGCAGCAAATTTTAGGGAAGCAACACCACAGTGCCCGACTGCAGGGACCATAGACACCACCCCCGAAGATCGAACGATTAATGGTGGGCTCAAGAAAGCCTATTAGTTAGGACCAAAGGCCATGGCTGGTCGCTGGTGTGACTCCAAAGGCCCCTTGGACCTTTTGGGTCTTCAAACTGGTGTTTTTCCATTAAATCTGAGAAAAGCTGATCGACCTGTTGCTCAGAGGGGCTTGGAGCAACCATAAGTGGTGAAAATGTGGGGGGGGGGGGCCTCCTTTCAAATGTGCCCAAGGCACCAGGGTCCAGAAAGGGGTCATAGTCTCGATGACACAAGCGGACAAGTTTTGTTATTTTTCTCAAAAGGACACTTCCAGGCCAAAAGGAACCCCAAGGGAATAGGTATTTGTTTCTAAGAAAAAAACTCGCCGGACCCCCTAATTTTGAACTCAGCGGTTTACACTGCCTGCCCCTTGAACAGGCGTTGCTGGTTTTTGGGCCTGCGGCTCGTCGTTCGCTTCATGAGCCAGGGGTTTTGGCCGGGGTTGAACTGAGGCGGGCATCAGCAACCTCACCATGTTCAAGCGGCTCAGCAAGCACATCCGACCTTTGGGCCTTCTCAAAATTGGGCCCCATTCAAATGCACTGAACCAGTGCCCGTCGGAAGCCATGCTGTAGCATATGACAAAAGCCCAGCACAGGCGCGCATGAAGCAACAGCGCCCCGCGCGCTGTACGGTGCCCTTGCTAGTGCTTTTGTGTGTCAGTCTGCTGCGAGCAAAGACCCTTGGCTCCCAGTTGCCTGAGGAAATCGGCCAAACGGCGATCTTTTTCCGTCTCTAGTCTAGTAGTTTTTTGCTTGGGATCTTCCTTGTCGCGCCAAGCGGGAGCCAGGGTCTGAATGTGACTGACCTTGGCATGAACAAGACGGCCGGCGCAAACCTGTTTTTTGAGGCGCTCCTGAACCTTGTTGCGCCAAACCTCAAACAATGACCAGGGGTAGCACTAACTGCTTGAGAAGACCACATATGTTTTCCATGTCTTGGGGAAGCTTTAACCATGGCTTTCTGAGGAAGCCTTCGGCCGGACCCTTCCCCATGCAGCGCATCGGCGGGCTCAATGCCCGGCGCATGGACCAGGTCGGCCTCAAGCGCCTTGAGCCGTGCCCGGCAGGCGCGTCAGGGGGGGGCTCAAGCCGTGGCTGGCACAGGAGTGGGAATTTGGCAAATGGGTTAGGCATGTAGAAACAAATCCCAAAAAGTTAGCGACCAAGAGAGGTTACCAAAAAGACAGCGTTCCCCCCGTGCAAGTGAACGTCCAAAGCATGGTTGTTGTTGGTACAGGCTCATTTGTAGGCCAAGAGTTTGCCCGTTTTTGAGGGGCGTCCCACTCAATAGGGTCATCATTCATTTTTTGAAAACACTCTATTCGCCAGCACCAGGGTTGGCCTGCTGAAGCAGAAACAGAGGTCGGCACCCGCAAGTGGGGCACGGATGTGCGGCCCCATCCAGGGTCCCTTAAAGAAGGATACATTTTGGCTGGTGAGCGGGACCTGTAAATCTGTCTAGAGCAGGATACTCTCTTCGAAGGGCCCTGTTTTGGTGGCCGAAATCTCCTGTGCGTTCTTGCCTTGTGTTTTTTTGGAGCACCCATGTGTCCGTTAGGCTTCATTGGCTTTGTGGTGTGTGCCTGAGTGTGTCCGACAACACAACTTAAGACTAAAGACAATGCCCGGAGACAAGTTCCTCTAGGCTTCAGCTGCTTTGGCTTCTTGTTGCTTTCAAGAACCTCTCAGCTACGCAATGAATTCAGGTTTCAACTTTTGTTTGTTTGTCCAGAACCTTGCAACCTTCCAACAAACATGGAAGTGGACGGGACGATTTTGGAAGACTACATCCTCTTGCACTTCCATTGTTTTTTGTTCTTTTTGGGGGTGTCGGGGTGATTCCAACTGAAATGGCACCGGACCCCTGTCATTCCCTTTTCCCTGGCGTTGCGAGATGGACATGTTTGGACCCTGGAGCCTTGCGGGGGATACCGGGGATACCGAACAAGGACCCATATCACCCCCAGCTGAAAAGCGTGCTTGTGAACCTCGAACCCTAAAGCAAGTAAAATGGTCCTTGCCCAAGCATAAATGGTTCCCTTTTCCCAAACCTTTCGGACTGGGCAGCTGGGCGCATCATACAAGGTGCTCTTTAGAGCTACTGAAAAGAGGAACCAACAGATGGAGTCCTCACATGCACATGGTCTTTGCTTGGGTGATTTCAGTTGGCTGCCATTTTAAGAGTAAAGATCCCATTGGTGGCCCTAAGGGCATGAACAGAGCCCTATGAGACTCCGACCAAGAACGGCGAAAGCGCCAAAACTGGGGGGTCTTCTCCAAAACCCGCTATAGCTGTTCATATTTGACGGTGCACGATTCAGAGGAACCAGGACCAGAAAATACACTAATTTTTTTGAGCACCCTCCTGTCCAGTAACATGGAACCCACCAGACTGTCCTTAAAAAAAAAAGGGGACAACACCTCTTTCGTTTTTTTTGGTTTGGTCAGGTTCCATGTGGAGAGGAGGTAGCTATGGCCAAGGCTACTCCTTCGTGGATTGCGACCTCGGCGGCGGGGCCTTCGCACGTGTCTTCCTGGTGCGGAACGAGGCCACCCAGGACCTGCAGGCGATGAAGCGCGGCTCGGAAGGCGGTTCAGCGGCGGCTTGGGTGGGTGGCTTTGGGGGAGAAAGTCATCACTTCAAACTTGTTTTTTTGTTTGTCACCTCAGTTGCTGCGAAGGGTTCCAATTCAAAGAGGTTCCAACCATTTTAGCACTCCTTAGGGTTTCTCAACAGTTCAGAAACCCTCAGGAGTGCTAACATCAACATAGTTCCTTAGGGTTTCGGAAAAGAATGGGTGAGCATGAGCCACCAAGCCCTGGAGTGGGGTCCTGAAACATGGAGTGAGGGAAGAGGGGGTAAAATAGTCGATAGGGGAGGGAGGAGGGGGGATGCGTAGCGGGGTTCGTTAAAAACTGGGCTGTTCAAAGGCAACCCGCAAGATCCCCGGTCTCCTTGGTGAAAGGATTTGTTCCCATTTGCAGTGGTTGTGAGAAACGGCATGGATTTGGATTTGCCAACACTAGGCGCATTTGCAACGGCCCATAAAATCTTGGAATTTAAGTTTAAGCTTCCTTTGTCCAAGGAAACCATCGAGTTTTGACCATGAATATGTTGACAAAAAACACGTATTCGTCTCGTTGAGCCCAGGGGTGGATCGCAAGAAGCTGAGCAAGGCGTTTCAGATCTCCGACGAGGAAGCCGAGCTCATGGTGGAACAGGAGTTCTGGAACATGAAGAAGACCAACCATCCGCACATCATCAAGCTTCTGGGCCGGAATTCCATGAGCTTTGCCCAAATTGCTACGGGACCAAGCTCAGCGGGAGAGTGGTTGGAGAGTGGTGGATTGTAGGGTCGCTCGCAAAAAGACGGGGGACTAGAGGCGCCTGGGCCTTGAAGGAACCTGGCGGGTTCTTAATGGGGAATCCGCTCAGGGGTTTCGGGAGTGAACTGGAAGAGAATCCCCTTAAAAGGAATCCACAGGACATGGTTCATAGGCGTCAGTCTCTAGGCTTTGGAACATGGAATTTGTGGTTAACATTTCCTGTATATTGCATTGTCTACTATGAATAATTCCGGTTTCCGGACACGGGGAACTCACTAACATTCAATCAATTTCTCCTTGACGTCAGCTCGCATGAGCCTTGGTAGTCTGTGAATTGCGAGATGGTTAGGACATTGGGCGGGGGACAACCCAAAATCCAGGGCACATCCCCCTCCTCCTAAGTGTATGGAAGGGACGTGGGACGAGGGCGGGCGGTACCGGAACTCTTTCTGCTACATTTTCTAGCAGGTAGACGGAGCCATCTTTTTGTTTCCCAGTTGCGAGTGCGGATTGGATTGCAGCAGTCTCTCGGCAAGATGCCATAGCTTCTGAAAATTGCGCATGTGCAGATTGGAGGGTTGGGGTGGCGTGAGTCTTTTTGGACGCTCTTCTGCTCAATTGTTGTTTTGTCGGGTCCCTCTCATCAAAGCTGATACACGCTAACCAAAGAGCGTTGGCCCGGGAAGGCTGTCCTTCTTCACATGGACCTAACAGCTCAAGTTGAAAGCTTTTGGAAATCGGCCTGCTTACAAGCTATGCGTTTTGTCTTGTCTGTTTCCGGTGGAAGACAAACATGATCCAGCATGGGCAGCACTGAAGCTGGTTTCTGTTCGATCTCCTGTCGCATACCCAGTAGGAAAGGCTGAACCTGACAAAGCATAGTCTAACAGTAGGTCGCAGCAACCCATTCGGCAAGCACACCCAATTTGCAGGACACAACAACACAACAACACAACTTCCCTCCTGCCAGCACGGGAGTGCTCAGTGATGCAATTTGTGTAGTGTATAAGTGGGCCTCCACCACCCCCAAACCAGAAAGTGAATATTATACCCTCCATATACAGTATCCAGTTTTCTGGACTGATGCCCCCCTAGTTTCCCTCGGCCTAGTCAAAGTCATTTCAGACAGTTCAGACCATTGTCCGAGCGCATCACGGTTGTCATTTGTCCGCTACATCATGTTTTTGTTCAGGTTGTGGCTGGACAAAAACGACAATTTGAGGCCTCAAGATTCTTAGGGTAACTGGGCAGCTGGTCGGAGCTCAAAGATTGCGCCCAGGCTCTTTGACTTTTTTCAGGATGAGCGCTACGCCTACTTTGCAACTGGGCGGAGCCATATGAATATTGATGCAATGTGTACCACTTGCCAGATACGTACAGAATCATTTTTAGTATAGGCTAGGTATACATACTATACAATCATTCGTTACGTGCATAGTGTATGTAACATTACATGTACAAATATATGCATTTATATATATATATATATATGTATGTATGCACATTCAGATTTGACCTGCGCTGCCATCATGGATGGGAACATAGCGCAGGAGCGTGAGTGGGCATTGGCAGTTGAAACTTGCAGTTTGCTTTTAGACACAGACGCCACAATGTACTGCTACCGCTGCTACAATAGCATCACACATTGCGGTGAAGTGCTGGTAGCTTGTACCCGTTACTACATAACGCCTGGTAGGCCACCCAAGCACTGGTTGGGTTGTTTGTCCAAAGGAGAGACTAGTCAAAGGCCCCAAACCCCTTTTAAGCTCCTTGTTGAAGTGCTCTGGACAAGTTTTTACGGGGGAACACAAACAATCCCAGCCTGTCAAGACATCCCGCCATACGAAGTGATGGTTGCACATCCAAGTTGCATGAATCTTCCGCCGCCTTGACCGCAGGTCATGTTTCAGAGTTCGAAGTGATGGTTTGTTTCAGTTTCCCTTTCTTACTGTCTATTTCGTGCTTTGCCCGTTTGAGAAAAAAGCAGCTTTGACCATCAGGGTACTGGTTCTAAGCAAGCAATGAGGGAATGACACTTATGAGCCATCCTTTGTGGTTTCCGTTTCAGGGGATCCCAAAGCGCTCATTCCCCATGCTTGTCGAAGATGGGGTTTTAGGACCGGCTGTGCGACCAAGCAAATTCCCTTCCATTTTGAAAAAAAAGACAGTCATGGGAGTGACTCTAAAAAAATACAAATTGGGGATAGGGGCGACCCCTGAGTTTCCTTTTCTATTTATGTGTTGGGGAGGAATTGGAAAGTGAGCTTGGGACCCCCCCCCTGCCCCTTCCCCCTTCGGGTCGGGGGGGATGCTTAGGTTATGGAGTCGGTGAACGGCGGCACCTTGCGGCAGCTCATGGAACGCACGGGCCCGAAGCTCTCAGAGGGTTACATCGCGGAGCTGCTGCAGCAAAGTTCCCTGGCCGCCCGTGAAAAGCCAGTTTCCCTTTCGGGTTTCCATCATTTTCCCAGCAGCAAGTTGCACACTCTTGGCTTTCCGCGATTTTTCCCTTTCAACCAGTAAGTTGCGAACATGTTTTTGAAGGTTGGATGCATTTGGCGCCAGGTTTGTATGCCCTGCGGTACCTCCACTACGACGCTTCGGCTTCGAAAGCGGGTCAACCAAGGGCTAACTAGCTAGGGAACCCAGGAGCTGGCGGGAACTACTGTGCAGCTTCCCAAGAATGCCAGCTTCCAGTAAAAAAGCACATTGAAATACTGGCTGATTTACAGGATTCCTTTGGCTGCAGCAGATGCAGCCGGGTCTTTTTTGGGATCTGGCCTTTCAAGAACTCATGCCCACTCCTGGTCGCATCTGGTGCATGCAATGAGTTCTTGGCTGACCAAAATTGGGATCAGTGTGCTTTAGGCGTATTTATAGCACAAATGGCACTAAACCCCTTTGCAGGCCATGTGTTCACGTTTTGGTGGTATGTTTGGGTTCTTTTTCCCCAACAGCTGAAAGCTTTGGGGTCTCAGCCCAGGTTGGCTCCGGGGTGGTCCGGGGCGGCCCTGAGGTAAGGTTCCACGAGGGTTCCACCAGGGTTCTCCACCAGAGTTTTACCAGGTTCTGCAAGGGCTGCGGGGTTTTGAGGTAAGGTTCCACGAGGGTTCCATCAGGGTTCCACCAGGTTCTGCGAGGTAAGGTTCCATGACAAGGTTCCACCAGCGTTCCACTGCGCGGTGGTCCGGGCTCCACAAGGTTCCACAAAGGTTCCACAAATGTTCTACAAGATTTCGTGCCCTGGAGGGAAGTAATGTGTCATGCGCCCGCTCTCTGAAAAGCCATCGGAGCAGAGCTCAGAAGATCGCGTTGCTCATGGGCGGAACACTAAGCAAAACCGAAATCAATGGTTTTCAGCACTGTGTTGACTTGCTTGCTTGCTCAGACAACGCGGCCCGAAATGTTGGCTTTGTGGGAAATGAGATCACGTTGCTGCGGGCTCTTCCAACAAAGTTTAACGCTGAGTTCCACGAGGACGGTTTGCGAGGTTCACCGGGCCCAGGTCGGGGCCTGATTGCACCGTCGGGGCCCGATCGGGCCCCGATTGCGCCGTCGGGCCCCCATCGGGGCCCGACTCAGTCAGCCCCGTCAACTGTACCAAGCTGGCATCGCCTAGTTTTGCTAGACACAGTTGTCATCCTAAGGAAAACTGGCGAAAATATAGGTGGCTGCACGCGACCATCGGGCCCCGGTCGCGGCCCGATTGCATCGTCTCGCGCCCCGATTGCACTGTCGGGCCCCGATCGGGCCCCGATTGCGCCGTCGGGCCCCGATCAGTGCGCGATTGTCACTCTTAGCTTTGCTTTATAAGGTTACAAGGCGGCATCCGAAAACCGGCGGTGAGGTGGGTCCCGGGCGGGTTCCGCGAGGATGTATCGCCTGAGCATATTTATCCCCTCTTTCTGGAAATGGGGGGCGAGGAGTTGGTCCGAATTCAGAATTCCCCACCTGTTGCCAGCGTTCATTGGAGCATTCCCATCCGCGATCCCTCCAGATCAGCATCGGGTCCCCCAATTCCACTTATTTGTGATGCACCTTGGGCGGAAATAGAAACACACGGAAATCTACGGCGTACGTTCTCTACAACATCCACAAGGGGCATCACCTCATTTTCTCCCATCTATGCGCTCAAAAATATCGGTAGACGCGCGACAAAGCACTGACAAGATGGTTTGTCTTCACAACCATTAAATGGTGTCTATCCGCTTGCCCTGGTTGGGGATGTGTAATTCTTGGGTCCGTGAACCGTTATATATTTTTTCTATAATTTGTGGCAGGGCGGGTGGCCGTTGGAGTTCCATTTTCGATTCATTGTTCCTGCATGTCGTATTGGACTACTCGGACAGAAGGTTGATTACATCCCCGCCACCCACCCCGGATCAGTCTTCGTTTCGGGCAAGTCAGGAAATCTCCCAAATACTTGAAGGATGCAGTTGTAAAGCAGGTACTGTAATTTTGGGATGGAGGAGATTGCTAACCGTTAGCTCCTATCCGGATTGGAGTTCCGGCCCCCAAAAGAAGGCCCCAAAGACACAGGCACAATGTTTAAACACAATTGCCTCAATGTTTAAACACCAACCGTACAAGTACAGAACCCCATAGGCTGCTCATTGGGGCTCAGGCCTCCAGAATCCACAAGGATGTGAAGCTGGAAAATCTGATGCTTCTGGCGCCTGGTGGGTCACCACACCTGGTGCTCATCGACCTGGGCGTGGCGGAGACGCGGCAAGGCGCTCGCCGCAAGCGTGGGGAAGGAGCCATGCTGGGATCAAAGTTTGCATTTGAAGAGGGAGCCTTTCAGAGCTACAAGAAATTCTGGTTGGGGACATGGTAGAAACGGGCCCTTGGGAAGAAGACTTTGGTAGAACCCCGTGGAACCCAGAGGGTCCAAGAAAGCCTCCTTTTGTCAGGTGCCACGGTGGTGGTCCGGCACCGTTTGAGTATTGCGCATGGCTGAATTTGGTTGCACAGTTCGCTCCGGTCTAGTTTTGCACTTGACCGGCCGGGCCCCCCCCCCCCACGGTCTCAGGCTCGGTTCCTCCCTGGTCCATCCCCCCCCCCGGGCAGTGGCTCAGTGTTCAGCAGTCTCGGTTTGCCCGTTTTGGACTTGGTGCTACGAACTTTTACATGTTCCACCGATTCAGCTTGTTCATTTGAGACCTCAGTCGTCTCGGTAAACCACCTCGCAAGAATCTTTGCACACGCAGCATGCAGAACCCAGAGGTGCTTTCAGACAGCTTCTGACGCCTCTCGTTGTTTTCATTTTTCAAGGTTTGCCACGCCACCATGTGCGTTTGCGTGTCGCATCCTACGAATCTTGCCGGGCCTCTCGTTGTACACAAGCTACCTATGAATCCACTCTGTCACCGACCCATCTCATGCAACAACTGCTAGCTTTCGTTCACCCGCTCCTCAAGTTTCTGACCTCTTTGGTCCGAAAGTCCCGATCCCCAGTTCTGGTCTGGAGAGCTCGGGGCCAAAGACATGCAAAGCGTGAGGCGACGCCGGGCTCATGCCTGCGGGCACGCCGCAGACCATGGCGCCGGAAGTGATCGATTGCATGCTGGGCAAGGGTACCAGCTCCCCGGCAATCTGAGGACCCCGCAGTCAGGTTCCATGTAGTCGACAGAAGGGTACCTTCCCCAGCTTCATGTGATTTCGGCAAATTTCAAGCGACATCACGTTTTGGGGGGTTGCGACCATGGTGATGTCGTGACGATTCGTTGGATTGTGACTCAGTCATGCGTGGGGCCTTTCTTTGCCTTGGAGGAAATCCAGGGGAGTTGTGCCGAGCAGTCGCATTCGCTCGACACCAGGTTTCGATGACCGCTGCGACATCTTTAGCCTGGGGGTGGTGGCGCACCAGCTCTTCACAGGCCATTGTCTTCGAAAGCCGCCCGCATGAATCATGGCCTATGGCGAAGGGGCAAAACAAGCTTTCTCAGATTGTGTATTTCTTGGGGGTCCATGAAAAGAGGCCTTTCTTTGTTCGTGCCCCCAACCCTCAACCTCCCTAAGCCCCCCTGCTCCCAACCCGCGTTTGCACAGGCAAGTAAAAACGCCCAACTCCGTCACAGGCAAAGCGCCCTACGACGTTGCCTACAAAGGCGGCAAGACCTGGGGACCTGTGGACTACGCCGCCACCCGCGCCAACATGGACCGGTGCAAACGGCTTCGCCCACCAAATTTTCGCGAAATGTATTGGACTGGCTGGGGGCGTATCCCAAATTGAACTTTGTGCCCTTCCTTACTTGCCTTTGGTGGTTTCTGGCGAGCAAACCACGGGGCCCGGGATCAACCAAAACCAACTGTGTCCGACATGCAGATCACTCGCCAGGAGGGAGACCTCACCAAGGACATGAGCGCCTCGGAAGGCGCCAAAGACTTGGTGCGGCAGATGCTGCAGCCTGAGCCCTCCTCTCGGCCCACCAGCCTGGAGTGGAGGGGGGGCAGGGGCAAAGCTGGCAGGTTGCCAGCTGGAAACCCCAGTTGCTTAGAACATGGTTTGGGAAGGGGGCCAAAAGCCTTGACTTGCTCGGATCTTCCGGCACTAGTTTGTGGGCGATGTTTCCCACGAAGAGATAAAAGGTGGTTGGGGTGATGTTTTGTTTAAAACGTTGCTTGATTTTGTCCAGACCCCTTGTTTGCCAGCATCCGACACCCTGCACACGGGGCAAACGGGTGAGCTCCCATGCAGGTCTTTTATCAATTCTTCGCGCACTGAGTGAAGCTAAGGTTTGCCCACACTGGCAGTGTCAAGTTCGCAAATCTGTGCGGCGCGATGTATGCCAGCAGCTACATTTGGGATTCCACTAGCTGGGTCGGTTCAAGGGGAACCAACAGGAAGCCGCACATTTGGGGGGTTCCCCTCTTTGAGACAGACCAGCAAGATGTCGGGCGGCATGCGGAGACGCGCGTTTCAGACAATGCGCGTTAAGAATTGCACGTCACTTGCGTGAAGCGGTGTCCAGAAATGCAGCGAAACCCAGCGAAAAGGGTCATGCTGAGAATACATATTGTTGAGCAGAGATTTGGGGTGTCCGGGGGTCCTGCTGGGCCCATGCGCAACAGGGTCCGATTTTGCTGGCAACATCCAGTATATGTTTGGTGATGGTCATTGTGCCACTCAAAATTTGCATTTAGAATGTGACATCAAAAATATTGATATTTTTGATTTTCAAATAGGTGCTGCCAAATAGCTCTTGGGGTTTGGGGGGGTATGCTCAAAGGCTAAGTTGGATGTTGCGCACCATGAGTTGAACCCTGCCAGCCATTGGTACAAGTTGTTTTACTTGCAATGTGACAGGGGGCATCATTAATATTTTAACTAGCAGTCACATCAAGTAGTGGACTTTCATCGTTATGGTGGACTCAGCAATTTGCGGTAATTTACTATGGTGTGGGAGTTGATGTGGTTTGCTTTCAATGATATGGGTTGGAATACCAAAAGTGGAGAGAGGTTTGGGTCAAACAAAGGTTGCCGACATCCCAAGGGCCCCAGCCATGTTTGCTACGGACTGAAGATCCTTTCTTGAACAAAACAGTCATGAACAAGTTTTCTCTGGTAGAGAGACCTCTGTTTAGGTCCGTGTGTCAGGACCTCCTGGACCACCCCTGGCTGGTGCACCACTGCGAGCGCCGGCGCCTGCGCCGCCTCCGAGTGGAGGGCCGGAACTCCCTGGGGGGCGCCGCGCTGCGGCTCGGCGGCGGCTCGTTTCGGAGGGACATGGCACCCGCTTTGGCACCCGTACGGACTCAGGGAGGTTTTCTTGGGGGCAGACTTGGTTTGAACACTTGGGCTCTGGTAAGGAGACCTGCTCAAACAAGTGGTGTTTAAGCATGTGGCCCTGGTTGGCACCCCGTTTGGTGCATGAAGATTCGTTAAGCGCCCAATCGGTGGTTTCCGAGCCAAAAAGCGCCTGTCGACTACGGGTCCTGTGGCTGGAGGTCCGTGGAGGCAGAAGAGGCCGCAGGGGAGGAGCTCCTTTGGCTCGAGAGGCGTGGTGGAGGGGGGGGGGGGTGGAGTCGGGTCGCGTGGAGTCGGCTGGGTGGGTGGGCCCTTCAATGCCTTTAACTTCCCTGAATCTGAATCCGGATTGGATTAGCTGTTTTTGTGGATAACGTCTAGCTAGACTCAATTGCCTGCCCCCCCCTCAAAGGTGGTTCTATGTCAAACTGTTCCTCCCAAAGACGCCGATCCCAGAGGTCCATTTGGCGTGGGAGTGTCTTAGACGGGGCCATTTGCGTTCCCTGATGTCAGGTGTTTGTCGATTTGGGATTTGAAAGTATCTTAGGATTTGGACACAAACCGCAGGGGGGCCCAAAGTAAACCTTCCCACAAAACGGCTTGCAGCTGGCACCAAAGCACAAGGCGTGAAGCATCCAGTTTTGTCTTCATTCGATCCAATTCAACGGGCCCGGCCCAACCCTCTAAGCCGGCTCCCACCAAAGGCTGTAAACAAAATCCAAGCTAAGAACCTTCCCAGCGGGTGGGCGGGTGGGGGGTCTTGGCTTTGCTCGCTTCTGAGCAAAAATGGTTTCTCAACACGGTGGAGCCTCTGGTATTCAAAGGAAAGCTAAACGGAAGCACACAGTTTGTGGCTCAGGGATCCTTCTCTTCAAAAAGTGGTCCAATCCCCACAGAAATAGCCTGTGGTTCCTGAAGAGAACGCTGGATGAAGAGACTGGGCATTCAACCCTTACAGTTACAAGTTTTTCGAGACCCACCTACCGTGCCACCCGAATGCCATTCTGCCTCTCCCAGGCGGCGCATTTGCAAGGCCTTGGTACGCTTCGCAAAGCGCACGCCGCTGCAACGGGCTGTGGCCTACCACCTGGCTGCCTACCTGCCGGTAGGCAGAAACCCGGGCAGCCGTTTGGGGGGTGGTGTGGGGTTGGCTGCTGGGGGGCGGGGGTTGCGGATTTGTGTCATTTACTCAGCGGCCAAGCTGCGGGTTATATGCTGATTCAGAATCTGATTCAGACAAAACTCGCAAGGGGAGGCAGTGCGTCTATTTGAGGCTGTGACCTTGGCACGGCTCCTCTTTCGAAAGAATTTCTGTGATGCTACGGCTCGAATCAATGTTGAATGGTAAATGCAGCAACACACCTTTTTGCATGCTGTTGGAGGATTGAGGAAGGACAATTCTTGAAGCTAGGAGGAATTCTGGTCAGAACTCAGAAGAACTCTGACCTTTTCCCAGAGGGGTAATGAGAACTCGTTGATAACCCTTGGTTAATTTAGATGAATTTGGATCGTCGGATCTGGTTCTCGTGTTTCTTGTCCTTTTACAAAGTTGGCTTGGGCGACCCCAAGGAAAAGCATTGTGTTGCGTCCCATTTTTGACTCGCAAATCCATCTTTATGTCAAGCTGGTTTTGAACATCTTGTTTGCTCCTTCTCAGCAAGAAACCGCCCCCTTTGGCTGCATATGGCTGCCACAAGGTGGTCCCAAAACGGTTTACTCCCAAAACCTGGGCTGATTCCCTGTAAACTGAGAACCAGCCATGGGAGAGTCTGAGAAGGTCCAGCAATCCAAACCACTGAGAGCCAAATTTCGGCAGGGGTCATGTTTTACCCCAGGCCCTCGCGACCGCAGGTGACCTGCGACGGGCCGCCGACAGCTTCAAGCGAGTGGATCAGGAGAGAAGCGGCGGGGAGGCCCAACAAGTCTTAGCGTCGTGGAGGCTCACTGCCACCTGCAGTGCTCGAAGGAATTAATTAGAATGGGGTTGCGCAGCACTTGGAAAACCACATTTTGTCATTGGGAGAAACCGGAAGAAAACTAGTAGCAATTATCATCTAGCCCTTGCCAAAGGAAGGTTAAAAAGAACATTCCGTAGTACTGGACCTGTTTGAGCTAGCTGCTTTGACACATAGCCATGACACGTAGCTTGACACATGGTTAGCATGACAGATAGATAGCCTATTGCCAGCTTGGCAGATAGATAGCTTAAGACCATGCTTCCCCATTTTGACATGTCTTTGACAAGCATTTTGCAAGCTTGTGACAAGCTTGACCTTGAAAACCTTCTCCCAACCGCCACCCTACATTCCACATCATGTTCTTTGTGCATGCGCACAACTTGGCCACTCTCTGGTCAAGACCATTCAAGACCCGTCCGCTTTTGCCCGACTTGGGCCAGGCTCATAGAGGGCAGAGTGTCTTGCCCGTGGCCGCCACTCCAGTGCAAAACGCTGCCTTTCTTAAGCCCGCAGCCCTGTCTGCACGCGGTTGTGCAATACGGACAGGGTATGTGGCCGCGCTATCTCAGCCCCAGCCAGCTGGGCCCTCTTGTGGTGACCGGCTTCCCATGCACATGAGGACTTCCAGAATGGCTTTCTTTGATTCATAGCCTGCCTGGAATTGTGTGCTCAGATGTGTAAAAGGCACCCTGAGGCCCTGGCGCAAAGAACTTGATGGCAAGTTCACAGTTCTGAAATCTAAACTTCGCTTCCTCAGCACACCTTGAAGAAAGGGGACACAGTCGCCATGAATTCCAGTGGGGGTGTACGCCTTCCATGCCAGTCAAGGCCCATTGCTGCCAAAACATTTAATCCTCTCTTGGGGGTGCAGGGCTTTCACTGCTTCGGGTCGGCAAAGGCCCGGCCATTGCAATTGGAAGCACGGCCACTTCTGTTTTACTTGATTACTGTCAGGAAATCGCAGTGGGATTTTTGCCCAGCTAAAGCTGGGCCATGCAGTTTCCTGTTTGTCCTCTCAAGGAGCGCCTGTGCCACCTGCAGCTTTGGCTTTTGCCATATTCTGCTTGCCTTTGGCAGCAGGCAACAGATTGCTGCTGTACGAGTGCGCAGCCCCTTTCTCCGCTCTTCCCAGCGCAGGCCTTTTCCAGGCCAGCCATAAACAGGCATGCCCACAGTATGGCACCTGGCGGCTTCATCATGGCCAGCCTCGGGGCCAGAAACAGCTGCAGCAAAGAAGTTGAAGGGGGAATCTGGAGGGCAACTGTTGTAGCGGTGGCAGCCACATGAAGATTTAGTCCTTTGCGACCATCTTCTTCTCTGCCATCTGCCACTGTCGGGCAAGCTTTCAAAGTGGACCCTCAACGCATCGACAGTGTGAAGTTCTGTGTCACAGGAGCTGTGAGCTTCTTGACCTAGCCTGTGCTAATCTTGGAGCGGGCCGTTCCTGGCCAGGGAACCACTTTGGTATTCCGGAATGAGCAATTTTCCGCACCATGTTTGTGTTGGGAGGCTAGCATTGCGGCTTTACGCTTCGGGCAGCCTAGAAGCAACCAAGGGTTTTCAAGGAGGGACCTTGGGACCCTTTTCGAGAGGTCGCAGAACCACAAGCGTCCTTCTAGCTTTCTGATGGCTCGTCTCGTGTTGGCTTTGTTTCAACCTCAGAGTTTTACCCCGGGTCTCGAGGTCACATCTCCTACGACGAAGTTGCATTTGCATTGGAGGAGAGGGCCAACATTGCTGCGTGGGCTGTCGAGTTTTCGTAGCGTCTTAAAAGAGGCCCAGAACCATGAGGGTGTCTTCCTGGCATGTCATTCAAATGAAGGCACTGCCAGGCATGCAAAGCCCAAAATTAGATAATGACCAGACTCGCGCATCAATGGCGTACGTCTCCAACCAGTTTGGATATGGTGGGAAGAGACGAAGGTGTTTTTCCCCAAGCAATGTGTGTCTACATTAAGGGGTTCTTGCGGTATGTGTGAGGCAGCGTTAGGTTGGGGCTGCGCCTCGTGATCGGCGTTGTTTCGTGTGAGCGGGGCGAACGCAAAAGTTGCCTCCAATCGCGCAAGAGAAAAGTTGGTCGCGTATCCAGGGCGTGCTCTCGCCGAGGGAATCCGTAAGCGGTGAATTGGCGGACCCTTTGCGGGGCTTGGGTATGTCGGAGTGCTCTCGCTGCGCTCTGCGATTTTTTTAGCATTGAAGCTAGCCTGCTGCGGGCCTTGGCAGTGTCGGAGCGCTCTCGCTGTGACGCGGTGTGAACTGACCGTCGAAAGTGTTCGGCCCTTGGCGGACTTTGGCAGTGTTGGATCTTCTCCAAGAGCGTGCAAGGACATACCGTGGACCTTGTGTGTGTTTTGCAACCATTTTGTGTAAAAGGCTGTCGGTTGATCCTTGCACAAGACGTTGTCTACAAGATCTGTGTGTAAGAGCTCTAAGATGGGTTCCATGCCCGCCACACCTTCCCAAGAAAAAATGCACCTGCGGGGTGGGACGGGGGTGGAAGCAATTTTACAAAGGGAAGGAATTGTTCGGCGCTTCCCTTTCTTACCCACGCGTTTTCCCACATCTCAAATGACATGATACCCGAAAACACTAGCTTGTTGGAATCCATTCCGTCACCCAGAGTTTTTGGATGTCTTCGCAAGAGAGAAGCCCAATCGGATGACAACCATATGGAGGAGACATCCAAACATTGTCGGATGCGTTCACAATGCTCGTCCCGCACGCACAATGGATTTGGGTGGGAAGGCGTAACCTCCCGGAGTTCCATTTGAGTATGGACTATGAAACAGAACCATAATTTCCTATGGAATTTCGGAGACTTTCTGCGTGGCCCAGATGGCCAAGTCGCGTCCTGAGCTCTGCAGGAGGTTCTCGGCATCCAGCGGGAGGACGGTCATTTGGTGGCTGCGGCTATGGACACGGACGCCTCTGGGCGCTTGGCGCCTGGGCAGATCGATTTGGGGCCCAAACCTGGCCGGAAGTGCGAGCCTTTCCTCAACTTTCACAGGGTTCAGCTAGGACCCCTTCCCCCGATTAATAAAGCGTGCCCCACCCCCCCCCCCTTGACCCAAGCACGAAAACACTTCCACTCGAGAAAAAAACAAAAAAGTTTATACTTAAGGGGCCTCCTGTTTTGGGAGCCAGGAACCGGGTGCCTTTGTAGGGTCCACCAAAAGGAGAAACACCTTCCATAATTAATGTTTAAGCCAACGATTTCAATAGGATAATGATGTTGTTTTGTTTCTTGGTCCTCTTTTGGACTTGCTTTACCTCACCAGACTGGGGTTGCACTTGGCAGGACATTCTAGTGCTTGAAAATTATTAGGCAGTTCTAGTTCAGTATTGAGGGATTCCGGGCGTTGGGAACAATGTTATTAGGGAGACACTGTCCTAAAAGGAGATGTTCAAACCAGCCATGGGGACATATGGGTGCGCCTGTGGCACCTGATGCGAATATGCAGAAATGTTTAAAACCTGGTCTCAGGAATACATGCATTGGTTGTTAGCCCCCCCCCCCCCAAGCAATCGGCCACCCCACAAGGCGCAAAATCGCCCCTGGGATTGACTTGGCCCCTGTTGCATCATCCCCACCATGGGATTTCGAGGGTCGCCAGTGTTGGGGATGGACTGACAGGACTTCCAGGAGTTCTCTGCGGCCTTGGCCATGGTCTCAGGCCGCCAAGCTCCGGGTGGGGGTTCGGGTTTCTCCTTATTTTTTTCAGATTCCATTTCTTACATCTTAGTTTGTCTCTTTTTTTTTGGGGGGGGGGGGAGTGGTTTTTAGGGTCCGGAGTGTCTGGACCAATCCACTCATCTTCAGGGTGGGGGGGGCGGGGTTAGGATGGGTTTGGCGTGGGTTTAATTAGGGTGAGGGACGGCTAGGGTTGGGTTGAAGGTATATAGCTTGAGGCTGGGTTGCGGGCCGGCTTATGGTAGCTTCAGGCTTAACCGGGGGAAAGCATTTGTTCGGTGGATTGAAAGGGAAGCAAGAGACACTGGTCCAAAAGTGGGTTCCACTCGCCTGTGATCGAGACGAACCGCCATGACAAACCACTGTGTGGACCAGCTAATCTGGTCATGTCCCACTTCGCAGGAGCAGATTTGAACAAGAGATCCAAAGATGTATCCAGCAAACAGTACAGTGGCTGTGCCTTTTTGAAACAGCGCTTGGAGCTTCCTCAGAAGGTGGAATCTTCGCCCAGAAAAACTGAAAGAGGAATGACCATGGGCGCACTGTTTGCGGCCCATCCTTACCTGACCGTGAACAGGCTGATTTTCGACACGTCCCAAGATTTCCAAGTAAAGGAGATTGCCCCTGAAACGGTGGAGTCGCTCGTCATAAATTGGGCACTGAGATCCAAATACGCCTGTTTCGGAAACCTTGCAGGAAGATATTCGGTGGCCCTGGCTAGCCACCAGTTCGGCTACTCAAACCAATCCTTATCTTCCTGGTTTCGAGAATCCCTTTAAAGGAAACTATAAGACATTGGCTCATACTCCCCTCATTCCCTGCCGAGAACCAGCAGCAGTTAACTTAGAAGGCCATGTGTTTCCAACCCAAGCCGGTTTCTTGGCCTTCATTGTACCTCTTAAGGCACACCAATCGCAGGTTCGGGGTTGAAGAAACCGGATCCCCTGTTGATTAGGGCTCCCCTTAGTTTCAACCACCCAGACTTCTCAAGGCCTCGATAGGCGATACAATGGGGTAAGACAGCATGCCACGAAATGAGAGGCGACAGAGAACAACGGCTTTTTGACCGACTGCTGCTTGGCCAAATCGATTTGGCGCGGGTGATGAAGCGTGAGCACACAACAGATTTGTAATTTGAGTTGGGGATGTGTTGACAATTGAGGCAATCGCAACAGACAACTGTTTCTCCAGTTCCGAGTGAAGCAGAGTTGCTTGCTAGTGCGAGGCATGTTGCATTCCGCTCGGGGCTTATTTCTTGACCAAGGTTTGTCAGCACTTGCTTTTTAGGTCAACCCTGAGATTGGTATGTGGAGGGGGGGGGGTAATGTACTGGTTTGTTTTATTTTGTTTTGTTTTTGTTAACAGGCAACCAGAAGGAAGCCAGCATGTCCACCATGTTCAAACCGAGTGTCCCTTTTGAAGGGACCGCAAGGATTGTTATACATGTTGCAGTTCGTTGAAACAAACAAACACATGTTTTAGGGTAGACTGAACATGAAGCAGAATCTGAACATCTGATTTTAGCGTATCCCTTGATTTCGGCCAAGTTTGGGAAGCTATTCAATTCGAGTCTCGAGTCTTAAGCTCACCGCAGGTAGGCCCTTCGAATCTAGTGGACGAGGTGGCCCAGCCCATAGGTTTTCGCTCATGCGCCTAGTTCTTGCAACCATGCTGTGGATGGACAAAATCCAGCTTCGCACCAGTTGGATTGGTAGCTTGCCCCAGAACTCATGGGTTCATCATCCGCGTCCACGCGGGCTCCACGGCGGAGGGGTTGAAGGGTCCCTGGTTTCCTGGTACTTTTCGGAAGACCATAGCAGTACCAAGCAACAACTCGCACACTTTGGGCCAATCCACGGGCACCAAATGGAAATCAGGATCGGCGTGCCGAAGTAGCCATGGAGCCAATCATTGACGAGGATGCCCTGCCAACCTTTTCCTGGAACCCACCAGAAGGTGTGGTCTTCCTTTGTCAGAGAAGAGTGCCATTACCAGGGATTCCCTAAAACAATCCAAACGGGTGGCTTCGGGTGCCCAGCAAATACTGTGTTGTTGTTTTTGTTTTTTCCCCCCTCTTTTTTCCTTCTGGTTTTCCTTTACGCCCACCCCAAAAGTAGCACCGAGCCTCAAACAACGGATGCCCGCACCCTCACTTCTCGAGGCTTGAGAAGCTGGGCATCGAAGGCCAGGGCGACTTGACCATCGAGCAGGTGCCGCTCGGGATCCGGCGGCCGTGTCTTTTTGTTGTCGTTTGTGTTTTGTTTCTGTCAAGCTGTTGGAGAAATCATATGAAGTTTGATGTGCATGTTGTTTGAAGTGTAATGTTGGTTGTTGGTTGCGATTGATTTATTCTTGTTTGTTTGTCCGTTCTCCGCTGAAGAAATCCGTTGGAACTGCGCATTTGGTTCTGGAGGGGGCGTTCCCCTTCTAATTCAAGACCCATTAAATCAGAGAGGTGCCCAACTTGTTCGGGAGGCACCCTTTCTTCATCTTGTTCTGTTTGTTCATATTTGGCCAGGGGTCCCTCCAATGCGATGTTGCGCTTTAGAGATTTGCCACGCTTGCAGCAACTTTGCCGGCCCTTTTGGCAACTATGCCATTTTCTCTTTGGTAGACTCCAGTTGGGGAATCCAGCAATCCCCGCTGGTGCAGAGGCAATATACAGGGCATGTACATGAGTCTCCTAGAATTTGTAAACTGCCGTCTTCCAATTATTTAGGCCTTACAGAACTCCCTTTGGGTCCAAGTGGGCCTGCCTTTTGTGCGGAACCTCCTTTTGGTTATTGGAAACCAAAATTGGCTCCGGAACTAGGTCAAGACACACCCTGTGTCTCACTTCCCGATTTCCTGGACTTTATAATCTTTTGTAAACAACAAGTTTAGTTACTTTTTCTGGCCAATCTCAGGAAGTGAGGAATGTGTCTAGGTTGGCTACACGGTTTTTCCAATTCCCGGTGTGGCCGAGGTGCACCAAGCCGTGGAGCAAGCCATGCGGGGGCCGGCACCTGGACTGCGGAGTTGGGGAGAAGGGGTGGCCCTTGTTTCTGGGTTTGTGTTTCCGGGATTTCCGCGTTTTCGATATCTCTTTCGTGTGCGCTATTGTGCCTTGCTATCCTCAGTTTGGGTGAGTTTCAAACATCAGAATTGTGAACCTGCTTGGGAAACCAAAAAGAATCCAAACATTTCAGGGGCCATGTTTTGAGAAACGTCAGCCCTTTTGGACGAGGAGCAGAGCAGCTCCTATTTTGTTGAAAATAATGTGGCATATGCTGGAAATCGTTTGCCCGAGCGCTCGGACATGTCGATTTGTTGGCGCCCCGATCAACTGCAAGGGGGATGTGTCCTCGGTGTTTCCGCACATGGCCTGAACGCCGCTGGTGCATCCTATCGTACCTAGGGGAAACCGACATCTCAAAATTAAGCGGAATTGCCTAGTTACTGAAAATGGTAGCTGGCCACCCACAGATATGGAACCTCAGGGATGTGGGACCCAGAGGATCATTCTGATTGGCCATTCTTCGCGATCAGGCCGGGGGAAACCACAATTTGAAATTCACTATGCAAACAACCCTTGCTTATACTTACATCAAGGCATCATAGAGGCATAGAGGTAACCTGGGTTCCCGGGAAAATTGGGGGAAGGTTAGTTTTGAACATCGGTGGAAGCAAAGCGGTAGGTGGGAGGGCTGGAAGCCTAGGTGACCCGCGAGGTGCTGATCGACTGGCTGAGCAGGGTGGCGAAGAGCGGCTGGGCCGGAATCCGGACCCCCCGCTTCACCTTCCCAGGGGGTAATGTAGGGGGGGATCTTCCATGGGCCTTGCCCTAAAAGGCATGTAAGAGAGTCCATTTTTCATTGTTTGGGCACAAAGGGGACCATGCAAGTTCAAGCTGTCGGGGTGGGGATGGGCTAGAATTTCGCCTTGGAAGCAGCTTCAAAAGAATGCCTTGGGGCAAATTATAGCGAGCTCACCTGCGCGCACGCGCTCACTCATGATGAACATATTTCGAGAACTTGGTCTTCTGGATCCTCATCAAAACATAGAATTGTGGCACACCCGCCCTTCGGCCCGGGATCTGCAGCCTGAGATCTCCGTTGGAACATCTCGAAAGTGTCGTCAAAATCAATCCTGAATTCATATTTGGGGTCTGTTCCAGAACTATTATAGGCTAAATACGACGCAGAATCTCACGTCCTATGTTCCTGGACTTGCCACTTTTTGGGGGAATTGGGAAGACAACTTGAGTTGTCAGCAAAAAGTTCGGACTTTTTCTGGCCAATCCACGGAAGTGAGGAATCTGAACATGCTTTCCATCTGCCGGCGCATCACTGCAACTTTGAGGACAGCAGCAGGAGCTCCTGGAGAATCCCGTGCATGTCATCTCCAACAACGACTTCCGGAAGCTCTTCGGGCAACGCCACCTTCCATCGCTTAAGAACATTTGAGTTGCATTGCGGTTTTGAAAAGAATCTAGCACTGGAAGTAGGTGTTTGTCTTTCTTGTTGTTGTTTTCTTGAGCAAATGGAAGGAACCTGCACAACCCAGACCTGGCACATTGGCTCCCCTTTTTTTGGGAGGGACGTCTACCTTTCAAACCAACTCGCAAAAGGAAGGGATCCCTTGTTCCCCATATGGCCACTCAACGCTGGGATGAGCCAGGAACTTCCAACAGTTTGATTAATTCACATTTAGAAAGCGAGCGGGTCGGCATGGCCTTTTGGACGACTTGCCCTCCGGCAGCCAGTGTTCTCCATGGCAACCTGATGGATTGTTCGAGTAGTTGCAGCTCCTTTTTCCCGGCCAGCATTTTCTTTTGCGTCGGGTCATGCCCGCCCTTAAGAACTGGTTGTCCGACTTTCGGCACTTCTTGGTATAGGGCAACCCCCCCTTCTCGAAAAGACAAATTTCGCCACTCGCTAGTTGCTGCGAGCTCAGCTTGGGGTATATGAATCAACGAAGCGAGTCCACCCACACAGATTGCTTTTTCCTGCAATCCTGAAGTCAGGTTGGATGCAGATTTGTGATGGGTCTAAACTTTCATTACGTTTGCAAGGGAATGGCGATTCGTCCAAACACACTGGCCATGGCTCGCCATCGGATCTGCTGGATCTTGTACAGGGCCGAGTAGTTCGTTCGCTTCGCAAAGCCAGGGCCTGGTCATGTCTCACTCGCAAAGCTTATGTGATTCCAACAATTCAAGCTCCAATCCACCGAGAAATCAGCAACACCGCACATATAAAGCCAAGCGAGGGGGGCTAGAATCCTCAATTATATATGCTGTGTCTATAGGTGAGTGCGTGTGAGCAGGATGTGGTCGAGGATTTAACAGAAAACCGTTCGAGCCGTCTTATTCTCAAGGACCATCCCAAACCCAACCATGAATCCTAGAAATTGGATGAGGACAGAGGTTTGACTCTAGAATGAACGGTTAAAGCTAGGAGAGGAAGGGCTCGCAAAGGAAAAGGAAAGTCATGTCAGGGATTTTTGCAGATCAATGAAGGAAATGAGAGAGTGAAAGCGAGCCGCCGGGAGGCCCCGCGCGACCCCGGGCCCGGGCTGACGCAACACGCGTGCATTGTTTCGAAAAAGGACGTGACGTCTGACGCGGACAGCTGTGACAGGTGTAATACCAAACATGAGGGGCTAGATATCCGAGGGGCATTTTGAAACTACCCGCACCCCGATGCCAATTATTTAGGCCCTTGTACCCACTGATAGACGAAGCTGGGCCTTGCCACTTTTGTCCTCGCGTTGTGCCTTTGTATCTATCGGCGTGTTTGTCAATTTTCATTGAAACCTGGCTGCTGAGCCCCGTAATGCCTCTCCGCGTTTCTTGCGATGGAAGCCCAAGCCTTTTTCAAGGGACAGCCTTACTGACTAATGGGGTGGTTTTGTTGTTTAGAGAATCCGAGCCCCCCCCCCCCCAATTGGCTGTTTTCCTTTTGGTTTCCCTTTTTCAAACCGACCCCAAGAAGAGCACCCTCAAAAAGACACTCCCAAAGCCTTAGACACTCCCAGGCATGGAATTCTGAAATTCTTGTCGGGAACTGGGTTCCTGGCTCAATTCGAATACTTCTCCTAGTGGGAAGAAGATCAGGGGGCGCGAAAACAAAGAAAGTGAAGAATCCAGACAATAGACTCGCCTCACCTTTTCCGACACTCAAGGAAGTGGAGAGACTTTTTTGGCAGACTGTACTCTTGAAAAGGCAACACCGTCCATTGTGTCGACCTGTCCCACTCCCGGCCCGACACAGCAGTTCTTTTTTAGGACATATTTAGCGTGTTTCCAAGGGGTATTTGCCTCCAATTCTTCAGCAATATCCCATGTTCCAATTCGAACCCTTTCATGAGCCTAGGGCCCACTCGCAGTAGCACATTGCACATGTGCAGCTACCCATTCTGAAGGCTATGCGGTGGAATCCAACCTGGGGGTCACGCCGGCAGCTTGTAGCGGAAGTGGTGCTCCAATGAGACAGAGCCATAAGGGGTGTTCCTCGCGGGTGATTTGCTGCATCTTTGGAACAGAAGAGACCATATTTTACCAAGGCTCCCAAAATGAGGCGTCACTCAGTTTTTGGTTGGTCAGTTTCCTTGACAACTTTCAGGGACGAGAGGGAGAGAGGGGCGCCATCCGTATCACACGCCAAGGCAGCATTTGCCGCCTCATCGGCGCAAGTATTGCTGAATTAGTGGTAATCAGTCAAGGGGTCATCACTATAGGCTTGATCCCTCTGAAAGCCAACTCGGAAACGAGTACCCTAAACGCGCGCACCCAATTGGGAGAATTCGAGGGATGCCTTGGTCGTCGCATAGCGAAATCTTTCCGCCAGGAGGTTCCGCTCAGGCGGTCCAAGTGGGATCACTCCCAGTCTATGGTGGGGGGCCCGGTATCAGGAGCGCCCGGGAAGGAATCCGGGTCTCAACATGCGGAACCACTTTGTTTTTCTTGTTTTTTTTTAAAGATTCCTCTCCTTGAAATGGAGGATCCGGGCGTCTGCTCCGATGTTGTGCTACATTTCAAGGTTGACTAAATATGAAGCAGAGTCTCAACACGTTTCTTGGTTATCTATCCTGGGGTTGGGCAAGCATTGGAAGGCCTTCCATGTAACGGCGATTCCAACTGCTCAACAGTCAACTTGGGGTCCCATGCCGCTCAATCCCGAAGTGAGTCTGGCCCTGGATCCCCAATGCCTCCAACAAAGCGATGTCGAGAGCTGTCACCGAAAGAAACCCCTTAGAGGCTTATCCTATGCTCAGCCTAGGCTTGTTCAGAGATGGTAGCTTTATTGGAGGTCCATGGTTTTTAATATGTCGGCTTTTCGTTCATGTTTCCTTTCAAACAGCAAAACATGTTTTTTGGCATGGGGTTGGATTCGTTTGGCCCAGAACAGAGTGCTAAAAGCGGGGACGAGCAGTCAAACATGTGCAGTTGAATGCTGCGGCATCCAGCATGTTTCCTGCCCAGATTCGGGGGAGAGCTGGGCTCTCCTTTGAACATATGGTTGCATTTGAGGGTGGACTTAAAACTGAAGCAGAATCCGAACATATTATGTTTGGTGTACCAGGGTTGGGCCAAAAGCTTTATGTTATGATAAGTTTATATACGTATCCTTTTCTTGCCGAATGTGATGCTATTTTTGCATAGGAGTTCTTAGCGTGATGAGCTTGGATCCTAGCGTCGGGGGATTCAACCAAAGGCCAGATGTCGGATTTCGAGCTGACTCCATGGTTTACACGTGCAGTTTCAAGATCGGCGTCCGAATGATCAGGTAAGCCCCAGTGGAAACCAATTGCCGAGCCGAAGCAATTTAACAACCCAGTCCATTTATCCTCCCACCAGACTCGGAAGTGCACGGACTCCTTTTGGACGACAACAGCACACCCTCCCTGCCAACCTCCAAACCAGCAATCCAAGCCGCTGCAACAAGATGCCAAGCTGCAGGTTTGTTGGTGGGAGGGTGCCTCCAGCCAATCCAAGTTACCAGTAGGAGGGTCAGGCACGACTCGTTTTAGGCCAAGATCACCTTCCAACAACTACGTCAGGTGCCAGGGGCTCAGACGGGAAATCTTCCACGGCAACCCAACTAATTGGAGTATTCAGGTAGCCTGCGTGGCCCTTCTATGCTCGTTCGTAGGCATCCTAAGGCTCTTGCAATAGACCTTGTAGACTTTAGTTGTTTGCAGAGGTTCACTTTGGAACACCCCCTATTGATTCGTAAGGTTTACTATTTTGGGGATAGCCATGTTTCTGCCTCAAAGCCCAGCCTCAGCATGTTTCCAGGCATCGGAAAGTATGCGACGGACTGATAGGGCAAGGACCCAAGGAAGCCCCAAAACCCTGCGTAAATAGAAATGGGTGTGACATTTACTCCTTCATCCCACATCATGGTACCTGACAACTGCCCTCAAGAATAGATCAATTTTCCAGGTGCAGGGGGTATGTTAGGCATGGCAATTAATGTGTTCGGCCGGATTGCTGTATGTCAGTCAGGTCAAGGGCTTGTCCGTGCTTGACTTTTGTCATATGGGGGGGTGGTCGCGATGGTTGGCTTCCCAAATGCCATGCAAGCTCATCTTCTTCGCCACAAGCTCCCCTTGGCTTTGAGTAGGGACCAAGGGTTCACTTTACTTTGGGACCCTTGGACCATTGGAGTGTTTGTGACGAGTGCAGTAGCCCATTGGGACACGGCAACCCGAGGATCGAGAACCTGCCGCGCAATGTGGCGATGAATCCTGCGGGGCGACCGGGTTCTTGCAGGATTGTTGTGGCCGTCCCCAGCAACAAGCACCAAATGCCCCCCCACCTGAGTAGTGTAATCTGCCTTTGGCATGATCCTGGGGATTCCACGTCAAATTATGGCTTTGGCATCATTAAGATACATGCAGATACATGGAAAGGCCCAGACATATTCAGTTTGTAACTGCAAAGGGAAGCAATGTATGGATTACGGTGTGCATTGGGCCCGGCTTTCGTCAGGGAAGTTGCGGGAGCCCTGCCTTTGACTCAAGAAACGTTAGGTGCTCCAAAAATCTCCAACAGCAGCAGTTTCATGGCAACTTGCCAGAGCAGCTGGTTTGATACTCCAAGAAAATGCCAAGGCAGAATTCAAGCGGCGGGATTGTTGATTTTCTGAAGGGAACCCCAGCTCAACCAGCTCTCGCAGCCCAGACTGAGTGCCCTCGACTCGAGTCGATCGAGTCGCCGAGGCCAGCACGTTGCGCCGTGCCAACTCGGCCACAGATCTTCGGGAGAAGGCCCGGTTCAGATTCGGTCCTGAAAAGATACATCCAAAACCACCTGCTGCGCCCGGCTCAGGGACCTAGGGGTCCTCAAAGGATACATCCAAAAACACACATACCTCACAAGTATTTGGATGCTCTAAATCAGCCGGTAAGGGTAATCTGTGAAAGTGGCCACAGCTGGTATGCTTGAAGGGACCCTACTTTTCCCTCTGTCCA